TGCATGAACACGGAGATGTGCGCCCATGACGTGCATGAACAAATGTCAGATGAACGAAGCCCTTCTGTTCATCGTCATGTTCCAAACTAAGTAATCCACTCGTAGAATGGACCGCTTTACCCTCGAAGGGGCGTCGCACCGCTATTTCGACAAACAAGAGCACCTCCAAGCTTAGGCCTGTCAAATCATCTACATGCACTAGCCCCTGGTAGCGGCCGAGTCTTATGTCCGAGGAGAAGCCTCCACCCGCTTGTTGGATTGACAGCGACTGATACCCATACGTCGGTGTGCGCTCACGTGTAAGAGGAGAGACAAGAAAAAAGAAAAGTGGAAGGCAAAAAACATCTCGGCTACTGTCAAACCTGTCAAAAATCCTTCCTTCTCTCCTACTTCCCCATCGAGTACCGCCTCGAAACCAGGTAATGGTAATAGACGCACTCCAGTGTCGGCCGTGCGGCCAAGAAAAGTTCTCCCGGGGGTGTTTGTAATCTCTCAGGATGACTAGCACCAGACGTTAGTATCCAGACTTTTATCGGTGAGCCGTGGCTTGATACCTTGATGGCCAGTTTCTGCGGATCGCCTCTCCTCGTGACGGCCATTCTGTAAAGGCTGATCCCGGTTCATTGGTCGCGCTCGGGTCCCAGCACCACGACGACGGGACGGCGCGGGTGGCGGAGATCCCAGCTCTCAACCAGTAGCAAGGAGAGGGCTTCATCAAGTGCTAATACTGTGTTATTGCTACCTGTACGGTGGTAGCACTTGTCGAGGTGGTGTCGACAATTTCAGTCGCCCTTGGACCGAGACCGGGGAGAGAGTGCGCTTGTCAGTCACCAACGGAAGAAGACTCGATTCTGTCCTGGTTTTTACTCCTAGTATTGACGAGCTTAAGCTTGCGCTAGATGGACTGGCGGCACTCGGAGTCCCAGTGCAGCGGTTTTGTGGCTTCACGCGGACCCTCGCCGTGACTTTCTCTGTTGCTAGGAACTGGCGGAAGCAGCTCGTCCGTCAATCGCGTGCTTTGATGATAGTATTGCGAGTATGTTGTGCCTCCGATTGTTTTCAATATGGCCAAGTATCGCCAACTACGAGACATACGAATAGTATCTGTATATCGCCACCACGAATCTGCAGCCGTCACATCTCAGGTACCAAGATCGAGGGCAGCCAGACTCCCGGAACAGCTACACACTGCAAGTGACGAATCCTGCCGAGACATGGTCTGATTTGTGGCAATTTTGACGGCCAATTTAGCTTGTCGGAATCATTTCCTGTAGCAGGTAGGCAATCTTCTCGACTGTCAAAGTGTTTGATCTGAGGCTCAGCCGTTCTCCGTGCCTTGGCCTTCGGATTATTAGTAAACAAATGAAAAGCCAAGAGAAAAAAAAAAAAGAAAGCTAAAACAAAATTGGCCGACGGTTGTTCGCCGACGGCTTTTTATCTTTCCACAGCTGGACGTTTCGAGTAATTCGTGTACGGCACTCGGCCGGCGGATGAAATCAATTGAGTCCTGCAAGCTGGGCTCTTTGATGAATTTACATGGCCACGGCCTTGGTCAACTCAAGATGAAGCCGACGCACCCCAATTAGAAAAAGTAACAGCGGTGCCTCCATGATTTGTGGCAACGAAACCCTGTCCAGCATCAACAAGAGATAAAAATACATAAAACGAAAGGGGAGGCTTGGACGTCAAACGTCGCATGTGTTTAGCACCGAGTTAGAACCAACGAACCGACTGCCCAAAACAATCGCTGGTGGCTCCCTCCGAACCACATCTTTTCCACTTTGACATGGCGGTAAGGAGGGACAGTCCTGCAGAGATCCCTGTAGATGCAGATTGACGTGTGCATGCACAGCTAATGTACTCCATATTACTGTACGAGGGCGCTGTGTATTGGCGGTTCTAAGTTCGGAGCATGCGCATGTAGATGCGTTCTGCAGCCTTGGCCTTTGGCGATAGCATCGGGCAGAGTGAGCTTACGAAACGACTAATAATTGCAATTCTACTATTCCCACTAGTATTTCCATCCAAGAAGGAGGGTGTGGAGGAAATGGCGGAGACTTGAGGATCTGTTTGTCTCTTCCTTGTGCTGCCCTACAGAGGCCGGGCGGACGATTATTATTTCCATCGCGGAGGGTTTGCGTAGACTTTTTTAAGCATATAGATATTGGGCCACGGTGATTTGAAGTTACTAATCTAGCCGGCAGTTGCATCTCAGCCTACGAGGTGAAACGCAGGTAAAGGCGAAGAGGATGCGATGGTGATAATGACTGCATAATCCTCGGACGTCTGACATCTTGGCAATTGAAAGATTCCATAATCCGCGAGTTCCGTATGAACCAGACAGGGAGACAGGTATCTGGCATACGAGTTCCTTGGCGATCCTATGCTTCTTGGCACAGATACGATACACGATACTCTTTACGACGTCAATTTTGCACTATTTGGAATTCTTCAGGATGTGATAGATCTTTGCTGTCTCAGATATCTTACCCAGCTTTGTGAAAACCTCGGCGTCTCTTATCCTGAAGCGAAACTTACCTATCGTCGCAAAATGCAAGAGAGTTTAAAGGTCTCGGTAAAGTTGCACTGCCTGGCGACATTCCAACTATCGCATGGTGGCGAGTACAGTCTATGGATGCCCGGCCAAGGGATAGATAGATAGAGCATGATTCGTTACCTCGCTCACAATGGCGGCGGCTGGCGGACGCTTGTCAGATATGCGAAACTCGTAGACGCCACACCGATAAGGGCACTGCTGCATTTACGGCTGTAGTGACGATGCTGACGAGACTATTATGTTCATATTTCTTCTGTATTTAGTCGATTCATCTACTGCACTCACGGAATCAGCTGCTGGTTTAATCTGAGCAGTGGACAAGCAGAGCATCTTTGTTGCTTATCCTACTGAGCTATGCCTCCTCGATGAAGTTATCTACGGTCTGCTGAGCTGACATAGATAGCCTTTTCATAGTCTTCAGACTCAGAGCATTGATCTTTCTCACTTTCTGATGATAAGGGTTCCGTACTCGTCCAGATGAACAACACGCAGCGGGTGAACAATCACATTTTACAACCTACGATCAATGTCAATCCAATCCAAAGCGATTTCATATTTCGCTTGATACTGCTCATTAAGGCTTTAAATTGTCCTTTGTAGCCATGTTACGATTGTATCCATTGAATGGAGGATCATGTCAGGTCTTCACTTGAGAGGGTTAGGTTGTTCACCATACAGCCAGAGTATCTATTCTCTCCCTTGCTCATAACACTCTACAAGTACAATGACTTATCTGATGTATATAACTTGTTATGTGTTGAGTTTGTCAGAAGCCGGCTACGCATCAGGAGATGTGCCCAAGGCGAGCCTGTAGCTCGTCATACAAAACATCTAACTATGAGGGCTCCAGCACTTGAGTGAGGTTAAGATTGCTGTGAAGAAGACGGTAAGCAACGGCGGGACTTACTCCAGACGCCTTTTTATGATTGGGAGATGTAAAATTAGTTCTCCAGCACTCGGGTGAGGTTAAAAATGCTGTGAAAAAAAAGTGTGGCATTGATGGATGTCGGCAATCCGCCCATAGCGCCGTCATAAGCTTTGCTTCAGAGTTATTCAACTTATCCTTAGTATTGTTATTAAATACTAGGAACATATTGTTTTCGGTCAGCCGAGCGTTGACTTATCTAAAGTTGTATGGGTTGTCAATGATCCAAACCTCAAAAAATTTGAGGCATCATCGGAGGCACCAGAATGGCAATCAAGAAGAGCCTCCCGATGACAGAGTTTCCGAGCCTTCAAGAAGTCTACATAACGATTACATTACTAGCATCCAGAAAAATTCCTGCAATGTCTCGAGTCCCGGGACGCTCCCGCTGTAAGCCAACTTCATCGACACCATACTTTATGCAAAGCCGGTGTGCGGATATGCATTTGTGACCACTTTGAGGAATATTAGAACTGTGTCTCAAGTTGTAGAGAAGTTTTAACATGCTTTCACTCTTAACTTGTGCAAAAGTGTCACCGTTAATGCGACATCCTTGATGGCCAAAACGGCCGCCTCATACGGTTCCGGAACCGAGTGTATGTTCAAATGAGCAATGTTAAGAAATGTGCGGCATGCGAAAAAGTTTATCGTGACTCCATAATGCTAGGTTTTGGAGATGTAAGCTCTTGAATCCGCTAGATATTTGTCGGAAATGGCCACCGAAAGTTTGGAAGCTTTTACTTAGTCACAGGCTGCTAAAGAGTTTTGGACACCAACTATGCTGCATTCGCGCGGATGAGCTTGAAAGAAGAAATGGCTGCTTTTAGTGTCCCATTCTATAAATTGTTTAGAGAACTACTCTACCAGTAGTTGTGCTGCTTTCTATGAAGATCCTTTTGGCAAAGGACGACAGTGAGCATAATGGGGAGAGTGCCATGGGAACTCGAGCAATTGGCAATCTTCTCACGGCTCATTGTAAAGCTTTACTGCTAATTTCTATTATTTCTATCATTTTTGACTTCATAGATTATGAAATGAAGTAGTTTACACGGCTCATTACAAGAAATACTCTTAAGCTAAGACCTTAGGGTTGGGCATAAACATCTGAGATAGCTAGCTACCTTATGTTTGCTTTTTTACACAAGTTCTTATTGCATATAACTTTAACTCGGCTGCCATAGTCTGCTAAGACGTGTCTTGTATTGCTTAACTCAGGATCAATGTACTGTCACCCGGTCATTATCTGGTTGTTTCCGTGGCTTTCCTGTACAAAATGCCTTGAAATGAGATGGTGGTATTCGTGTTTGCACTGGAAAATTACGGCAACACTGTAATACACACAATACAAGCGAATCCAGCAATTCATAACATGTGGCCGTGCGCAAGCAGCGGTGAAAGAACCCTGGAGTCCTACCCGCGCGGGAGCAAGCACTGAGCAAGGATCCAACATTCACTTCCTATCATCAGCTGAAAAGTGGCGATACCTCTTCTCTAACCGTGATGAGTTATTGCGCGTAACTCCGATGATGTTCTCATATCGCCGTGATTACCCGTCAAGCAATCCTAGGATTCGTCAAGGACCACGATGCATTGTTGGGGCAAACTAGAGACGACGAATGCAAGGACAAAGGCAAAGTCCATCAACATGGCCAGCAGGTTAATAGAACAGCCGCATCCTCCAAAATCTGAAGGGAGATTTAGCTGCATATCATTGAATGCAGAACACATCTCCTCATTTGTAACAGCCCACTGATATTCCGAAAGTCACAGGGGATGCCACACCGGAGGAATATTGGTGCGAAAGTATGGATAAAGTTGATTAACAAATAGGGTAATATCCTAACTCGCAGTGTCTACTGCAGCCTTGGTTGGTTAGTGAGCACGTGTACTCCGTCTATCCTTGTGTTTTTTTTTGTGTTGATGTGCGCTTGATTCCGGATCTTGCTCGGAACCGCGGAGGCCTTTGCCTCTCGAGAACTATCAAGTCTAGAACGGTCGAGGAGGATGATAATGGCGTTTGAGGCGCTCTCCGACGATTCCATCATCCCTGTCTTACTAGGCAAGGTCGAAGCAAGGCCAAGGACTAGGTTTGCTTGCCCTGCACGAACAGCGCATTTGCATTAATAGCCTGGCACTTGCAGCATTTTCATCCACTCAGACGTCTGGTAGTTGAAGTGGCAAAGGTAAAACAATAAAAGTGCAATGGCCCTTGACCTTGCCAAACATGTAAGCGCTCTCGACAGCACGCGTGCTTGAGTTGGGCATGCCGGGAGTTTTCCCTAACCGAGAACAGCTGACGAGATCAAAACCCAGCCATTTATATGCATTGCGCATCATACAATTGTTGACGACCGGAGAAGTTTCGGTGATTTGCTGATGATATATTCGAGGTGTCGGCGATACCGCTGACGATACTCTGGCTGTTCGGCACCGGTCTGTTTCTATTCCCTTGTTCTCTTACAGCACCTGCGCCTCATGCATGAAAACCCTTTGTCTGAGCATTACATGTAGCACTGAAGCGTTGATTCCGTTGATACTTGCTTAAAGGACGTGTATCTCGCGTGCATTGACTAAAACGCCAAAACTACTAGGCGGTGGGTTGCCGATACGATGAGACAACACTCTGTAAGCGCTACCTCATAACATTTGAGGGTTTGCCGCTGCGCCTCGCTTAGGATCTCCGACAACTGTGCATCCAATAGCTCTTTTCAACTCCGTCACACGCTGTAGGGCCATGTTAGCGATAACAAAGATGCCGTCATGTGGGATAACATACATTGCGGGAAGCATGGTGGTTAACTCTATCTCCCCTTGGTCTAACGTATCAGGGCCCTCTGTCACAAGATGGCATTTCCGTCGTTTCATAATAAGACACCTAGTAGAGAGTCAGCTATAGATGACCTGAGCTACTTTCCCGTTCCAGTACCGCACAGACAGATTCGGACCACTGATCGTTGTCGGAGGCGCCTTCGTGTGCTAATAAGAAGAAATGTCCACAAGGCTCTGGTGGCAACCGAGGTGATGAAGCCTGTCAGTCCATCTATTGGAACAAGCCATCGGGTGCGGAGAAAAGCGCCAGGATTTTCCAATAGCTTGACATGCCCTACGGGAATAATGGATGCGCTGCTGCTGCATGCAGACGTCCTGGTCATTTGCGAATAGCCCCGGACTGCGCTTTTGAGTTTCTCTCATCCTCATTGACAAATACCAACAGCCGCCCTTCTCCGCAACATTGCTCGTTGTGCTGCAGACCCCGCAGCTAATTGTCGATCAAAAGCAAGACTAGGTCCTAATAATAGACAATTCTGGCCGGCAGAAGAGCGACCTTAGCTGAAATGAACATGGTGGTTTGCAGCTTGACATGGAATCCATGTGCTCATGAAAAGCCACTTCATAGCAGATACGTCACGGCCACTGGACGTTATCTCTCTCTGCTGGGATTTATTGGTGCTCACTCTCATCCGCACAAAGAGACCAATGCCACCGTCATAGTTTAAAGTATTCCAAGCCAACCCCAGCAGCCAAGCATCGAGAAGACCACAAGGCGATCTTTCCTTGTCCACCCCCCTTCTCTTTTTGCCCTCTTCCCTCTGTTATCGGCGCTACGCCATCCTACCGATGTATGTACATCCGTAGTCATGACGGAAGTACTCCGTGAGATATCGACGTATTACCTTGCAGCACCCTTTCCCCTTATCTACACCCCCAACGGTGCTTCACAAAGGGAGGACTTCAGGGATCCTCGATGGAGTCGTTACGGACTTGGACAATACTTTTCAGGTCACAATTTCGGTCTGTGAATGACCGGCTCTCGGTATCCCCCGACCCAACCATGTGATGATATACACTAGACCAGTCTGGGGTACGGAGTGCATGCTCCGTTGTTTGCTCGGCGTTGAATGGAGCGCCCCCACAAATTGATCGTGGGAGGGTGTGAGTATGCGTATAATTGCTGCATGGTTGTGAGTTGATCCAAGTGTCGAAACCCAGAAATGTCATCTTCGGCGGCTGCCTCAGTCGTTGGACAATCCACGCCCTTCCGGGGTCCATTTACCAGGCCTTCCTACCGGTGATATCTTCACTGAGCAGTCGGCACGACTGGCAACGTGTTCGGCGGGACATTCCTGGGACCTATCCCTGCTTTCGGAACGACACTTGATTAGAGGGATCTGCGATGATCGCAGTGAGACTGACGGCATACAGGCTCTACGAACGTAGAATGCCTTCCTAGTCTCCGAGAGGCATGTCGAGGCTCTTCGGAGGACACGAACTGTATTGAGCTTTTGTCTCCGCACGTGCAGGCTGATACCTAGTTTTGGAACCTCTGGAATAAAAGTCGCCCATTGAATGTATCTTCACGTTCGGTGATATTCGATGAGCTCACCTATACGTATGAAGCTGAAGATGGTTGGTAAAAATTGCACCGAGCCAAAACAACACATATATAGCGTAGTCATTGTAGTTTACCAAGCACAGCGGATGAAGAGAAGTAGATGGCCATGGCTGCGCTTCGTTCTCTAATCCAGTGGACCTAGTATTGCCTCTTTTTAGCTGCTTACTTATTACTGAGCTTTCTGGGACTATTTCTGATACGAGGGAAATACGCTCCCGACGGGAACGGCTATTTGTGGGCGGATCAACATTCTTGTTACTTATTATATGGAGCATCCCCCTGCTCGGTGTCCAGTTCCGCCGCTCTCTGTTTATTTGCTTTGCCTCGTTTTCATAGCAACGATTTAATTTCCTATACGGGAATCTCAAAACTTCTCGAATGTGAACCTAGTTCGCTGCTAAGCGATTGTACGGGTCCATGTAGGATTTTTTTTTTCCTTCCTGAGGGAGGCAAAAACGGGACCGCCAGCGTCGTCATAGTCGCCGATATTACAGCCTCGGCTCCTCCAACTAGGCTCCGAGCCTGGCACTTATACGAGTACTCTTCATAATCTTTCATTCCAAATATGCAGGCTGACGCTCTAGTATGCACCCAGTTTTACTCCTCCATATTGCACACGCGTGAAAAGCGTGAGACGCCAAGCATACAAGTCGACGCCGGGGATGGCCGCCTGTGTGTTTGCCTTACTTTTTCTGGCATATAGCAGCGCAATGCACAGCTATACGTTGTATCGTGAGTCCCGTGATGCTACATATTTTCCTATTGAAGCAACTCTTTGCGGCTCTCCCAAGCGACCATGTATGATGGTAGGGATGGGACGGGCGTCTCGATCAGCCCTATGCAATGCTGCGTCTCCACGCTCCTGTTGGCAGCCGTGTATGTAATATCGCTACGGCGAGTATGTACTCGTAGTATGAGTATCTTATTGCAAGTAGTATCCCGCTCAATTTTCCGACTTTGAGTTAGCGAGCGGCCCGTGGTGGGCTTCCCTTTTGACATGCTACCTTTTACAAGTAGGCCCGATAGATGGAGAAAATTTAAGTACACTAGTAGTGATGTTATCCTCAGCACGGAGCGGTGGCTGTGTCTCAGAACGATCCCGATTACTCCGTGTATTTGAAACTGATAGGCTGGTTCGAGAGGCGGACCTGTTTGGGAACTTACACATTCTCCCTTTTTGTCATCAGCCTTTGGGATCCGGCGGAATTGCGAGATTAGGAATATCATATACAAATATTTGCATGTCTGGTAGTGGGTTTATTTCGCGCATCCTGTTACTCAGTGGAGTCTTGATGCTTACTCGTACAGAGGCGTGGGGGGAACTGAGTCAATCCCGTGCATGAACAGGGACACAGCCCGCCGAAATGCCGGACGGTTGTACATATTTTGATACAAATCCCGTGTTGCACCGGCCAGGACACGGCTACGGAGCATCTTTTATCGTATTTTGCGTTTTGCATCGCGTATATCGTATATGTATGTGGGTGGCAGGAATTGTGCAAGTAAGCCCTGCCAAGAGGGATTTTCCACCAGCCGTACTCCGTATAGGAGCATGACTTGGGATGCTCCAGCCTTGTCGATCCATTCTGTTAAGCGAGTAGATTGCTTGCTGAATTGAGCGCTTACCTACAGCTGACAGGAAATCCTCAAAGCAGGTTTTGAATCATATCAGTTGCAAGTTAAGTGTGTTTGAACGAGGCTGAGGTAGGGTGTATGGAGCATGATACTCTGCTCCATACCCTAGAACAAGCTGAAACTTGGCCAAGAATCCGACATCAAACAGTTTCTCCGAACTCGTTCTCACATGCATGGAAGAATGTTTGACCAGTATTAATAGTAATATGAATCGACAGAGTTAAATTATTTAACGACACATTAGTAAGGGACGTAGAGCGCGAATCAGGCATTGCAAAGAATGGAACCGGCCTAGGACCAACTAGGAAGTCCATTCCTTTGATCGATTCGAGCTGTGTTGACATTGACTTGCTCAGAAGATGAGCTTGAGATCTCTATAGATGTTTCCAAGACGAATCAACTTGTTGGGGGATCAATTAGGCAGTGTGGCAATACAGAAGGGTTCTTTAACAACAACCCACCATCCATTCAGCCCATATTGAATGGAAACAACGTAACTCCACTCGGACAAATACGTTGAAATTAGATTTTATGCTAACCTAAAACAATAGTCATGTCAAGCCTTATCTCTGGATTCTAGGCTAGCTGAACCTGATGATCTGCGGTTCTGTAATAGGATATTCGTCTCGTGCCAAGCATTCGACTAATTCTATGTGGAATAAATTGAGAGAAACTCCCGATGAATCTTCGTTGACTAGTGCAACATTGTTAACTTCTTTGAACAATTGAATGATATAACAAAAACACAACAAGGGCGGTATCATAAAGTTTATATTTCGTGTGTAGTTAATTGCTGCGCTTCTTTGCCGATACGCGGCTTATGTGAGACTCAGCATTTGTAGTATCCTGTTGAGTTGATTCGGTGGAAATAAACTGTATAATGATTCTAATGACCCAAGGATGCTGTGTCAAACTCTCGGCATCAGAATGATGAAATCCCACTTGAAGCGCTCATGAGGGAGCTCGTTTGTTTCGCGACATAAGCAATGACAGAGCATATATGAGATGAAGATGGTTGTTTTTGAGAATTCTCCTCACATTAACTTGGATGTCATTGTTATGACTCTTTAAAGAGCGTGGGAAGATAGACTTCAGACTCTCGTTCCAACTCGGCCGAAAGTGGATAAGATGCAAGTTCTCTCACTCAACCTTTACGACAGCTAGTGAGCGTTAGCGAAGCCGTAAGCTCGCCGTAACCAATGCAATCTTAAGATTCTATGACTTATTTATTAATAATCGCGAATAGTTGCAACAGATGCCGCCCGAGCTAATAAAAAGTAACACAATAACATTCATGTAATATGTTAGCGCTGAGTACCATGTAGCTGCTTCGAATCTTCCCCCCAATTATAGACAAAGTAGACCCCAACTCTCTTAACATGGCGCCTATAAGTAACTTGAGTCGCGGTCAACAAATACTATTGGGAGAAAAATCCGGATAGCTGCTACATCATATGATCGTTAATTGACAGTCATCTCATAAACCATTAGCTCTCTTTTCGCCATAGATCTCATGTCTCTTCTTCAAGATTGGCCTTTTGTTGCCTTGATTGCGGCAACTCCTTTGCTCATTGAGCTCTGCAAGCCTTCAAATTATCCTTTGAGTGTCGATACGAAACGTCAATCCCGATGGAGTTCATTGCTCAAGGATCAAACTTGGTGGATGCGCGCTGCATTACCTATGTATCTATTGCATGAGTTTGAAGAGCATGGCTATGACTTCTTGGGTAGGCGATATGCGTTTCAGCCGTATTTCTGCAAAAATCTGGTAAGATTACTAAAGCTTACTTTGTATATGACTGTAAACCTCTCACTAAATCGTTTTTCTGAATTAGGGATTTGAGAATGTTGAAGCGTGTCCACTTAGCCCGCTTGTCGTTCTGTTTGTCAACGGTACAACTGTATGGGTGACTGGCATTGCTGCTCGGAATAATATCCGGATAGCAAGAAGTTTCTATGGGTTTGCATTTATAAACGGCTTGACACATGTTATTCCGGCGTTGGTTGTTGGTCCAGCATATAATCCTGGTCTTGTCACTACATGGCTATTGTTCTTTCCCGGGGCATTCTTTGCCCTTCAGTGCCTAGGTGGTGCTAAAAGAGCGATTGCAGCTGGAGTTTTATGCCACGTCGTCTTGATGGGTTCAATGAAACTTGCTGCAAAAGGGTTGGTTGCTGAGTGGGTTCTCTGTGGGGTGCAAGTGTTGAACACCATTTTGTTGATCGTGCTCTAAGTCAAACCAGAAGTTTTCGACTAGACTGTGGCTTCTATTTCTAACCAAGATAAGAGAAAAAGCCGTATTCTACTAATTAACACCATAGGCTCAATAATGAGCAAACGCTTGCTACGATAACGTACTAGAAATCGATAGCTATCTCAATCAAGAGAGGGTTTCCGGTGAACTTGGAAGCATTGCAATCAATAGCGAGCCAAACTCATCGACCGTGGAGCAGCATGTGAATACAGCTAACTGATTGGCCTATATTTAAACGATAAACTCGTGATGCCGAAGGATGGCCTGTCCCTGTGCCAGGTCGGTGGCCATCGAAATCTCACACTAGAATCTGGAAACCAATGAGATCTAGTCCTAGCTTGCTAGTACCTAGTCAAGCGGCTCAATATCTAATACATCGCTGACAACCACATTGAGATTCAAGCTGTTTGCAGTAGAGCCATGGTACGATACCCAATTGGACTTCTCTAATTGCTATCTGATAGGAGACTATTATTCCTAGAAGTAGCGTATTGGCTAGGGTCTCATTGAACATCCGTAACTGAATATGTGATATACTTATGATGGTAAGTCTCTAGAGCTTTTATTCAGTGGAGGTGTAACCTTTATATATTGAGCTGATTTATATGTACCTATTCAATGCCACCCTTACTGCTATTGACCGAGTGACTAATGCTCAAAGTACTCGATTTGACGTCCATTCAACTGTCGCTGCATGCTGAAATATAATCACCTCGGCATGCACTAGGAGGATGTCAAGGGATTCGGCATTGGTTGGAAAATCCGCGATCCTTCATTTCTGCCGAGGCACGAATATAATGCCTTCCTGTGGTGTGGTGTCGCCAACAGCAGCAATTCGGATATCCGAAAACCGTTTGTCATCACAGCTAGTAGCCTTGTCCGCCGGTAAAGGACCAATGCAACAGCCCGGCAAGATTTGCTCGCGATAGTCAGACTCAAGGTGCGGACTTTTCCTAGCCCTAGTCTTCTAGTCCCGCAGATCTCCGCTGCGGCAAAGCTTGGCGTTGTCTATCGCGATTCAGGAACGGAGACTCTAATTACACGCTAAGACGGCCTGTGATATAAAGACTTTGTCTTTCTAATCAATTAAAGATGGAATTTTGGATGAAGTTACTGTCTGGTGGTGTTTTTCGACCTCAATCATGGCGGAAGAAATGTTTGCCGTCACAGCGCCTGCTTATACTGATCCATCACGTTATGAACTCTCCAAAGTGCCTCAGCCGACGGTTACAGAGGACACGGATGTAGTTATAAAGATTCATGCTGCGAGTATTAATCCGGTGGATGTGAAGAAGGCAGCAGGAGTCTTTAAGATGGCCATCAGAGACTCGTAAGTGTAATTTATCCCAGAGGCGATGTCTGAAGCTCACATCTCAAAGTTTCCCATACAAGGTCGGATATGACGCAGCCGGTGTAGTTAGCCAAGTTGGAAAGAATGTAAAGACTTTAAAAGTTGGTGACGAGGTCTATACGCGATTACCAGAAGTTGGTAGAGGTGGGTGATGATTGACTTCCATCTAATGCGGTACTGAGGCAGAACTAATATGACGATGTAGGAGCTTGGAGCGAGTATGCCAAGTGCGCGGAGGAATATGTTGCTCTGAAGCCCAAAAACATCACATTGAGTGAGGCTGCTTCATTACCGTTGGCAGGTGTCACCGCGATACAGGTTTTACGGCAATACAAGGGTTCGCTAGAAGGCAAGACAGTCTTTATACCGGCTGGCTGTAAGTAGTCCAATTTCTGATCGAAGAATTAGATAGAGAAGCTAACCGCAGTAAAAAGTGAGTGGCACAGGAGCATATGCGTGCCAATTGGCGAAGAATGTCTTTCATGCTGGCAAAGTGATCACGACGGTTTCGACAGCCAAGATTCCCCAAGTACCCGAGCTGCTCGGCGAAGGAGTTGTTGATCAAAGTACGTTCTGTTCGATAATACGCTACAATGCAATAGCATCGGTCCGCTGTACTAGATTGCTAACTCAATCATCAGTTATCGACTATACAAAGACCGACCCATTGTCAGCGATCCCCTTGCGCTCCGTCGACTTTTTGTTCGACACTACTGGCCAGGCCATGCAATTTCTGCCTCTTTTAGTCCGGTCGACAGGAATGGTCGTATCTATATCAACAAAGCCCTCAGCTGCAACACTTCAAGCATCGAGTGTGATGAAACGGCCTGACAATCCACGTATTCCTTTTTACGGTCGGCTCTTTCTTGATCTGGGGGATTCGATTAATAAGCTACGGGCCTACTATTACGGCGTTGAGTATAAATATTGGTTCTTGGCTCCCAAAGCAAAGGATCTTGATACTTTGAGGAGCTATGTAGAGGAAGGGAAGCTATTGCCCGTCGTCGGCGCAAGAGTTAACCTGATGGATATCGATCAAGTACGGGAGGCGTGTCAAACAATCTATAATGGGAAAGGTGGTCTAGGTAAGACCGTTATTGAGGTGAACAAAGTGTAAAAACTACACTCTACACAATACCCGCTGTTTCAGAAGATTATGTAGACATTTCTTTCGTATACTAGATACACATATATACTTAATTCTTAGGTTGTTGAATTAAACGTAATTCCGACAACAGTTGTAGCCGTTAATCATACCAATATCATGCCTTCCTCTACCACAGTCTTGGTCACGTCGTCTGTCCCAATCAGGCCTCAGGTCATGCCCTCAGTAACTTCTCCCTCTACAAGTCTAGTATGAGGGTTTCCACTCCATCAATAGCTGTGTTGAAGACTCCTAACTCGTTCTTTTCGCAATGGAAACGAGTCAGTAGGCGGCGGAGTTTGGTCATAGAGCAATAAGCAACACTTCCAAGAGCAAAAGCGAATTGATTTACAATCCCAAGGCCCGCCCGCCTCGGTACATCAACATTTGCGGCCGCGGATTGAAGCGACCCACAAGTGGCCAAAAAGAGAGAGAGACTCATTCGCACCGAACGGAGCCGGAGCAACGGCTTGCGAAACACGGTCCGCTTTTGCTCCAGCGCCGTGTCTTTGCCACAATGCCTTCGTTCTATATATATTTCGCTGCTGGAATGGATGTTCAACGTGTTTAATGCCTTATAATTCTATTTATCTGTTATTATGCTAAAGATTACTCGAACTCATCATAAGGCTATGGGTTGAACATGAGAAAATATGACGAGCATGATTGACTACTTCTGAAGCCGCCGCCTTAGACGGAAGTCTAGTATTTTTTAGCGGGTAGAGATGGCTTACTTGTGGCATGGAGAATCTTCATACAGATCCGGTGCTTAAAGTCGCCAAGATCCGGATGTGTAATGGGCTGACTTAAAGCAGACGATCTGAGCATTGAAACCTGGTTAATCCATTCGACCATTGTCCAAGATTAGTCATTGCTCGCGGGTGATTCTAGAAATTGTAATCGCCATCTTTGGCTGATCGAGATCTAAGGGCCGTTAAATGATCTGGCGGCATCTTATTGATCCTACGTGTCAGCTGTCGATCCCTAGTCCGATATATACACTTTTAAGTTTGCTTAGTATTACAGAGCGACTGTGCGCTTATGACCATTCAAATCCCATTTTCGCTGCATCTTTCTGCTCACCACGTTCTCGAACCGTACGATGAAATCGCCAACCCCGTTTCTGACCACAGCTCTTCAAGACCCTAAACCACACCATCTCGACCCCCCTTTCGCATTTCTTGGCTCATCTTGAACTTTCCCCCCAGACGCTTAATCACTATCTCAATACCAATAATATTTTTCTTCAACAACTCAAGCCATCGTTCTGGGGTCTCGGATACCTCACACGGCTCAGGTCGGCCTTTTTTGCCTGTGTATCCCATGATGGACTCTTCGCCGTGATTTGACAAATTCTCGAGCTGCCGAGAGAGAAACTCGACTGTGTCTTTTGATTTTGAATCGCAGCATATCTTGGCCCTGCCGTAGACCTGTGAGGTAACGTAATTCCAGGTAGGAACTACTTTTGCAGTCGTGGGCTTGGTCTCGACCTAAAATGCCGGTAGCACAAAATGATGATGTCGAGAAGTAAACAGAACCAACACTTCTTGCTCCAGGAAATTGTTATTGGCCGGCGCTCCTAGAGCAACGGCATGTGTTATGGCTCTGCTATGAGCATTCTGGCGAGCCATAACCAATGTATAGCCTACTGGCGATGCCCGTTGTCTATTTTCGTAGCTCATGTATAGCAGATAATATCAATTTCTTCACATAACAAAAGACCATACGTCACTGATGAGATGTGCAGATTAGCTTCCCATCTTCTATCTTGTCCACATAACGGAGATTCTCTTGGTTCTACCATCACTTGAATCTGGTGATCTAAATCCTGTGGTTCGACCTTTCAAACGGCATCCATCTTGAAATCAATGCCGCAAGCCCCACAAAATTGTTAAAGAGATAGCCTGCATCAGTAGTAATAGCAGTGAAAGGCTATCAGATGGAATATCCAAAGGCTGTATATAAAAGACAGTTCTTATCAATCATACAAAAATAAGAAATCACCTTCCCATCTGGAGAGATGTCAAGGATGTTGATACAACTAATCCTCCGAGTTTGTCAAGCTCCTCTCCTTCCACATCCCAAGGATCGGATTTGGACCGGAAATAAAAAGAAATTCAATTTCCACTTTACCAACTCATCTGTACCCATACAGAGAACAGTACCGATGACCTATCTCATACATTTGCTACATGTCTACGCAATGTCTCCAGAGAACTCCGTCGGCAACAATCCACAGCATGACACACTCCCAAATCGCAGACACGATATATACCCACTTACGGCTAGCTAGCGTGGGGAATGATCCAAGAGGCTTGGCAGGGGCATCGGTAATACGAATTGCTCCGAAGGGTGTTGGATGTCATTTTCAGCCACTCGTGTCCCAACTCCAACGCCCGTCGGAGGCATTTCGACGAATGAAACCACATGCATTTCATGTACGAGGCAGCAATTTTTTAGGCAGTGCATCATGTTCACCCGAGAAACCTCCATGAGATATGTAGGATGCAATTGGCCTATCTACATGTACTTTGGTCGTTGCGAGTTCTGAGGGAACTTTGAGAAAAAAAAAAAAAAACCTTGCCCATCTCAACAACGCCACTTATATCACACCACCCAGATATGTTTTTCCACATTTTTCAAAACCACGTTTCAAATACGCCCATCCTACCCAACTTTATGACGAGATAAGACCCTCCCTCCAAACTAGAACAATACATACAATGTATGCAGCAAGTATAGGAAACTAGTCACTCTTCTTCGCTTCTAGGCCGAAACACAAACGCCTTTTTGCCGAGTCGACGGACGACAGGCGCATTGCGGAGAAAGATGTAACCAACCGCCGAGGAGGGGTGTATGTCACTTGAAAGCATGTTGCAGAAAGAGAAAGAGGGCATACGTAACGCATCTATCTGCCGTTGGTTTTTGTCTTGGCTAGCAAAAGCCTGCATGTCAGCTGCCGACGCCTGATGCGTGAAATGTGAAGCCGTAGTAGTTGAATTTCCTAGGGTCATTTCGATGTTGCCCTGCCTGTCTGCATCATTCTGCTCCTCGGTTTCGACACTCATGTTGATACCTACGTATCTAGCTTTGAAAATCTTATCTAGCTTTGAAAAATATTCGGTGTGATTCCATCGGTGCTGTCTAGGGCTCTTCATTGTAACATGTGAATAGGCACGAATCTGCATATCCGAACAATGACATGATATCGGTTATTGCTCCCAATTAAAATCACATTATAAAGTGGTAGATGATGTATAATTTTTTATCGTTATTCAATTATTTTGGTATATTATTAGGGGTGCACAAATTGCTCCCAGTCTAGTTTGGTGAGCATTCGGCGTTGTCATATCATTATTCCCTTGCACCGTCCCTGATTATTTCAACAAAAATACTCCATGCAGTAAATCAGAATTCCCTTTTGACCAAGATGCAGCCATTATCACAATATATATACGTAGAAAAAGTGCCCATACCTCTGCCGTCCTCTATGCCAGCTTGCTCTCCTTGATGGCGTATGTGATGGTTGATGGAACCTTGCGGAGGCAAGTTTCGCATATTAATAGTAGCAGGTAGTTGATGAGGTATAAGCCGGCGAGCAGTCCTACTGCACCTGCGAGGAACCAGGTCCAGGGTCGTGTTCCCAGCCACATGAGGGCATGAGCATCTGCTTTGTGCCAAGTGGCACTCTCGAGGTCGGTGATGTATGAGTGCAGGTCAGGAGGATCAATGACTTGCACAGTTGGTGAGGGCAGTGAAGGCTGGCCCAACAGATAATCCTTGACGACGAGACTGAGGAATAGCGGTCCAGAGGACATCATGATATTGGCGTAAGGCTGGATCTCGGCCCAAAATCTGGTGATGTCGTAGAACAGGGGAAGTTTGGAGACGGCCGCGGCGTAGGCTGGGTGTCTGGCGGTTGCAATCATAAAGTCATTGGTGACGCCGGTGGGCAGCGTGGACTTGAACAGAGCATAGTGCTGTCCTGGGCCCTTTTCCAGCTCCTCAAAGGGAATGGTCTCGTTGCAGAAGGTGTCCATGTCGAGGTAAATGCCGCCATAGTGGTGGAGGACGAAGTAACGGATGGCATCAGCGCGTTGGATGGGGAAAGCATAGCCATCCCAGTTCTCCACAAACCAGGGGTATTCGGCAGCAATGAAGTCGCGAGCCAGCTCGTCAGTCCACAGCTAAGAGCGAGAAGATGCTTGTTAGAAAAAATAAAAAAAATAGAGAAAAATGGCATGTATATCTAGGTTGCTTGGTCCGGACTCACCTTGTACTCAAAATCAGCATACGTCTCCTTGCAACTGCGCTGCGAGGCAACCCATTTCTCGGGGATGGTGCTGTTTTTAGTCGTCTGGTGCAGGATGCGAGGGATCTTGGGGTGGCCCAGCTCGTGGTCGTCGTCGTCGAACATTGGCGAGCTCCATGAGTCGTTGCGAGGGATCGTGATGCGAGGGCTGAAGAGTTCGTCGTTTCTGCGCAGGAGCGTGATGAGAGGCTCGAGCGAGTAGAGGAGCAGGCCGACGATGGTCACGTCGACGAGCAGAAGCAGGAACAGGGCGGCCTTGTTGAGTCTGGGGAAGCGAAGGAACTTGAGGGCCCTGCGCTGGGTCGACGAGGGAGAGCGAGACTCGCGCGCCGGGCGCTCGCCGCGCTCCTCGTCAAACTGCTGCTCGTTGTTGTTGAACATGTTGGTGAAGGACTGGAAGGGAGAGACGAGAGATCAAAGATCAAACACCACGAACAGACAAGACGAAACACCAGAGCACCGACCAAGAGAGCGTTAGGTGACCTCTTAAGTCCCGCAGCGCACGAGATTTTTATTCAGTGAGCGAGGCCGCTAGCAACACGGCCAACAGCGAGTGAATGGAACAAGGGACGCTGCCTCCGGGGGCGCTGATTGGCCGGGCCCAACAGGGGATTCGATGCGAGCCTGGCAAGCCTGGGGGGCCTAGGCCTGGCACGTTCTAGGGGCCTTTGTTTTAGAAGCGCCGCTAGGCTGCAAACCGCCACGGGGGGGCCTGCGCTTGTGTGTAGCTTGTGTAGATACATGGGCCGTCGGCACGAATGTGCTGTTACTAGCAGAACTACTCAGGGATCTAGTCTTAGGTAAGTAAAGATGATTGGGAGTTGTGGTGTCTTGAGAATCTAAAGAGAGAGGCGGCGAGGTATCGAGCAGGTACCTGTCGGCCGCTGCTGTGGTGGCGTCTTGCTCCAAGTCGTGTCCCGTGGAACCATGCCAGGTACGCGCAAATACTTGTCTCGGCGCCTTGCCAATCTCAGATTAATCACAAGACCCCGGCTCAGCCCCCCACAGCGCTGGGCAGCCCTACTCCGAAAGGGTCGATGTGAGGCGTCGCTTATACCTGTATCTAGTACGGGTATAATTAAGCTAATGTACTGTAGGTGGTTTGGTGGTGTAGTTCCTGGGTCCTGTTGGCTGGTTGGCGGAATGGCCAGTAGAGGAAAAGAGAGCACTGGAGAGAGAGAGAGCGCTGTCTCTGCCAAGACTCAAGGCGACATCATGCGAATCTGGTCCGTCTCGTCTGGTGGATTCATTTCAGGTTTATTTTGTCGACGGCACCGACCTCCGACATGGCGGCCGGTCTGACGCGCGTTCGCCAGCTTCCAGCAGGATCTTGTACCCGCGCGTGCCACGCACTACATCGAGGCGGTGCCAAACACTGACGACGGGAGCCTCTTTGTCGCAGCCAACGATGGCCACTGTCCAGTGCAGCCATTCGTTGGACTCGGAGATTGCTCGCTTCTTCGGTTTTGCACCATTTACCACCACAGGGACAGTCCCTCGTACTGTGCTGGTGCCGGTGCAGTTCTTGCAGTGTAGAGTACACGCTGACGCATTTTCAGCTGCTACTGGACCCTTTTTTTCTTCCCTTTTCCCTTTTCCCTTTTTCTCTCTTTCCCCCCCTCCCCCTCCAAGTCGCCACCTCGTGCGCGCAAGATTACTTTTAGCCGGCGCTGATTTGCACTTCCAAGACCGACTAAAGACCCCCCTTGATGGATGTCGTGTCGACCGTTGCAAGATTCGCGAGGTTCGGGCCGCAACATGTGCTTTGATTGCTTGGACTTGGACTTGGCCTCGGCGTTGTCCTACACGCCATCACGTTGGAATGCTGCCATCATCAGCCTATCATGTCCTGTCTTGTCTTGAACTGAAGCTGATATTGAATGGCCCTCGTGTGCAAGTCATGCGTGCCCTCTTGCTCTGGCCTGGCCGAGGCTACTAATGCACTCATCTCATTCCACAGGAATTCTCTCGACAATCCCTAATCCCTATTGCGGGGTTGAACGGGGGGGACTAGCGTACGAAGCCGTCTTGGGAAAAGTGGAAGATCTAGGATTGGTGTTGCAGTAGCCGATTGGACTGGAGCCTCCAACGTTGTTGATCCCGTTGGAGGCCTGTTTGCAAGTCAAACAGCCAAGCATCTCGCAGCCGCGCCCTTTGCTTGATGACGTCGGCAGGTACCGTAGTTGCGTAGATACTTTGGAACTTTGGGACTTGGCAAAACGGTTTGCTGGATGAGGAAATGCGAGCGACCAGCATGACGCAGACGAACCCGCTCGGGATTGGGATTGAAACCCTTGAGGCAAATTGGACTGGAACCTGGAAGCCAAAAAGTGGGAGCCCACATGTTGAGCAGGGGTTCCAAATTGGCGCTCACTTTCAGCTCTGAGATAATCCAGGCACATGGCCGCGCGATAAGCTATCAAAGGGCCCGGGGAAATAGAAGCGCCGAGCAGTCACCTGACTGCGTCATGTCTTAACAGGTATCAATCTCGCGCTAAGAGCAACGGGGACCAGAATTTATTTCCAGAAGCCACGCATAATAGGGGGTTGCAGTACAGTACCCAAATACATACAACACCACCACACCGCACAAGTCAATCAAGTCCTCTAATATTGATCCAGTATGATGAAATGGCTGATGTAATGGGTCCTGACTAAAAACAGTACATGCAGTACACTGGAAAGTCATTGGCTGTGGTGGCTTAATAAGTGGCGATACTGCTCAAGATTTTGAGGGCCACATTTATCGATCAACACTGCTTGTACTGTACCTGCTCAAAGGATGTGCAAAAGAAAAGGAGCAAATCGAGAAATGACGAAGATACAGATTCGAACAATCTGCATACAAGCCACACTAAACTCATCTAAAATGGCAAGCTTGCGAGCGTATTCTCCTCATGTCTGCGTATATTGCGCGTTTCTCGTGCGTGGCAGCAGTCAGGCGGGATTCAATCCCCACGGAATTGAGTGATGTCAAAAAATAACCACATGTCATTTATTGATTCTGGATATTTTTGTCTATCCCGGCCAATAAGCCTCTTCCTGACTCGCTCTCGTTCCGCGTCCCTTTTTCCCCCTGTTACAGACTGTTGATCCTCAAATACTCCTGAGCCCCGCCGTTACTGCATGTGCCTTAGTCAGCCGTGAAACATGCATGAAACGTTCAATTTTGTCTGCTTGGCGCTGAGGGGCTGCCACATATCGGGAGCCCAGGCCAGGCTTTGAGGCCTTGAGGATTTGTTCCAGCATCCGTACATGGTACCAATGACCCAATCAAGACGCTATCCCGCCTTGCAGTAGACGCAATCCCACGCCAAGGGTCTTATCGTGATAGCCGCCCGCCTAAATTTAACTCTGTTGGCCTGGTTGTACTGCACGGGCTACTATCAGGGTCTCAGAACGAGGCTTTGACGAGGGGAGCATCAAGAGGCTTGGAACGGCTAGAACCAGGTGCTCCGTATCTGTACAACCACATGACATTACCGGGACACTGACCATGAGTCAAGATCATGGGCAATGCCAGGTATGTGCTCGTACGGGGAATAAACACGCTACCCCACTGCTCTGAGTGCCGAACAAACCATGGACGCTGACTTCCGTTCAACGTCTAGGCTCTGCACCTGTCCGATGGAAGCAAGTGCACCAAAGAGGCTACCCATGCCGACGGTGTCTTTTGCTGGTTTCATTCTAAGCAGGTCTATGGGCTCTACAAGGGGTACAAACGACGCAATGCCAGACTGGATGAACTGGAGAGCGAAGCCCCTCCTTACCTAAAGACAAGCAAGGTTCCTCTTGCGAATCAGACATTCGAGGATGTTAAAGACCAAGAGACTCTCAGGACGGTACATTCCCATCTCTTTGACCGATATGTCCTCACCGGACAGGTCATCGACGCCCGCAGGCTTCACCACACCCACTTTTACTCGCTCCAAATCGACTATGGGCACCAAGCGTATCTCGACAAGCTAAGCAGCAACCGCCACATCATTCTTCGGTCTCTGGAAAGATTGGAAAAGCGAACTGCAGATGTGCTGTATCAGCAGGAGAAATGGTTCGCTTGGGTACGCCAGGCCCAGGAAGAGGAAGAGGCAACTCGTGACAAGGAGCAGAAAAAGATGAAGCAGGAAGCTGCCTTGTTCAAGCGTCACCGAGACAAGCTGCAGGCTAGACTGGAACAGGCTAGACGAGAGGAGGAGCAGAAGAGCCAGGATGCCTATCTTGAGGCTGCCTTCCGGGAGCGTATGGAGATGTCAGAAGATGAATGGGAAAGCGATGAGGCCTGGGATCCTATTAAAGACACTGACCACGACAAGCGCAACCAGTACATTGATCTGATCAGGCACTTCCTCTGGATGGATGCTGCAGACATTGAGACCAGCCAAGATCCCCCAGCCGAGCCTAAGCCACAGGTAGAAGAGGCCGCCGAGCAACCGCAGGAAGAAGATGGCCAAAAACCCTCCAAGAAAGGTAAGAAAAAGGCAAAGGCCAAGCCGAGTGCCGCCAAACCTGGCAATCAAGGCAGCGCCAGCGACTCCTCGCCAGCCGACAGGGGACAAGACAAGCTCATGGCCATGCAGCAGCAAAAGAAAGCAAAAAAAGCAGCCGATCAACCGATGCCTGATAAGAACAACATTGAACCCGAGCAAGAGATGAGAAAACGCCTGAGCCAGGGAGTCGACAAGAAACTGGAAAACGTTTGGGGTTTCCAGCTCGTTGGGTCGTTGGAGAATCCCCACGAGACGTTTACAAGAACGGCACCGATGACCGACAACGAGATCGAGACTGCCATCAAGGACGTCAGAGAAATCAAGTTGCTACTTTTTTGTCGCCTGTTGCTTGCTCAAGCATCTTTGTTGCCGGCTGCGATTCTCAATCATAGCCAAAGATTGCGATCTCAAACATGCTATCCAGCTCTGCCGAAATTGGGCAGAATTCGCCGACCTCAATCTCCTCACCCTGTGGCAGTTTTTCCCTGCTTCAAACTGGACGTCTTGGGCAAATAACAGGCTTATCCAGCAACTGCATGAGTTGCAGTTCTTCCCTTACTTCATTGATCTTGGAGCTCAGTCACGTAGTCGCTATTTTCAGACCGACGGGCGAGGCAAAGGACGCCGCCAGCATGACATGATAGAGACGAGGAATATCATTGTCGGTCACATGAAGCGCCGCGATCCAGTGACCCGCCGCTTTCTGCAGTATCTGACAATGAGAACGGGTGAACTGTTGGTCCTGGTGAGGGACGGCAGAACTGGTCGCGTCATAACGGCACCTCCTCAGAAGCATCTTTGGACGTATCGCAGGAAGCAGGGCGTCGGAAGGGCCTCGAAGAATGAATGGCAAAACGTTCTTGAGGTAGGCCCTGATTAGTTTGACATGACGGATGTACTTAGGGAATGGCGCTTTGGATTCGATGACTATTACGACGTCTTCATCTGGAATCTGGTACCCAACGAATCACCACTGCTGCTGTATAATGTCATCATCACGGTATGTTTCTTATGCCATGAGTTGAAGCTAAGCACAATACTGATAGAACTATAAAAAAGGAACTTCGCACAGCATGGCGTATGACCCAGCCTGCTGACATGTATTCCCACATGGAGCCGCAGCTGCGGAGCCTCACTCGGGAGGAAGATACAATGCGAACGCGCAAGATACTTCCGGGCGAACAAGTCAAGAGTCTCTGGCACGTTGTGACGGGCGAAGACGTAGAGTTCCGCCTGTTCAGTACCTCAGGATCATTTACATCCTTCACGCCCCAGGGTGCCGCCACTGGTGAAATGGCCGACTCCCCATACCTGTTCTATACCAAAGCCAATGCTGTCGAGGATGAGGTTCTATTCCCAGACGAACTGACTTCTAACAAAAAGAATGTGCATTTTCGAGAAATCAGAAACCCCGTCAGTCGCCTTGAGCACTCGGGACTCCCTGGTCACAACAAGTACTGGGAAAAAGGACTGACGGCGATTCTTGCCGGGGAAGATTTCAAAGAACCGCTTAGCAAGGAGATGGATACCGATGAAGACAGTATGTGGGCGCTTCCTGCGATTTGGAAAAGCGGCTTGGAGAAGCTTCTACAAGGAACTCTCTCAGCAGAGCAGCGTGAAGTCCTTGAGGAAACTGGCCTTGACGCCATCAAGGAAGGTCAATTAATCGCCGATCGTCTTGACAGTGCGGATCCCATGGAGGTAATGGAACGCGAAAGATCTACCGGTGAGTATACTTATGCGATTTCTATGTTAGTCTTTTAGGACCGAATCGCTAACTTTCTGGTGTCAGAGTTCAAAATGGCGTTTCACGATGGAGACCTTGAGCCGGGATGTACCGAAAGGTATCGGCAAGTCCAAGAAGTCATCACTACTATGCTCAAAACTGCTCATGCGGAATCGCCTGATTGGGTTTATTACATCGCCGAGTTAATTAATGCACTGGCTCGACGTTGAAGCATTCGACGATGACACTATGGAGATTATGGTTCAGACCCGTGGTCCCACGCATTTATCGTTCAAGACATGGTTCAGGCTTTTTCGACCATGGCCATGTTCTTCCCAGAGGTGGACACAACGGCCCACGTTACGGCGTTTCTCAAATCAGACCAGCATGAGGCGTTCAGGAACTCTGCCCTATTTGATCCCCGAGAACGAAGCAAGTCTCGGCCCGATCGAAGAAGCAGAACAAGCTACAAGTACCGTGACCTGAAGTTCTGGACAGAGTGGAAGGCTGTTTTGGAGAAGGACCGCCACTTTTCGGATATTTACCCGTTCGACTGGAGCCTTGCCATCCGCCCCATCATTGCCAAATGTCAGTACCTCTATGAGCTCTAAGAGAAGTACCCAGTATTTGCTAACAAATCGCAGTATATCGAGCAGGAGTCATGGCCCCCGCACATCTGGAAAATGACGGCCGAATAGTCCCAGGCGTAGCCACGGCAAACACTGAGCCTCATCGCCCAGACAAGCTGGACCTCTTCATCAACTATGACGACCCTCGAAGAACTATTTCCGATAACGTATCCACCCCACTTCACCGGACCAGACAAATGGCCAAAGTTACTGCCCATTGCCGAAGATTTCGCAGAGAAGCACCAGAATGCTCGATTCGCACTTCTTCGGATCTGGACAGCGCCGCACTTTTACCCACTCATGCTAGGGATGGGGAATAGGCAGGCAACCAGCTTCCAGGATAGCGTCTCCCGACCCTGGGAGTGGAAGTTTTTGCCCAAGGACATGCCGGGCAGCGAGCTGAGCATGCATAACACCACTGCAAAGGCTCTGGAAAATGTCAAGGAGAGGCTTGAAGATCGGATAGCGTATAGGGGCGATTTGATCCTTGTTATGGCGGAGGGTGTGGCTGAGCTGTTGAAGAATTGCACGGCTGCGACGTTTGCGGTGCAGACGAGGCCGTGGTTGAGGGAGATTGATCTGTGGAAGAGTTTTATTAATGTTGATTTGGATTTGTTGAGGGAGTTGGATCCTGTGTGGTTGGATTGATGTTCTGGATCTGTCTAGATTTGCTAAATAGACTTGTATCTTTGGATCACCTACAATAGCTACGCAAGCTAGGACAACAGCGATGACTACGATTTCATCATAATGATGGAAAGTATAACAATCTCTACTCTTGTGTCTGTCTTCTAGGCCAAACTTCCAATCTACCAGAGCGTTTCCGGCGCCATAGCCAACCATTCCAACTGTAGAGTCCAGCCCTGTAAAGACTACCGTCCCACGCCCTCATGCTGCCAGATCTGTAACCTCAAACCCTTGGGATTTTGAACCTACTTGCCGCTCATTTGTTGTTGCCAGCTTTCTCATCTGCAACACCGTACTTATTGTACCAAAGCTTCCGCATAACCTGGTAGATGAATCGATACTGCTCTTCAGTTTGGACCATGCCCCAACGCTGCTGGCGAAGGATATCGACTGCTTTATAGATTAAATCAGGGCCCACCCACATCGAATCATGTTTTTTGAGAATTCCAAAGTCGAGCTCTCATATGAGGTGATCAAGAGCAATGAAACAACCCGTTCTGCCAACGCCAGCGCTGCAGTGAACAATGCACTTACTGTTCGGCGAGCTATACTGCTTTGACAACTTTATCAATTTGAGAAGGCTGTTTATGTCGTCTGCAGTCGGAACACCATAGTCGGGCCAGCGTTTGTAAAGAAAGTGCCAGATAATGCGTGCTTCTTCTTTTTCTCCTTCTTTGTCTATATGCAGCACTAGCATGCGCTTTTCAATCGCACCGCCTGCAATGATCTCTAGTGAGTGAAAGGTAAGATATGCCTTCCAGTTGTCGCCCCATATATTGTCGTCGTTAATTCTCCAAGCAGTGCCTTCTTCGGCCATAGGCAAATACTGGTCGCATTTTCGTCCATGTTTATCAGCCATCTCTGTGAGTTGAACGATAACTGCAGGTGATGATGAGGTTTGCTCAGCAACCATGCGCCAGACGTGATCGAATGACGGTTTGGTCGGTCCTTGCATAGCAATATAGCGCAGCGGCGGATAGCGTAAGTCAGACGACCTCAGAGTAATGGGAGACGGCATTGACGTAGTCGTATTTGTTTTCGCGAACTTGCAGCCTGATGCGATAGTCCGCCCAGGGCCTGTAGTCCTCATAGCGATCCATCCTTCCATTCGATTGCTTGTACTTGGGCACATTCGCCTCTCGCACTTCCTCTGCTAAGGCTAGTTCCAAGAACTTTTTACCGATGTCTGTGCGATGGCGTGCAGTGTTAGCAAAAAAGAGAAGTTTTTGTTAATGTATAATTAATATAGGGTATCAGCGACCATGTGAGGAGATGTTACGCACCTTGCTGCTGGATCGACAGAAACACCGGCAAGGCGGGCAGCGGCTCAATGTCATCTTGAGCCACCACAGCTGTCGACAACGCCGTTGATGTGACGCATGGCAGAATGTTTGACTCCGTCTTGGGGTCTTTATCGAGCAACAACTTGACGGCTGCTTTATACCCCTTTGATTCAGTCCATGATAGCAGCGTCTGACCGTTGGCGTCTTCGTAAAAAGTTTCATAATCAAGATCAACAAGGAATTGGAGGATTGCCTCATTTATAGTGATTGGATGCCGTGGAAGTCTTTTCATGAGATTTCGGTATCGCGAGAGAGATGGATGGACCTTATTCATTTCTTCTATGATAGCATCTTGCGTGATACCTTTTCGTTCAAGTTCCACCCCTTGATTCACGAGGAGGCCAGCCAAGGTGAAAACTCCCTTGGCATTTTCAATAATGTGTGATTCAGTTTTCTTCAGTCTATATTCTCTCCCATATAGTCGCTGGATTGTGTTCTTGGATGCTTTTTCTCAACCAGGCATTACGTTTTTCAGATGCTGATGATGCACACTCCGCTTCGGACTCCGATTCGGAATCTGAATCGGACTCATCGGAGGAAAAGAAAGGCGAAGAAGAATCTGACGGAGCATCATCTACATTATCATCAAAGTTGACCACATGCTCGGGTGCTCTGAAAGGTTGTTGTAGTTCTGATTATTATTATTTCAGTTAGCATCCATTCATGACCGCCCCGTCAATTAAATGTTATGAGGAGAGGCAACAACCTCTCAGATTATCCTCCAGATATTTAAGGAGGTACACGTGACCTTTGTAAATCAACGGATGACCTTTTAGTCTCACATCCTCGTCGTCCACTCCATTTCAGTCGCACCATGTGTCGAACTCGTTGTATTGGCGAGAGGCCCAATTTCCTGGGCCAACTGAATCTTCTTGTGATTCTTCATTCTTCAAGAGTTCTTGTAGATGATCCCTGCAAGCCATGGCGATATTCCTGCGCCTGGCAGCGTCTTTAGGGTCTACTTCGTATTCTGGGTTCATCATGGCTTTGCGTGTAGCGGCGCTCCGCCAAATACTGACTTGCCGATAACCGTCTGTTTGAAGCTGTGTAGTGCCGCCCAAGCCTCTTGATACCAGCACTGGTTTGAGTTCTCATCTGATGGCAGAGCCTCAAGTTTAAATACATGTACATACGACGTGGTGACGAGCACAACGGCGGCGCAGCAGCTTGCACTACATGAACTACAAACAAAGGAAGCCGCCTGCAATTCATTTGTTTTATCATGCCTTGGCAACGGCCTTTGTCTATTCTATGTTCTTTGTCGAAAAATCATCACGTGTAAATGTCATGTGGCAACTGAGGCTTCTTTGTTGAGCAATTCCCCCACCTTTGGAGCCCTCAGCAAAGAGTTTATGGAGAGCAAACCAGACCTGGGTCTACTCCGCAGTGTCCGAACAAAGAATATGTATGTTTCAAATACGCCACTTAACGACGAACAGACCCTGGGCGGAGGTAGTTCATTCCTGTCAGATAAGCAAACAATAAGGAGCATGTTGAGTCAAAGAATTTTCCCAGCCTATGCAAGTTTGCCAAGTTTTTCCAGTCCTATGGTTTGGGAGGTTATGATGAATGCCTTGAATTGCAGGGCCAGTCGACCGAGCTTTGTGATAGATACTTGAGTATCATCGGCCACAGTATTTCTCTATTTCACAAAGAGGAAAACAAATTTAAGGCAGAACGTAGCATATTTCTCAAAAGGATTAGAGAAGGCATTGGGTGCCCCTGGAATGTATGTTTCTAACCCCCCCCCTGGGAGTGGACGCTGAGTAGTTTGATACCTCCAGATATCCTAGCAATGGCATGAAAGCCCAGGCTAAGCTAATAAAAGTTACGGCCTACTAGAGCGGTACTGGAAACGCCGTTGCATTCAACAGGCCTTGAGGTCGGCTGGGCTGAGAGAGAGGCGAGACTTAGTCTAATAATACGCCATCGATTAGCATCAAACGTTGCATCACAAGTGTAGTGTTTGGCATTCTTTTGGCAGACTCTGCAATAACAAAGCAAAATAGTCCACGTCGATTCATCAGGATTAAGGCAAGATACATTCCATATGCGTATATGAAAGCACAGATACATGGTACATCAAATCCTAATGAACAGAGTTGGCCGACAAGCTTGCTGTATACAACGCCCGTCTTGATCGAATCAAATATTCCAACTTTAATATTTGTACTTCTAGGTCCTTAATTGGTCCAATTTACGCTCTCTCTAGTAGCCTTAGCCAAATTTGCTCGCGATATGGACGATTCCCAGGCCAAAGCATCGGTTAGGCTGAAGTCGCTCCCAGTCTAAGTTGAGAGCTCCAAATGACAATGCGATACCCTCTAAGCATCACTTGTAAGGCTTTGTAGGTTAACAAGCTCAGCATACCGCCCATTTTTCTTCATTAAATCGACATGCGTCCCTTCTTCGATAACACTTCCCATTTCGAATACGTAGATACGGTCTGCTCTCTGGATAGTACTCAACCGATGAGCCACTGCGATAGTTGTTCGACCCTTGGCCGCATTATCTAGTGCTGCTTGCACTAATTGCTCAGATTCAGAGTCTAAAGCCGATGTTGCTTCATCTAGTAACAGAATCTTGGGGTCGCGAATTAAGGCGCGGGCAATAGCAATACGCTGTTTTTGGCCTCCGGAGAGTAAGACACCTTTACTTCCAACAACCGTGTTAAAGCCATCTGGAAGAGATAGGATGAAATCGTAGATATTAGCTTCGCGACAGGCAAACTCAACGGCCTCATCAGACACATCACCACAAGGGCTGCCTAGAGTAATGTTGTCTTTAATCGTGCCTTGGTATAGCGTCGGTTCCTGACTCACGAGGGAAATGAAAGACCGGTAGTCTGCGATATTTAGTTTACTAATATCTTTACCATCGATATAAATCTCTCCGGCGGTAGGGTCATAGAAACGTTCTAAAAGACTGACTGCAGTGCTCTTGCCACAGCCTGAGCTCCCTACAAGGGCGACATATTGGCCAGGTTGGATATAGAGGTTGAGACCGCGAAGTACTAGCTGCTCCGGTCGTTCTGGATAGCGGAAATATACTTGACGAAACTCAATTTTTCCCTCGACCTTTTCAAGTCGTTCTCCCTCGGTTGACCAGGTATCAATTGTAGGTTGCCGATCGAACAATGTCTTGAGTTCCGTTGCGGCTCGGTGTGCGTTACTCATGTTGGGCGCGAAAGAGAAGATAGTTCCAGCTGATTGTGATCCAAAGATGACTGTCGTAAGACACAAAAAGAATTGGAACTCGTTGTAATCCCCCTTGCCAATCAGTGTACCGCCGTACCAGAAGCCCAAGGCAAGGCAAAGGAAAATTAGACTCTGTGATGCGGCATAGAGGACACTGGATTTAATAACCGATACAAGGCTCCTACGCCTCTGTGTCCTAAGTGCCTCTCTATATTCGTTTAGCAAACCAGCCTCACGTGTAAGAGAGGCGACAGTGCGCATCGAAGACACCGCTTCGGATGCAAAAGATGCTGATGCTGCATATTCAGCTTTTGACCGCTGCTGAAACTGCGCCAGTATCCAAAAGCGATAAAATCCACAAGCAAGAAGAACTGGTGTAGCAGATAGGCAAACAAGAGACAGTTTCCAACCGACAGCTAGTGACATAACTACGCCAATCACTAGGGTTGCCATCATCATGGTCAGTGTTCCCAGTGTAACGCCACTGAGGCCGGCTACGTGTGTCGTCTCTGTAGATAAGAACGCTGTGAGAGATCCAGACGTATTTTCGTCCTTGTCAAAAAAGGTAACATCTTGTCGTAATATAGTACGGAATGCGCGTTCCCTTACGCGACGGATCAGTTTCTCAGAACAGAAGCCAAATGCGGCACCTTGTAGTGCATAAGCGATGAACTGGACAACTGCAATCATCAAGAGCATGGCACTCCAGAAGTCAGAACTTCTTTTAAGTGCGGCCCTGTTTTGGTCATTTATAGGATGTGATAGTGTCGAAATCTCTTTAGCAAAGAAGACTAGAGGAACGATAGTCAGACATGGACATTCTTCATTGTTGAGATTGTGGAGGATGGGGGTGGCTTTTTACCTGACATGACAGGATAAGTGGCGCCACATATGATTGAGAATAACAGCCCTGAAAGCATGACCTTCCATTCTGGATCATTAAATGACTTGATGAGGGCTATCAAGGTCCACAGGCTGTAGAGATTCCTTCTTTCATGATTCGAAGTCACCTTTTGTGAGGCCTCCGTCGTGGGTGACTCCACATGATGCATCTTGATGTCGCTTCCAAAATCGGTTGGAATCTCGTGAATAAGGTGCTGTTCTTTTTCATCCAGCTGCTCTTGAGTATTAATCGTCAAGGCGTCAGTCCCAGATATGTCTTGTGCTGACACGAGATCAAAATAATGGCCTTTGTTGTTGATTAATTTAACATGAGTGCCCTGCTCGATGATACGGCCATGAGACATGACGACAATGTTATGGGCATCCTTGATAGTCGATAGCCGGTGCGCAATGATGATGGTGGTGCGGCCGGCCGCAGCCACTTCGAGGGCAGCCTGTACAGCACTCTCAGATTTTGTGTCGAGCGCAGAAGTGGCCTCGTCAAGTAACAAGACTAATATTACCAATTAGTATAGACCTCATGTTTGATCTGTTGGGGTGAGCTTGGTATGAACAAACTTTTAGGGTCTGATACGATTGCTCTAGCAATGGCAATGCGTTGCTTTTGGCCACCAGAAAGGAGGAAGCCCTTCTCCCCCACATTAGTCTCGTAGCCCTCGGGTAATCTCATCACAAACTCATGTACATTTGCCTTTTTTGATGCGTCGATAATAAGCTGCCGTTGCTTTTGCTCTGTTTCGTATTCGAACTTGGTGCCAATAAGACCATAGCGGATATTCTGGTAGATAGAAGTGCTGAAAAGAGTCGGCTCCTGACTGACCAATGCCACTTGTTGACGGAGCCATCTCAAGTTCAGCTGGCTGATATCGTGACCATCAAGGTATATCGTACCGCCGACGGGCTCGTAAAATCTCTCGATTAAACCGATGAAAGTGCTCTTTCCGGAGCCCGACGCACCGACTAAAGCGGTGACCTTACCGGCTGGGATCTTAAGGCTTACATTCTCCATTACTATCATTTCGGGGCGCGATGGGTAGATGTGCTGGACATTCTTGAAATAGAGATTACCTTTCACATGGTCTAGTGTCTCGCCGTCATCCTTCATTGGATCGATAGGTGACGGGCGGTTGATGGTGTTTGCGATATTTCCCACAGCCGCAATCGCCGTTGTAAAGGCTTGGATATGCGGCATGACATTTACTAGAGAGAAAGAGCCGACAATGATGGAAAATACGACGATTAGAAGCTTAGATAAAGGAATGACTTCGTCCAAAACGTAGCTGCTTCCCTGCCAGAATGCTAGACTGTAGGTGAGATAGAGGATAAGCCACATTGTCGCTGACATGCCGGCCATCGACTTCTGCATCTTATAGCCATATTTGGCTCCCTTGTCCAGATAGTCGCCATATTTCTTCGCCAATCGGTCTTGAGTACCAAAGGCGATAGCATTGCGGATAGAGCTGATCACCTCTTCCGCTAGACTGCCACCTTGAGCGTAAGCATCAAGGGAGACCTTGTTATTCTTGAGCATAAAGCTGGAGCCGATACTAGTGGTCAAGAATAGAGCAAAGAGGCAACAAGATAGTATCAGAGTGAGTTTCCAATACATGATGAACCCTACAACATAGGCTGTGATAAAGGTAGCGATGGCGGCAATCGTTAGCGAAACCTTTTCAGATATACCATCTTGTATGAGGCTAGTTTCGGCAGTAATTCTGGTAGTCACCTCGCCCGCCCCCAGGTTGTCAAAGAAGCCGATGTTTTGTCGTAAGCAACTTGCGAGATAATGCTCTCGGATCTTGGCTGTAATGTGCTCGCCAGTGTATATGAAACCCACGGTGCAGACAAATGATGCAACGAATTGACCGATGGCGAGATAAATAAAGTAGAGGACAAATTTGGTTATCTGGTTAGTGAAGTCGCTATATGTAAGAGATTGACTGCCATCTCTGCCGTTTGAATAGTCCTGAAAAGAGTTTTGAAGTTGGCCAAAAACGATATTCATGAGTGGCATGGTGGCACCAGATGCTACCGCGAAAATGAAAGAGATTGCAATGATTATGGCATCATTACGCGTGATATAGCAGTAAATAACTTTGATGCCTCGTTGAAGCTCCGGAGTGACGACTTGGCGCTTGAGGATCTTCGCTTGGTGAGGTGGGAGATGTCCATAGGGGTCTTGTTCGTCTTCGGACTCGGTATGTCGAGAATTTTCGGGATTGTATGGTACACGAATGCCAGATTCTTCTGTCTTGTGTGATATTAGAACTTTTTTGCGTGAGAAGTCTAATTTTTGAACTTGTTGTGCATCGTTTCCAATTGTTTCATTGCTGATAGATGTCCCTGATCGTTGAGAATCATCACTGACATAACCAGTACCGATATTCTTATTCTTCTTCCCAGAAGCTTCGGTCGCCATAGTTGAAAATTGGTAGCATGTGTTGGAGTGTGACCCAAATACTAGAATTGACTGCCAGTATTACCTCCTGCTTCACTCCTAGCTGCCATGAATATGACCATAAATATTAGGGTGCCACGCGATGATAAGAGCACTTACCAGCTGGTTTTAAATCAGACATAGATATTTAAAAGCGTCTGTCAAGAGGGAATAAAAGAGTTACGTGCGTTTTGGATCTAGCACTGAGAGAAGGGATGTAAACATGCCTAAGGTCACAGTGGCAATACGAGGTTAGATCGAGCAACCGCGATGCGGCACACCTACGAATCTTCTTGCAAATAACCACAAAAGGCGTTGCGAAGATATCTACCGATTGTATTGACATGGGGATCTATTTGAACTGTGGTTTGGTAATGATGTAGCCTATATACACGTAGGCAGCATCAGCATCATCATCTATCGCGACAGATCGACATCTCAGATACAAGTTAATGTGAATACAACTTGGTAAGTACAGCAGCTGAATGAGTAAGTTCCATGTCATCAGCCAGTACCGAGAATGTGTACTAGGCAATATGCATGCTGCCATCTGAGACATTATCTTCATTTCATTTCAACTTGAGGATCTATGTAGAGTAGATTAAAATCTGGCAATCTTGCTCTTAGGGAATTTTAATCCAGTTCGAAAAAGTGAAGACAACCAACTTGATACTCAAAAAAATCAGGCGTACATGTGGTCAGATCCTTCTGGAGCCGAATGCATGCATCTGGTCTATTCTATACCCTGCACTTCATGCTGTGAAGATGTATTGCGTCATGTCTCACCAAACGACGCTCACAGTATCCCTTCAAATGGCATGAGATTAAGCCAGACTGGAGGATATACTTAAATACTCTCTAGATCTGAGTCAAGTGTCAGTGCATTCTGGAAGTCCGAGCTGCCCCGGCCTTCCTGATGCCGTGCCAACATTCCAGCCATCGCCCCCGTGATATGAATGATCTGCGTGTCTGTCTTTCGTCTTTATAATCCAAGTTTCTCCCCTAGTCGGTTCGATGCCCCAAAAGCTTCAGGTATCGTGTCAATAGCGATTCGTTACGTAGATTTCTGCCTCTCAGTAGGTATGATCAATTGAAAGGCTTGGCACAATAGCGCGAGATCACAGAGTTAAACAAGTGTACCGATCTTTCGCACATACCATGTCGCGTGCAACGAAAAGTATATGAAGCTGTCAAATCAGGCCATGTTTATGCGTTCCAAGTATGCAAATATAATGTGGTTTTTGGTACTCAGTACATAGGTACTCAATCCTTCCTTGCTGCTGATGTGAACCGAAGCGGCTCTACCTCTCTTGTGCCCTTATCCCACTAAGTCTTGACTGTCATCCTAGATGATACGAATGTTCTTCATCTTACAGTCCAAGGATAGCATCGGCAGATTATCTACAAACTCTTGTTGATGGCGATTACAAGACATTCCTGCTCCAATTCTCTCGTACGTGTGATTCCATTTGCAGATCCTTCGTAGGACGATGAAGTACTCTTGTGTTTCTACACGGTCTTCCGGCCATGTTAATTGTTTTGTGCAGAGCAACAGGGCAAATAAAGTACCCGAAAAAACACCAGGCGTCTCAGCATCATCATATCGAATAGTATTCCCCCAATTATACCGCTGTTCGTTTAACAACTTCGGGACCACAGTCATTTTTTGCCACCAATGCGATTTCTTCAACTTACTTATTTTCCCAGCTGATATGACTACTGCGTCGCCATCGAAACTCATCTTCCCGCAGTCTTCCAATTGTATAACGCTGGATAAAGGCTCAGGTGTCCCATGCGGCTCGAAAAATCGTATTTTCACCAAACTTGATGCCCATGACCATGATGGCACGACGAGGGGATTCTTGCGCCGCTCAGCCTGGCCATAGTCAACCCTCCACATCAGCTGCAGCTGTAGCTCCTTTTCAAATACGCCGTGTCTGTATAGTGTCCCAGCATCTCGTTTCTGAATCTCAGTCCTAATGCCCTCCAGAGACAGAAGTCGGTCCTCGGGTTGCCTTAACATGGTCGCTACATGTTGCTGAATGATCTCGGACCACTTTCTGTTGTGCAGAGTCCTGGTAGATATGTCTTGGACACCATTTGGCCCTACGCGAATAGACCGACATGACCACACGAACCCAAAGAATGTAAAGAAAGCGATACGACGTGACATCCAAAACTCTTGAGTGATCCAGGGACGCCCTTGGAAGCTGCTGTGTGTCTCGTTCGGATCGTTGCGATACCCGTAGGGATTGTAGCCGTAATCGTAATCCACGTACAATACAGTGCCGTCTGCAACCCCGGACTCGTCATGGTATGGGATCCGGACGAGGGTGGAAGATGCGAAAGATGAATGACTTCCAAGAGAATTGAACAGTCCTTCATCGAACGACCATGCGCCCGAGTCGGCAATGACCAGTGTTGCGCTCTCGAATACTCTCGCCGCCTTTTTCGACCCACTGAGCCACTCATCACGATCGTCCTGCACAATGCAGAGTGGATCGATCCAAATGTAGCGCATCCCCAGGTCCCTGGTCATTTGCATTGCATTTTGGAACAATTTGGGACAATCAGCCCACGGGATGCATTTGAGATGGTCTACAATGTTCTCGCGGGTTGTGCAAAATGGTTGCTTGTTAAAGGGCGAACGGTAGCTGAGGGCGACATAATTGCCACGAGATTCATCTGTACAGGTCAAGCGAGGTTCAGGCTCTCCGTTAGGACCTAGACGCCCGACATCGATGACATATGTTGGAAGTATTGGCTCTTCCTGTTTGCTGAAAGGAGACCCCGCGACTGTTTGCAAACACGCTGGGTGGTTTTCTCGACATGTAGTGAAATAATAGCAGAGGCGTGATAGTGTTTGAGCATTTCCCGTTCCACCAACTGGAACTCTACCGACTATGCGTTGGAAAGTATGAGGGCTCTCTATGTATACCGATGCGTTAAATGGAAGTTAATACAACGAACCAGAGCAGTAAAACGTACCGTCGTCGGTGTAAAATAGCAATATACAGGGGACATATCCATCCCTCTCAATAACTGGCTGATCTCCTTCAGCCGGCGGATGACCGTCGATCGGCATCCAAACGAGAACCCCCATGAGTGGTGTTTTATCCTCTGCAGGATTGTGAGACTTTGGTGTAGCAGTTCCAGGCGTATAAAGAGGACTGAGAAAAATGGGCTTTTCTGCTAAGGGGCGAATCGTTTCTCCCGAGGGGTGAGCCCATACACGACGCTCTGTAAAGGCCACGAACATGAGCCGGCACATGGCGCATGTTTTACAAGTTTTATAAAAGTCTCTGGCATTGTCCAAGTGTCGCATACCATATTTGGAAGACATGCCAGGTACGGCATTTTCCAGCTCCAGCTCTCTCCAGAAGCTCGGGGGAGAAGCAAGCTCAGCTGTCAGCGAAGGTATTGAAATGCGGCTACAGTCTGCACAGAGGTTGTCTTTGGATGGGTATAGTATATTCTTGAATTTTGGCCTTGACTCTTCATCTTCAGGTGACTCGTCCATGATTGCGGATGTGGTCATGAGACTTGAAGGACTCACGATGCCGAATGTTGATCGATTGCAGGCAGATTGGATGGCGCGTATTTGCAAGGAGGGGAGAGAGAGACACGATGAAGGACCAAAATACTCTCATTGTCCCCGTTTGACTACGGGCTTGGCATTGGCATCAGCTGATCCTTGCTAGCTGTGGTGGAATCAAAAATTGAATAGCGAGCACGAATTGTCAGGTGTAGTTGTTTATAGCCTGAGAAATACTGTAGTTTTCCGATTGCTATATCTATACTCAGTAATACAGAGAGGTGAATTAGCCGGTTATCTGAACGGATATCGCGCTCATTGGCAACCGTGATTGGGCTATCATTGCTTCAAGGATGTGTGTCCACTAGAGAGAAAGGCGCGTATTTGGAAAGTTAAAGGGCAATTCGAAGCTATAGACACAGCACTGAAGGCCATTAAGAGTCCGAGGCGGCTGAGTGTAGATTTGAGACCCGTTGGCTCAGGGATGAAGCGTACATGTAATCAATAAGTCCTTTTTGTTGCTTGCCGGGTAGACAGCACGGAGTGTTGATTATCTCCGATTTTTGCTCTCCGCGGTCATCGACTATGGCAAGACGCCTGTGTAGCTCATATTTTAAGGGGTTTTAAAATGCAATAGTATGATTGCGACCAATGGGAATAAATCGACCCGTACCATCTATGGCCTCTTCCCTGAAACCTGCGATGTGAATCGTGAGAATGAGATCAACTTGTAGTAAAGGGCATGGAACACAACCTGGAAGCCAGCTGAGGTGGCGTGAATCAGGCTCCAGGGATGATTTAGACCCCATGCAGGGCATTTGGAGCACACAGGCCGCTATTAATGCGCATCCACCAACAAACAGCCTGCTCTCCATCCTAGGTATCCGTGGATATGAAATTAGGTGAACGCACCGTAGACCACAATGAATTTGAGAATCAAGCCACCCGAAAGCATCAACCTTCTTCTGACTCTTCGATGAAACTTAGTCCCCAGTCAGGTTCTTTTGTAACAGTGTCTCTATTTTCTCGCCATAATAGTATTGAATAACAATTTCGATAATTCATCTCGCTGTAAAATAACAAAAGCTCATCAATTGCTACCTAAAATTCCCTAAAACATATGAACCTTCTTTGCAGAGTGAAACATGGCCGGCAAGAAATCCCTATTGTCATTCAAATTCTCAATCGCCTGCCGAAGCACCGCAGGCGTGTCCTTCAACACCGTGGCACTCAGATGCTTGTCGAAATGCTTGGCCTTGGTCTCGGCAACTTTTTCAATGAATGGCAAATAATCCCAGAAATGCGATTTTTCATCATCGTCCTCGCCGTCCTTTGAGGCTGCTGTAGAGCCACGCAGCGTCGGCGGCTGTTGGCTCGGCCTCGAATCTTGATCTCCGATGTTTGATACCGAGTCTTCGGGACGAAGCTCCTGGTTGGGCAAATTGCTCGGCGTCTCAAAACTCGAAGCTGTGAATTGAGATTGCGGATCCACGGGAGCTGACCACATGTCATCTTGTGGCATGCTCATCGCGGAATCGTAAGAGTGAAGCTCCGAACTTGGCCGCAGCCCCCTCGCGGCTTCGCTTCTATCCTGTGTGTACTCATCCAGGTAGTCGTACTCATTCTGAGTATTGCCAATTTCGCCGTCATTGGTATCAATTCTGTCAACCACGCTTTGTTGAATGTCTTCAGGCTCATGTTCCGCTTTCTCATCCACCGGTGCCAGATCACGCAGTATGCGGCCGACCAACTTTCTCCTCTTGAGCTTCCGCTCCTTTGACTTGAGCAGCATTGTCAAGATTTTGCACATTTCTTCCTTCTTTCGGTTCATGTATGTGTTCCAAGCCAATACTAGCCCATCTTCTGGGATACAATTCTCAAAGTCAATCTCACTCGTTGGGATGCGATAGCCGTAAAATGGATGTGTCGAGCCCAGCTCGAGATGACAGAGAAACCAGTTGGCGTCGGTCACGCCAGAGCATCGCGCAAGCACCCACTCACCTGCCACAAGTCGCAAGTCTTCTTCCTGGATAAACTTGATCATCCGGCTGATAGTCTTCTCTTCGTCCGTGTCGCGAATCTGTTTACCTTCCGATGCCTCATTCTCAATCTCATTCTTGTTGCCAGAATCATCTAGATTCTCTGACCCAAGCAAGTCGCTTTCTGTGCCATCATTTGCGTCATCTTTCCCCTTTTTCTTCTTCTTCTTTTTGTCCCCATCCTTGTCATCCTTGTCCTTCTTATCTCTCTTCAATTTATTCCAAAGCACCTTAGCAGTGGTTTTGTGCTCTCGCTTTTTATCTTCCTTTTTACTTGGACTTTTCTCTTTAATCACGTCAAAGTCAATTCCATCATTGACTTCCAGTTGCTTTCTCAAGAGGCCGCTCTTGCACGAGAATCGTACAATCACTTGGGCAAAGCCTGTACTGATTGAGCAATAGCCGGATATTATTTGCTCTGTACTTGTCGTATGCTCGACTTGTTGTCGAAGGCCGTCAATATCGGCCATTGTGATAATGACGCGCTGAATGTCGAATATGCCCTCAATGCCTGCATTGGTGACTATGATAGGGTGTGGCGAGATCATGTTCGAGGAGCCAAAATATGACACCTTGTCGGTGGAGATTTCTTGATGCTGCTGCTCCTCAATCTTGTATTGTACCCCATGTATTTTTGCCGGTAGTAGATCTTTTAGAGTATTTTGATCTGCTTTGAAACCTTGGGAAACTCTCAAAGCCCAATTCTGGAGATATCGAGTGACGTCTTCGTCGGGATTCGCAATCTCGCCTCCATCCTGCGCCTTGTTCTGTGACTCTACCATAGACGCCACTGGAGTTTTACCTGCTTCAGAGAGTTGCTCTACAAATCTGCTCTTTCTACCCAAAGGCGTAGACTCATCATCAACGCCTCCCTCAGGGGATGGAATCTCTGTTGGAGCCACAGCAGACACATCATCTGCGGGGGTAAAGTCTTGGTTCGTAATTGGAGAGACAGGTCGCTCAACTGGTTCAGTATCGTCGGTTGATACCCGAGCAGGTATGTCGTAAACTTGATCCATTTCGGTGTTGATAGAAACTTGGGACGTAAGATTTCTCCTCATGATAGTTTGCGGTTCAATATTCGGGCCAGGTTTTGGCCTAGTGGAAGGATTGATGATGTACCCGATGAATTTGCTGATAATCTCAATCTCATATGGCAACGCTTCGGCTCGACTGTGGACGCTGGCATGGCTTCCAAGCTTTTCTGCTTTTGAAGGGTCAACTGGGGGCGTTTTCAATTCGTCCAATTTGAAGCTCTTGACAATCGTTGCAATGTCCTGGATCCATTCAACTTCCTGTTTGGGCGGAGTGTTCTTCTTGAGAAAATCGATCGCATCGCGCAAAAGTGCGACAACGGCATGATACGAGCTTGTTGTCCTCAGCATCTTGTCCTTTTCAATATCTGAAAATGAATTGCGGCTGTGCAGCCTACCGCCTTTGGCTTTGTATGCCTCCTGTGTTGATGGATACATCGAGCGGCCACGCATCGAACTTCCTTTGTTGTATCCAACCCAGTTAAACACTGACACATCGTTATGGATGGTGATTGTTTCATCGAGGAGTCGGCAGAGTGCTTTCTCATATCCCTCTGCTGAAAAAGTTGGGAATCGAACACCCAAGATACCCATCAATGAATATGCACGATCAAACGACTTTGTAGTCTTTCGTTCGCATGCCAAAGTCATAACCTCTTGGGTGGTGAAACCGAATCTTTGGGTACCTTCTATCCATGAATCGAGGAGTGTGATGTTGCCAAAGTCAGCAATGTACTGACGATCTTCCTGGATCAAAGGTTTCACTAGGTCAACGACAACATGCAAGATGTACGCAAGAGTCTTGGATAATGCCTCTTCCTTGTCTTCCGTATTCTTCATTTCGTCAATGGAGCACTGTTCCTTTGCTTCGGGAAAGGAGTTGAGCAGCTCTTGGAAGAGCTTTTTCCGCATCTCAAGTTTCACTCTCTTCTCCGCTTCCCTTTTCAGCCTCAGCAGTTCCTTTTCCTGGGCTTCACTCGGTTTACCGTCACCAACCTCACTCTGCAGCATCCGCTGAACAATAATAGGGTACCGAGTTTCGTCGTAGCATTCAATGAGCCCCACGGCGGCAAAGAAGACGGCTTGTGCCATTTCAGATTTGGCAGTCTCACGGGAAATGTCCCTGGGGAAACAGAATCCTATCAACTCCAGAGCTTTGATGATAGAAAGCGCATGCAATACCCTTTCCTCCGCGTCCGGGCTAGTTTGAGGGAATGCATTTTCGGGAACCATGAAAAGCTTTTGCTTTGCTTTGTCCTTCTCGTTCGCCTCAATCTGAGGGAATCGAGTCGCCAATGCTGGGTCCCAAAGCACCGATATTTCTCGTAGTAAGGCGTCTCGCGAGGATTTGTCATTCAGTATCTCGCTTTTAGTTGGTTCGGGTTTGACGACATGGAAAACGGTGTCCATCAAATTCCATGGCATCGCGATTGAAGTCAATAGCCGGTTGCTCAAAGACTGGCTATCATCGACTTCTACCTCTTCTGACTCCTTTTGAATCCTAGGATAAACCACTTTCATCGCGTCACTTTGACGAACCGCTCCAGAGTTCAACAACGCAGTCATTAAGACTTCAGGCTTCCATGAGTTTGGGGTAGGCTTAACGTCGAGAGCCTCGGTATATAGATCGATATAAGGTACGAGATGATATGCGCGCCCTAGATTTTCCACAGGTCGATGTAAGAACTCCCAGTCAGCATTGACAAAGTATGTCATCCTACTCATGACCAACTCCTGCAGCGTCCATCCTCTCGTAGACCACTCAACTTCCGGCTCATTGTCAATATCTCTGTAGCTCTGAACATGATCCAATTCTCGATAGGGGATTGAAGCCAGCTTCTCATAATCGCCATCTGTGTCCAAGAACTCCTTCCAATATATCTCCGCATCAGATCCTTTGGGCGACTTATCGAATCCAGTGTCCAAGTGCACCAGAGTAAACGCGGATTGGGCATACCAATCCCCCATAAGGGACATTGATTCAGAGTACTCGTTATGGTTGCCCTTGTCTATGCAGCAGGTATCAAGCCACACATAAGACTTTTGTTGCTTTTGGCCAGGTAGCAAGCCGCGGTCAAAAATCTCTCCAGCTTTGAGAATGGACTGCTCAATTTTGATGGCGGATCTCCATAGACGTAAGCAGCGAATCATACCGTCCACTGCCTCACGGAGATCCCGACTGAGGGCATCGAATTTTATGTTGTCCGACTGTTTGTCTCTTTCCCACTCTGTGTCAAACACTCTGTCGTACGCAGCCTTAATAACGTCATGATTCTCATCAACATTATTGGTTGTAGGTTCGTATTGGTCGGCCTCCACCGTCAATGTTCCATTTGCATTTCCACCACCAGGATATTTCGCCTTATTATTGAGGTCCTTGTATACCCTGTTTTCCATCTCTATAACCTTTTGGTCTCGTACGATCCTCTCCAAGTTTGCGTGCGCTTCACGTACTTCTGTGTGAATCTTTCTGCTCTGGTGGTGCATCCCAAGAAGAGATAGGACATAGCAGCCTTGCTGTGATAGCCTCTCATCAAGTCTACTCTTCACGGCATAACCGTTAACATTTTTTCTTTGCTGCTTCACCTTCTCCTTACAGTATTTTAAAATGATCTCAACATCATTCCGATCCGAGTTGTACCAAACTGGATACGACTGAGAGACGTCTTCTCTGGCTTTTCGAAGGAGATCGAGGTTGATTTCAGGGTCCTTCCAGCGGTGGGATACCATGCAGTATGGTGCTGATGGATCAATGTTGTCAACAAGCATACGATCTGCAATGTCGAACATTCGGTAAGGTCTTAGCCCCTCGGTGGAGTTGTTTGCTATCCCCAGGAACCCAACGTTTTGGATTCTGGTAAGACTTTGACCCAGTTCGGAGGTAATCTCTGGTCTAAACCGGGGAACGAGCCATGATGTGACGATACTTCTCAACATTTCTTCGTGAAACCCCATAGTCTTGAGCATTTTTCTCGCAACGAGAACTCTCTTTGAAGAGTCCTCTTCGTCAAGTTGATCTGCCATGGTAAGGTAGGGGATGGAGGATATGTCCTCCTGTGTCGTAGATGAAGCTATTGGAGTCTGCAAAGAAGGCTATACGGTAAAAATCCGTTAAAGGTAACAAAGTAAGGAATAAATATGTAGTTTCATCAACTGCCCATTGCATAATAGGGCGTCTGAGAGATCTTTAGAGCAGCAAGTCTCTAAATCCAACGATGCTTATATATAGCCAATTGCCAAAGTCATAGGCGCACAATGCGCAATTTGAGCCGCAACGATATAGTTTCGGTGTTCTTTTTACTATGAAGAAGACATGAATCGTACTGCGAGCCTCTCTTTCCCCCGCGCATGTCTCTTCAGTCTCTGTCATTTGTTAGGCTGTGGCAAGCGACGACTCACCGAATTTGAGATTTGATTGGCCAGCTAGGGAAGACATGCTATTCTACAGCTCTTATTAGACGATAATCTCCATAATTCATGCAGCCAGCGTCTTGCGCCCCATAAGTATCTGCATCAATGCCCAAAGTTGCGTGACGTGGTCTCAGTGGTGAAACGAATAGGAGGATTTAGAGGCTGACCTAATGTGACATGTAGGCACACTCACACGCTATGCAGACAATCGAAGGCCATTTGATCGTTTGAGTGAATTAAAAGTTGCTACATTGTATTTGGGCCTAGAATATTCGACGTTTGCTGTACGACAGGCTTCATCAACTTTGAGCCGCAATTTATCTGCATTCGTCCTCATTAACGTCCAGCATTACTTGAACTACAATCGACCTGCCGTGTTCTTTCGTCTACTAAGCTAATTCATAGTCATTTCAATTAGAGTTCTCCGAAAATGGCATCATATCATCGCGTTCTCCGTACTTTTGGTCGAACGATTGATGATAACACCCTGGAATGTGACTAGTATGTAATCGCAGACCATCGTGGCCATATTGCCCTTAACAGTTTATACCCAGCGATATCCATCCGTGGGACATTCTCATTGATAATCAACGATGGCCCGGCAAGATACGTCTCGTTGGCTACATTGACGTCTTCTTCTTGATGTGCTACTCAGGCGAGTCTCGTTTTGAGCATGGGATTATAATATACAGTGAGTGCATCTGGCTGCTTTTAAAAAGTGCACCGCTGATTCAGATATATGTGATACAAACAGAGGACGATGAAATTATTCGACAGTTGTTGAAGAAAGCCGGATTGAGACCAGAAGATAAGCCTATTCAACTTGAATGCATCAATGACAAAGAAGAGAAAGAAGGTAGGCAAAATCTCACGCTCTTGCTGGAAGGCTCTATTAATTTGCCACCGCAACCACGGTCCCAGCTCTACGAAAATATTATTCATTAAGTACCGAAAAGGATGGCAGTAAGCATACAATTGTCAGCTTAGGCCACCCCATCAACCTATCCACAAAATATCCAAAATCGAAGTTGAAAAAGTACACCATCGTTCTGCACAAAGGACACACGCCAGCCATGCAAAGTAAGTCAAACATCATTCGAATAGATAGCGACACGACGCAAAGATTTTGGTCGAAGTCGTTATAGAGCTAACATGAATTTATTGAAAATAGAGGAAATACTGCGTGGCGTGATGCAACACGGCGTCGCGAGATTACTTACAGACGCTCTCAAGCTTGGTGTTGTCTCAACAGCTGAACTAATTAGCAAGGTTAAAGAAACCATCCTCAGCGGATCTAGCTTGGACGCTGTGACAACCAGGTCTATGAACGCTCTGACATCTACGAACCCGCATAATATTTCCTTATCGGGCGACAAACTCTAGAATTTGATGAGAAAGAAGCCGCTTCAATGTGGCAAAGCGATGACCAAGAGATCATTGCTCCCTCAAAGGCTGTTGGGTATGTTTAATGAAATCTACTTATATGTACATGAGTATTATAAGTCTTGTCACTCTGTGTAGTCTCGAGTCCGATATAGGATTCCGAGGAATGAAAAGCTTTTCTTCTGTTACAACCAACTTGTCGCTTGTGGTCTCAAACCAGTTCAATGTCTTCTAAGTCCTCCAGCTGCCCATTCCAACCAGGCCACTCCTCACCCATGAGGGCGCCACTCAGCCAACACGGTGCTACCAACGAGTATTTGTCTGGACGGTCGAGTTTTTTGCGGATAACATATGGCAGCTTTTCGCCTGTAAGCAGCGCAATCTCGTCTCCCGGACGTATGACCAAAGTTGACATCCCGACCCTTCCTGTTTCCGTCATGAAAAGTGACCTGCCACTGACCATTTGCAGGAAATTCACGGTGAATTTCCGACAATCGCAGACTTCTCCTCCATGCAGCCCGTATTCCCACAGCTTCTCCATGCCAAAATTGTCTTCGGACCATGTTAATTGAAACCAAGCCAGAACATCATTGACATCCAGATTGATCATTTGAGATATCATCCATGCCAGTTGATGCATGCAGGGATCCTGGTTGTCTGCTGCACCAGTTGAATGTACCCATTCCCTAAACACCACAAAGGCCTCGCGCGCAACATTGAGATCCAACGAGCGTGACCAGGGGACCTGCAGGGGTGCTACACTTGGGAACCGCTCACTGACAGCAGACGCAACTTTATCAACCCGCCGTCCCTTCAACTTGAGCACTTTCATATCATCATCCTCTATTATAACAGCCTCTTGGGAAATTGTCGCCGGCGTAAATTTACAGATCCAGTCTGGAATGTCGATAAGCGCCGACCATGAAGGTACCCAACTGGGAAACCTGTCCTCTCGACCAGGTTGGCAAGCATATCTAAAGAACTCGACGTTCTGGGTCTCCTCGAGAACGATACGGGCGGCCTCAGTATAAATATCGCTGTCAGATACTGAATAGTCGATAGTCAATTCACCCAGACTATCAGGAAACATGGCCCTTATGGCAAACAGCTTATCTTTGGCTATCGTTGCCTTTGTCTTACAAAGAACGTCAAAGATCTGGGTGCCAACCTCCGCCTGTACATGGGTGTGAAATATGTCTAGTATGTGCAGGCTATAGCGCTGGTTGAGTTTGCTGTTGTTAAGGAGGCTGAAGATATATATCGGCGGGATCATATAATGGCTCATGTAAAATAGATCAAGCCGAAGCGGCACAGACGACCCGCATAGAATGAAGCACATTTCGTTGGCGTTTGCTTCTTGAACTGTCCAAGCCCTCTCCCAGTATTCCATGGACGCCAAGTCAGCCAAGCCATCTCGGAATTGCTTTTTATAGCCTAGAACAGTATATGTTAGTTGGAGAAGCTGAAATGGGGAGTAACAAGACCGCCCACTTTTGAAGATGGGTAACAACCCAAAAGGAAACAAGACTACGGCCCCAACAAGCAGCATGATACATGCGCAGACACATGACATGCATATTACGGCTATGCCCAAAAGCAGCCTTATAAAGATTGAACCTGCAGATGTAATAGCCCCCGCACATTTCCCCTGGGCTTTCCAGACTGGCGAAAACGTCCAGCTGTACCACCTCAGCCATTTGAGGGCGAGAGCAGTTGATTCGGATCCTTGGCCAAGCCAAATATTGACACGCTCTGCATTTGCATAAATCTCATACATTAGCTGTACCTCCACTGCCTTTTCTCTGTCATCTTTCTGGTTAATGCAGATGGCATCAATCCACAGATTGCGGGAATGCTCAGGCTTGTTTGAGCGTAGTCTCCTCATGACGTCCTCCGCATTTCGAGTGACGAGATACTCTCTGCCATTAGCGTAGACGGGTCGGTCGAGGGGTTGCCCAGACCATGTGTATGAGATCGCCTCATACGGCAGCGGTGCATCGAGAGACACGGTGATGAGGTCGAATCGAATATCGTCACTGGGGTTAGTGGCGCCATGAAGCTTGATGACCCGAATGCTGCGCAAATCGGGAAGCTCGGGGTAAGTCTCCAGCCCAGCCATGTTATTCTTATCCATCACGGAGGGAATCGACAGGTTATGGGTTTCCAAGGTTGAGTGGATACGGTAGTTGTAGTTGGCTGGCTCTCAAGGCGCGTATAACAAGAACATCTGAGAATAGAACGCAGACAATAAGCATCAGTCATCCTAACCGATGATCCTTGCGGAAGCACATACGACCAATGGCCGTGATGATTGGCAACTCTACGGAGTTCTCTTGCGACATGTGCAATACTTGAGAGAACCTCAACAGCGTAGAATTCAACACTGGCGGTTAACATCATGCATGAAAAATGAGGCGGGGCACAATGAGGGGTATTAGGCATCGACACAGCCGCCCCCTGAGGCTCCAAATATCATGTGCTTTCTCTCATAGATATAAGATCCTTTGCACCAGCATCTCGGAGGAATTCTAATCTTTAATCAAATTAAGCAGCCTTTATTTCTTTCCTCTCTTTATAAAAGACGCAATAGTCACAATGTCGTTTTCAGCTTCAGCACAAAACTATTGGCTAGAGGACGGCCACATCCTCGTTGCCACCGTTGAAGATGAAGAGGGTAACTGGAACGATTCCCGCATTGACCTCAATGACTTCATTGGTAACGAAGATGGTTGGTTCATGTGGGATGGCGTTAGTGAGTACATTATCTATTTCTTGGTCTCCGAGTCTTCATTATCCACTACAAATTTATTCACCCGTTACCTGATGTATTTTGGACTTAATATGTCCATATAACATCCATCCATCCATTCATTTCAGTGCAGAATAAAAAAACAGCCATATGAGAAAACGCGTGCTAATCAACAAATGTGTCACTGCTCAAGACTTTTCCGAGTCTGGCAATGATATCCGGCTAGAGGGCACCCTCTTGACCGCCGAGCTGCCCATGCGAGACGGAGGATACCGCGAACGCCAGGGTATCCAGCTGGATGATCGAATTGCCAACATCAACGGCCGATTGGTGGTGAGTTAAGCAATTTCCACTGTTTGCTACGAGTTCTTTCGAGACAAAGATTACCTAACTAATGTGATGCAGTTTAACTGATCATTGAGCACTGAAATGGCGGGGTAAACATGGAACTATCAGTAAAACTCCATTTCCCTACGGACAGTAGTTCATAAATTAAGTAGCTCAGATGTCCAATTGATCATTACAATGTGCTGGCATGAAATCAGTGAAGTACACGTGAGCATCTTCGCACTCGTAAAAAAGACTTGAGATTTCCTTTCTCCGTAGAAATTAAATGTGCAGATAAGGTTGTCCGATGAGCCGACCAGCCACCCGCGGGACCCAACGGACCCAAGTAAGACTGGTGTGGCGGCCATTCGAGGGAACGAAGGCCGTATGACATCCACTAAAACACGGGTACTCCCGTGTCTCGGTTTAATAGCCTAGATCTACCGAGTCTTTGAGAGGACACGAGATTAAATGTCTTGTGTTTTCCAAGAGCTGTTGCCCAGATAGATCAAATCTGGCTACGCATACCTGGCCGCTTAAGACCTGATACGTCACGTTGTTTTAAAGGCGTGGTTTCTTATAGACCGTTCATATTTCGTAGGTGTCGAATGTAGCATACGGTGGCTAAATAGTCGTGTGATTGATATTTCAAGACATTCAGCCACTCAGAGCTATAAAGTACCGTAGTGTTGCATGCTTTCATATTAATAGAGCACTATTGAAACAAATTGTGACATAAGTTGACACTTTGTCTCGGCTGACCTTAAACAGTCTCATTTTCTACTAGCACGGAAGGAAAATATCGGAAGATGGAGGAGAAAGCAGCGCATCTACTGTTACCTTGATCAATGTGGGAAGTTGCACATAAATAGAGCCGGCGTAGTACCAAGAAACAGATTTCTCGATCCATCACTGTTCAACCTCTACGAATTGGCAGCCAGCAAGTTACTGTTCGTGAATCCAAAGTCCTATATTTGCCATGCCATCAATCACCCATGTGGCGCTGCTCGCGCTTGGCCTGCTTCAAGCCTCTGTGGTATCTGCCAGCCCAGCATCTGCCAGCTCGGACCTCGGCCTTTTCCCACTCTGTACTTGTCCTGGGCCACTCCTTTCTGGTCAACTCATTTGCTCTGGAAACACCTCTCAATGTACTCTAGACTAACTGGGAGCATCTGTTTGTTGTGCTCCTGGCCAGAAAGCCGTGAGTGGGAAATGCGTGGACCTGCCAATTCCAGGGCTCCTATGCACCGACGGAAAGACTATTTGCTCAGGAAAAACACAATGTACTCAAGACAACAAAGGGGCTATAATGTGCTGCGGTCTCAATCAAAACGCAATAAACGGAAAGTGCGTGGATCCGTCGTATATCTTGTGCTCCGATGGGAAGACCATCTGCTCAGGAAATACACCACAATGTTGCACTAATGTCAGCATCTTTGTCGATAGCACCGGCGGTGCGTCCAGCAATACAATATGCTGCGGTGTCGGCCAGAAAGCATTGAACGGTAAATGTTACCCTGGAAATGCAAAGCTTCTGCCATGCTACCGAGATGGACCGTGTGACTTTGGCAATGGGTATTACTGTGCATGGAATGCAGGAAACGGAGATTCCAAGTGCTGCAAGATGGATGAGTACTACAAGGGCACCCAATGTATCAAGAAGCCATAATATTGGTAATTGGGATGGTTTAGGTCTGCTGGGATCGCCCTAGGACTCTAGACAGAGGCAATCGGTTTTGGGCTGGAACACGATAGTTGGTGAGTGCAGTGCGAGTTTTGATTATTTAAACTTGACTTGTGGCTTCAAGAAGCAGTTTACACAAACAAGGCCTCTTGGCAAGGGGGAATTAAATGTGTATTTCTGAGCAATGTCTCTTCTTCAACCTATATCTAACCATCAGTGGAGTCCCCAACTAGGTGACTGCTCATGTAGATCGTTGAACATTAATATCAGAGCATCTCGGCGCTTTCTCTTCACATCTTTATACACGTATGGAGATTCGACATTGTCAGTAAGTGTTCAAAACAGCAAATCATTACGCTACCAATCTACGCATCTAGGCATCAGTAATTTGAGAGATTAAAATAACGTTTGTATCCTAGTAGTTATAAGATAATATGTGGCTGTGCTTTGATGACGCATGCACGTAACTACCTTCATCAATGAGGAGTTGGTAAGAACATTAAACGAAATGGACTTAGAATGAAGTCATGTTTCCTACTGTCCTCGAAACGCAGCCACAGTGGCACTAGTATCTGATGGGTGTTTGTCATACAATGTGTGTCAAAAGCTCGGTGCTCATAGGGGGGAAGTGTCGGATCCTTGGCTTCTTGGAAACAAGGCTATTCGGACCTTTTGTTTTTTTTTAACAGCATATTTTGCTGCCTAGTTGAGACCTTTAATTTCACGCGACCCTTGAAACTCGTGGTTAAACAGGGCTCTGCTCGGCAAGTCCACATAATAGGCAATCTATAGGTGTGTATAGGTATGACATAGCACGCCAATTTTTCAGTTTTTCGTGTTCTTCAAGCCAAAATGTACCTCTACAATGGAATACTGAGTGATTGCAGTACAATTGTGTAACCTAAGTGATTTGTGGTAACACCGGTCGTCAATCTTCTCTCCTTACTGCATAACACTTTTGCAGTCTCTTCAGTGGCATCAGGCCTACTAGCTCAGCTTCGCCTTATTGTAAGCCACAAAATTGTGAGTCAAGGTAGCACATGTACAAGACATTTAGAATTCGTAGTAACAGTTGTTTACTTAGTGCGCTCATGGTTCGAGCATTAGATCAGGCTGCCTTCTCGAAATGGCCTGCTCTCGGTCCTAATGATGTGTATGCAGAGTGCCTTACAAAGATCATTGTGTGACACACATTGAGAATAAATACTGAAATTGCAGACTCCTTGAAAGATTTCCATTTAGACAAATTGACTTCAACTCTTGTTTCTTTTCATTCTTAAACTCAAATATAAAGATTCTTCATCGATTCGCAAAGATGGCTCAACGTTGGTATTCGATGTTAACCAAAACTGAAGAGGGAGGTAAGAAGAAAGATCAAGGGCATGAAATAAACACATATATAACCATCCTCTTGGCAATTGCCATACCATGCCTTGCCATGACATCTGTATCCGTGTTTCTTATCGTCCTCACATTTAAAAATCGCGTATCGCTTAACCCAGGCTTGCCCGAGCTGCAATCTTCTAGCAACATTTCCTCCGCTCCACGAAGCATCATCAGTAATTTTATGGTCAGCGGGGGTTCTAGCGCATACTATGTACTCTTTAATCCATCGTCTCTGAGTACTATTGCTTCTGCAGCTGGGAAGCTTCTTCCATACTTATCGAGCACGATAACGGGATTGATGGCATTTTTCGCAGCCAATTCTATGAACCAGATGTCGCAGGAGGGACAGGTCAATAAACTCCTCACGCCAAAGCAGTTATCAGTGTTATTAGGCCTTCTGGTCAGTGGGTGGCACGGACTTTGGGACGCCATCTGTTATCGGGTGAAAAGAGGAAGCAAGTTTGACGGCCCTCTTTTTGGTGTGGTTACTATCCTGACAATTACAACAATCTTGGGGTAAGTGCATTACTTCATCATCGACGAATATCACGAATAGATCATATTTCTGTCACATTGAGTCATTTATGCTCACTTACTGACATTTATGGAAGCCTTGTCATTCCAATTATTGATACCTGGTTTGGCTTTGTGGTTATACCGAGCGAGCAAACGCAATTACAAATTAATAGCCCTTCCGTTCATTCATTTGGTCGGGGGCTTATAAGTAGCGATTGCACCCAAAATGGGACTGGCTCTCCATGCAACGTCATAACAGCGATGGGGAAAAGCTACCTTGTTTCTGCCAGCGAAGCGTTTAAAGTTCTACACAATGCCTCTACGATCAATAAAGTAAACTATTTCCCCTCAGACCAATCACAGGCTGTTTTATATCTCGGAGATGCAGCAAGCTCCTCAAACCTCGACTTCAAAGCCAGCACATTCGCAGTATCTACGCAGTGTCAACCAATAACATATGACTGCACTCACATGCATCCTAATGACTCAAAGTTCAACTGTACACCTGCACTTACCGGCGACTTTAACACATTGCCAAGCCCGGTGGGAGTCAAGCTTTTTAGCAACTCAAGTCTCACCAGGAACTTGCCTTTCACATATCAGAATCCACTCTATTTTGCAACTTGGGCTGTAAAAGAACAGGTTGATTCAAAGAGCTTTCAAAATGACCCTGGAGTTGCCTATCATTCTGACACAGTCGAAACATTATCTTGGATCTTGAATTGCTCTTCTACTGTCTATGAAGCAACGTATACCTGGGTGAATGGTACCGTAACATCATTCAACACTACTCTGGCCAATAGCACTCTTGGTGGTATCATGTCTGGCCCCTTTGGCAACGACCGTGTGAATGCCGCGTTACAATGCTCGGCCAACTTTGCCAGCGCCGGCAATAGCTCTGCCGAGATTGCGGAAATCACTGCCGCTTTCATGTCTCGCGCCGTTTTATCACTATCAGTCGGGGCTATTAGCAGCCGAAAGAATATTATAGAACAGTCTCGCTCAAGGATACTTCTGACCAGAGTGCCAGTTGTTCCATTTTATCTCTTGATAACACTCAAGGCACTTTACGTGTGTGGTATCATAATATTAGCGGCAGCCATAGTCATATGGTCTCATCCTAAAGAGGCAGCCAGGTTGAAATCCCAGTTCACTATCGATGGATTGGTGGGTACGATATTCAGGGAAGACAAGCTTCACATGCCCGTTTTGGAAAACTCGGAGGAGATGGAAAATGGTTTCCAAAAGAGTAAAGAAAGGGAAATCAAGGTCGCTCTCTTGAAAAGAAAGGAAGAATGGTCATACGCCACAGTATTATTCAAGAGTGGTGAGGCTGTGATTAAATTCGTGTAGATGAAAGCAAAATATATGCAAGACTGATTCGGCTATGGGAACCAACTTATGTTTGGGCTTATTGGGTAGGGTAGAGTCTAGATATTGCAAGATCAAAGTTGTCGCGAAATTTCGTATAATATATCTATCTACTTTTTATATAATGCTATTGCTACTCATTGCCAACTGTGAACTATTATTGAGAGCTGAAGTCAATCTTGAATGCATGAACGATTATAAAATCCCTGGAATCCATCCTACTAGCCCATATCCTGACACAAACGGTAATTGAAGATCAGAAATAACTAGTTCAAGATAAGATCGCAGAGCGATATTGCGAAAATGAAGGCTCCCTGATTTAATTATCTCTGATCAAAGATTAAACATCCTACTGTGCGGACTTCAGGACATCCAATAAGGGCTTGGGGGCATTCTGTGCAAACAGAAGGCTTGCACTACCGTTGCTTCGTTCAATCAAGTCTTTTCCGCGCTCAAACATTTCCTTCTCATATGCCGCAACCGCAGCATCCAGCTGGCCCAAACCGTGTTCCGCGATTTGAGACGCCAGCACAAAGGAATCATACATCGAGCAGTTGACACCCTCTCCCACGAATGGGGTAGATACGTGAGCCGCATCGCCGATAACAGTTATACCTGGAACTGAAGCCCAAGAGAGTGCCTCAGATGGAAGGTGATAAAGCGGCCAGGGCCTAAAGGCGCCTTCAGAGTTTGTAATGATGTCCTTGAGGGGAGAGCCCCAAGTGCCGAAGAAGTCAGTGTTGGTGACAAAATAACTGCGTGCTGCCTCTCCGTCAGCTTTAGAGAGGTCTACAGGCCCATTTGTAGCAAAGTCCTCAGCTACAGTCAAACCGAGATAGATGCGGTAAGATCCGTCTCCTTGCGCTTGTGCTGAAACCTGCTTTGCTTCTCCCATAGCAATGAGATTTCCACTTCCGACAAGTTTTGCGATAGTGGGATGGAAGGGGTTTGAGTTCGAAATCTTGGCCTCAAGGTAATGCTTTCCCGAGTATTGAGGCTTTGCTGAGGTGAGCTTTTGTTGTTAGCATATTTCTCCTTTATCGGACGCGGGTACTACTCACCAAGTGCCTTGCCTTGCTCCATGCACCGTCTGCTCCAACAACAAGTTTGAAGCCTGCAACAGAAATGCCATTCTTGAAGTTGATGGAGAAATTGCCAGAGTCAAGTTTTTCCACGCTACCAACGGCGTGATTCCATTTGATCTTACTTGGTGGAATGGACTCGAGCAGAATCTTGCGCAACGAAGCGCGATCAATCTCCGGGGAATCTTGTTCTTCACCAAACGTAAGATGTGTGGTTCCATTCTTGTCCTGAATAAGCGTTTTGGTGGCGTCCCAGCGCGCATACTTCTTGAACTCGTCAAACAGTCCGGCTTCCTTCAAGACAACTTGACCGGTTTTGCCATGAATGTCGAGAGAGCCTCCCTGGCCCTCTACTGAAGAGGTTGCATCTCGTTCGTAGACGACGTAGTCTATCTTGTTGACTTCTAGCAATCGTGCCAAGGCAAGGCCACTAGGACCGCCTCCAATAATTGCAATCGCTGGAACTGACATTATGGTGATGATGCTGATGATGTTGCGATACAAAAAAATGAAGTGAAGACTCTTGGGCTGTAGTGTGCTTACAATGAATGCTGATGAGAAGTGAAGACCATTCATGAACGATTGATCGAAGAATATATATACTCATCGTGAAGACGACTACATCTTGATATCCGGAGACCTTGGTCCATGTTCAGCCAATCAAGTTGCGTGAAGTCGGACATGTCACAGTGCCCGGGCATTGCCCCACGCTATCTTCCGGATGGCACACCGGATTCAAGTGCCGAACGCCATCCGGAGAATAATCGACGAGCTGGGGCATTAAGGGATAGACTGGTGTCAGGGATTTGAATGGGCAATAATTGCGAGGCCATCATGGTCTCCCCTTATTCGATAGTGTGTGAACACGGGGCGCGGTCGGAGGTACATAACCATTCGTGGAAACAACGGTGAGGGAAATGTCGGGATACGATTGCTGGCCAACAAATGAGTAAGTAGTAACTGGTTTTAAACTAGGACTGATATTTGGCACCTAATATTATAAATGTAGTACTTAGCTGTGCCTTGTACTGAGTAGTGACGGGCTACACAGCAGCTATACCTCGAGTCTGGACGCATTACGCTCTTTCTTCACAGTTAATCCACAGGTTTTCGAAGTATTCAAAGCACATAGTACTCTCACTATGTCGTAATTACATGTACATAATTGCAAATACAAGAACTTATAGAAATAAATGAAAGTAGACTCTCGCCCTACTGCTTCCGAAGCCACCTTTTCGGCCTCTCACCCTAATGATCTTGACCGACCCGTTCCTTGAACATCTATTACACTTTCCTGATCAAGACTCGCCGACGCCAATCTGAGCCATCACCATGGACCAATACTGACCCTTCAATTCCAATAGGCTAGAATGGGTTCCTTTCTCAATTATCCTTCCACCATCGAGCACATAAATGCAGTCGCAGTGTTGGATCGTAGAGAGCCGATGTGCTATCGATATGACGGTTTTACCTTGAGTGCCCTCTCTAATAGCAGCTTGAATGAGCTGCTCACTCTCACTGTCCAAGGCGCTCGTGGCTTCATCGAGAAGCAGAACCGGTGCATCCATAGCAATCGCTCGCGCAATTGCAATACGTTGCTTCTGGCCACCGGAGAGTTGGGTACCTCTAGATCCCACTGAAGTTTTCACTCCATCTGGGAGGGATGAGATTAAATCTCGAAGTTGTGACTGATCAATGACGCGCTCCAGTTCGTTTGGTGTTAATGGCGTCGATCTTCCCAAGTTGATATTTTCCTCGACAGTGCCCTGATATAGAACTGGCTCCTGGCTGACCAACGAAAATAATGTGCGAGTGGTTCCAGGAGCGTAGCTCTGCATTGATGTACCTGAAATTATAATTTCTCCTGCGAGGGGCTCATAAAATCGCTCGAGAAGCTGGATTATGGTGGATTTGCCGCACCCAGAAGGACCAACCAAAGCTATGGATTGTCCTTTGTATAGCTTCAAATTGAAGTGCTTCAGCACCCGTTGAGACGGCCTGGAGGGGTACGAAAAGTCTATATCGCGGAATTCTATGAGGGGAGTCTCTTGGTCCAGAACCGAAATGTCTGGCGCCGTCTGATTCAGACTGGCTACATCTGGCACGGAATCTTCCAGTTCGTAAATCGCTCGGGTCGACGATATACCTTGAGATATGTCTACATAACAATGTATTAGCATTCCAACTGCAAATACCCCAAGTTAATTCACCATACCTGAACTGTGGGCAAAGAATTGCCCTGTGGTTTGGGCTCCAAATACGATCGCTATGAACACGATGAAAAATTGTGTTGTTGTATACTCCTGGAACGATAATAGGCGGCCACCATACCTGTAATGTCTTGTTAATAGTGAGCGTAACAGTATATGAGATTGTGGCAACTCACCAGAAGGCCAGAGCCATACACAGCAAGTCAATGCTGTCGCTCAAAGCAAACCAAGTCATGCTCCGTACCGCATATTGCCAAGCATTGCGGCTATATTCGTCCAGCAACTTTCCGAACTTCTTTTCAATCAAGGGCTCCATGTTCAGCGCTGACACGGTGCGTATGGCTTGAATAGCTTCGCTGGCGAAGCCAACACTGTCGGCCAACATGGCCCCAGACTTCTCCTCAAACGAATTTTGCATTCTTTCGTGGACAACTCCGGCTCCAAAAATGAATGGGAAGCCACCAAAAAGAACCACGAGGCCAAGTTTCCAGCCCGTAGCCAAAGCAAGTGCCACGCAGCTAGCTAATGCGACTCCGACAGTTACAATAGCTGCAAGATTGCTCCCCGCAAGAGCGTTTACTGCGTCGGGGTCTGACGAGAGTCTGGATAGCAAGCTGCCGACGGAATTCTGTTCAAGATCAAAAAATGCCATAGGCTGAGACATCATAGAGCGTAAGTAGTCATATCGATATGCCTGGGCAACAAGCTATACGAGAGTCAGCATAAGGTGGATGTCCTACCGATTGTGTACTCTTACCTCTCCCAGCGCTCCTCCCGCCCATCCTACACCCAAATACCCGATTCCGACTGCGATGGCCAGTATAAACCACATGAGACTCCAAAAGTTACCGTGAGATACGAGGGCAGCACCAGTCAACTGGAATGTTGTCACCACTCTGGCGTAAAGAAATGCTTGAACAGGAAATAGAGCACCTTTTAAGGTCAGTCAAAAGTTCAAGAGACGAGTATTGATTGTACAACTTACCTCCAACGGTTGCAGATGCACAAATAATGAAGAACACCCACCAGTACTTCTTTTGAGAAGAAAGGATTTTTCTAACAAGAGTAAATACTCCTCTGCTCTTAAGCTTTTGGCTCGTATGCTCCGACATTGCACGAGGTGCATCTTGCACCTGCGTCAGTTCTTTTTGGAGGAGAGAATCACTAGCTACTGTTTCGAGCTCTTCATCCTCTCTTTCCATGGAGTGTTGGCTTTGCGATAACATTTGCGCCTCCCATAGCCGTTTATAAATACTGTCTCCCTTGTCCAATAGGCTCATGTGTGTACCAACCTCTGCAACTTCGCCCTTTTTCATTACTACAATTTGATCTGCAGCTTTGATAGTGGTCAGGCGATGGGCAATCGATATAGTCGTCCTATTTTCACAAGCATTATCGAGCGCCCGTTGAACGGTGGCCTCTGAATTCACATCCAGCGCACTTGTAGCCTCATCTAGGATAAGAATAGGTGGGTTCTTGACAATCGCTCGAGCAATAGCCAGTCGCTGTTTCTGGCCACCAGAAAGCATCGTGCCTCGGTTTCCAATTGGTGTATCGTATCCCTGCATTGTGTGAGTCGACACCATAATGGCAGCATAACCTTATATCATACCTCGGGCAGTCTGGTGACAAATTCGTGAGCATTGGAAGTCTTGCAAGCTTCTACGATCAGACGCTTCTTTTCTTCGGCCGGTAGCTGCTCCAATGGGCTTCCTGACAATCCATACTCGATATTTTCGTATACGGTACCTGTGAACAAGTAAGGTTCCTATAATCTTGTTAGAGATACAGCTACATTTCAGGAATGCGCGGCTATTCTTACTTGTTGCACAAGTCCAATATTTGCCCTCAACGTCTGAAGTGGGATTTCATCTGATCCAGATTCACCTATCTTGATCTGCCCACTCGCAACATCATACCATCTCAAAAGTAGTCCGACAACAGTTGACTTGCCGGAACCACTGGGCCCGACCAAAGCAGTAGTCTTACCAGCTGGAATATTGAGAGAAAATCCTTTTAGAACCGTAACATTTTTCCGAGTTGGATAATTGAACGATATGTTGTCAAAGGTGATGTCTTGCTGGAAATAGCCCGTCGCATAATTGGAGTTTTCATCCCGCCCCAAGTTCGGTCCTGCTGTCGGGGCCGAATCGATGACTTTAAAAATCTCGGCTCCAGCAGATTTAATTCGCAAAAAGGGTCCAAGATAACCAGCGAGTTCTGAAAAAGCGTTTACACCAATCATAATGGAGAAGAGAGTGGTGATGACTGTCCCAGCCGTTGCCGCTTCACCATCGACATATAGTTTCAGTCCGTACCAAAAGGCGAGGGCATATCCTCCATAGAGCATGAATATGTAAACCCCAGCCTGGATCCCCTTGATCGGGGATCGAGCAAGTCCAATTGCAATGGCGCGCTTCAGCATGCCTTCGTACTTACCGCCTAGAGCCTTTTCGGCTCCAAGCGCCCTAACGGTCCTCATGGAGCTTATCACTTCATCCGCAAGCGTTGCGGCTTCTGCATTGATGGCGTTAAGGCTTACTTCTTTCTTCTCGTCAAACACACTCGTAATTCCGACCGCCCCAACCGCAGCTGGAATTATTGTAGCCGTGACTAAAGCCAATTTCCACTGCGAATGAAGTGCCACAACGAAAGCTGCCACGACAGTAGAGCTACTCTTTAATGACAAGCCGAATTTCTCAGCTAGGCCAGATCGAATGGTGTTTGAATGAGTAGAGAGGGCGAGGGAGACGGCTCCCGATGTGAGAACGGTTTCATGATACGCGATTCGTTGATGGAGAACAACATTTACATATTTCTGTCGAACAGCCGAATTGACACTGGCAGCGACGACGGTGAACAGAAACATGTAGATATATGTGCATGCTGCCTTTGCGATGAACATGTAGATGAAGTACAGCCTATAAGTTGGTCAGTTTCCATATCTTTCATCAAGGCCCAACCGGATTTCATACGTGTAATGGTTTACTTTGCCTCGGAAGTGGTCACTGGGGATCCGCCCCAAAGCAAAATCGGTGAATACCGACACGAAGTTGCCAAAAATTAGAGTCATCAAGGGCAGTACCGTTCCCGATCCCATGGCTGCCAGAATGCCCACTGTATACATAAGCTTCTCGCGAAGAGTCGCCATGTTCATTATTTTCTATTTGTTATTTAGCTGGAGTTGGAAGATCAATCCCTTTCTTGTCTGCTGACCTTGTATATTTGGATAAAACTCAGCGATTGTTTCTCGCTCGCCCGCAACGCTTCACAATCGTCAGATTTTTCATGACGTTCTTGGACTTCCCCAATACCCACAACAGCGGCTTCTTGAGAATGCGCCATCTTTGAGTGTTTTACTGAGTAATGCTGCGATTGTTGTTTGCACACTCTTAGACGTCAAAAGCACTTCGCATGGATGAGAAAGAAGCGGAATAATAAAGAAGTCGCCTTTGCTATTGTTGTGGCTAAGAAAAATAACTTGGAGAAGGACTATGGAAAGACGAAAATAAATGGCGAAAAAGGACAATCTGTATTAAATTCTACAACTCTCATCTCCGGAACCATGATGCGGTTTGTATTACCTGTAAAGCTGGTAAATGGCTGCTTTGTCCAATCGCGGGGCTCCCTGTCGGACATTTACTGCTTGATCGGCTTCCCGCTGACTTTGGTGCTAATTGGTAGTAACGGACCAAGGAGGGTGGAATGTTACAAGGATGGTTTCTTAATTTCCAGCCTAAGTCAAAAATGTCCGTTTCTAATTAGCATCTATTAACCTTTTGCATGAGAGACGCAGGAGCCGAATATCTTTGCTGCTTTCCAACCTGGCAAGTCGCTGATGGCTGAGGGCCACAGGTACGATACGTGATTGCTGTGGACATAATTCGATGTTCTTTAGAGATTATACAAACCTTGACATAGATATTGCCATTCAGCTGCATAGGCCAGTAGGGGAAACTACCTCCTATTACGAATCAATTGGTGCTGGTATACAATTCCTCTGCTATCATGGCTAACCTGTATTCACATATGCTTTCGCGCAACATTGCTCGTAACATTATTTGCCTCTATGCCGATTGATGGAGATCCGTTTTGTTAATACTATTATAATGGCTCTTGCCATTTATAGAAATAAACATAATGTTTTGGTACGTGTAATTGTTGGGTGGTGTTCATAGATGAGGTGCTCACTCCACGATGTTCTCAGCTAGTCTGCTAAGTCACCGCGTGGTGATGGGTTGAATGGTTGACTGGTTGCCCGAGGGCCGCTGGATGGTGATTTCTTCTGACTTGGATGGTATTTGGGTAGGTAGTTAAGTTCATATTTTCTTAGTAACAAGTAATCAATACCTACCTAAGTTACATAGGTAGTTCTTTAACTATTTACTACTATTACTACTCTCTGCTATTATCAATAGTTTGATCTAGCATCTGGTACTATAGTTATATTTTTTCTAGTATCTGATACTGTACTTTTTTTTTATAATTACCTAGGTAGTTTCTGTTATTATCACCTATCTAGATGAAGGCAGAAAGATCGTATTCCGACGAAGAACATACGCCGTTAGCCTCTGATTGGATGGCGCCGGACTTTTGTAAAGCTAGACTTAAAACTCCGGCCGCCACCAATGACGGACCATGAAGCCGGAGCTTAATACTTGAGCTTCCGCATAGGTTGCCTCTCCATGATCTCACCAAGAGAAAGAGAAGTAACTTGAACATCGTCACGGCCCTGGTTAGACATTACCCATCTATCGCACTATGATTCCGAATATGCCACCCTCCAAAGACGTAGGATTAGCACGATTTGCGGTACGTCGCAGTTCCCACCATGTGCCGCCGGTAGTTCTGTACGGCTGACGCATCTACACATATGCAGTGCACCCATTGCCGGCAAAAGAAGATCAAGTGAGTTTTCAAGGTTATCAAAATCAGAATCATGATTACTAACTTAAAAAAGATGTTCAAGAGAATTTCCTAAGTGTGCAGCATGTCGTCCATGGCCGGGCGAATGCATCTACCACAGATTAGGCCCTATCTCCAAGTCTCATGAGACTGTCACCACGTATGACGCTCAATCGTTCCTGCACTGATAGATGTCTAATTCCAAATATCAGAGCTGAAACAGCCAAAAAGGAAGCAACTATCCTTCCTCAAAACTCCAGCAACGTGGACCAGCGTCTTTCGCGAGTTGAGAAAGCCCTTGATACGCTCTCTGACGTGATCAATACGTCTCTCGTAAGTTCTGCTGGGCATCGTGGAGTCTCTGAAGCTCTTTCAAGCACAACAAGGTCAGATACGGAAGCAACGACATCATATCGGACGCCAATTGGAGAAGTAGATACTCCTCAGCTCACTTTAGACGATTCGCATTCATTCGCATACTTGAGCGAAGCTTCGCGGCACTTGGATGTGATTAAAAATAAATCCCTACGAGGGCGACTTGCAGAACATCAAGCAGCATCTTCCGCATTACAGGGCCTATCTAAATCTCTGACCACAGTTAGCCTCCAGCAGCCACGCACAGATGCAGCAGCTTTTGAGTCTCTCAATGGATACTATGTACCCTCCCGAGCGGCTGGGTATAACTTGATAAGCTGCACGTCGATCAATTCATGAAATCTGCATGATAAGCTAACGGCAACCAGATTTTCTTCAAAGTGCACAACTAGCTGATATCTTATTCATCACTCCACCGGATGACCTTCTCTTGAACGTCATATTCGATCCAGCTACAGTGCCTCAACGCGCTTGGATTGTCTACGTCAACTTTATTCTTCTTGCCCTTCTTCAGAATGACAGCTCTCAATCAGACGTTGTTGAAAGTCTCCAGAAGAACACGGAAATGGCACTGAATGACTGTAGAATATTTTTGGAACCCAGCGAGATAAACATTCAAGCGCTCTTGTTATTAGGGTGCCACGGCGAGCAATATGCCTCTCCCAATCTCTCTTGGATGCTTGTAGGCCATGCTTGCCGCCAAGCTCAGGCCCTTGGCCTGCATGTGGTAGGGAGAGGCAGTTACAAATACCAACAACGCCAATTAGCTTTATTCTGGTCCTTGTTCTCAATAGACAAGTCTTGTTCATTGGCCTTCGGGCGGCCAATGCTACTCCCGACCACCATATATGAGAATGTTCCACTGCCCGACTTCCAGTACCTCCTAGGCTACCACCCACATAGAAGTCAACCCGTCGTTACACAGAACGGCTCTTCTACCTCAACCTTTGGCGCCCATTTTTTCATCCAGGGAATGAAATTGGCCAAGTTAACCGGAGCGGCGCTCAGTCTTCTTGCGAGTCCTGGAAATATCGCGGACCATCAAGATTTGGCTTCTAAGCTACGGTCATGGGATTCATATACAAATGAAGTGAGTCTCATCTCTCAAGCAAAAATGATCTCCAATTGACATTCTGTTAGCTCCTGTTAAAAGTTTTTGATGAAGAATCCGCCACCTCAACAGCTCACCAGATCCAAGAGATGACGATTGGTGTGCGCGCAACGAGATTTCAGTATCTGCACATCCTGATCCTAGTATTACGCAAGGACCCCAACAGCAGAGAACGTCGTGTTCAGGCCGCTCGAGATGCCATCATGCTCCTCCCAGACTTGGTATCAAACTCAATCCATGTGTACAATGGGCTAGTTTGGTAAGTCTAATGGTATTACTCTTCAATAAGCGCTCGTACTGACGTCTAGAAATTGAAGGCAACTATTATACTACCCTTTTACGCCATTCTTTACACTGTTTGGTCATATCATGGACTATCCATCGGCATCAAGTACACCACAAGACCTTGAACTGCTCCAAAAGACTGCTACATATTTCAACAGCATGAAGCAATTCGGCTCTCTTCCCGCAGTCTCTCTCAAACTGGAAAAAACAGCTCTAGTCTTCTGTAACTTGGCAAACTTTGTCACATCCGGTGAACATACCGGTGAGGATATACAAGATCAACAGTCTACAGCGACAGGGACTAGTTCAGAAGAATCCGTGATGCCAGCAACAAGCTCAGAAGAGCCTACTGTTTGCGGAATCGATACTTCTTCCAGCGAAGCTGATTTCGAGCTATATACCAACGCCTTTATGGCTTACATCAGAGACCAAGACCTAAATGAGCAGTCAGGCTTTGACAATACTGATATTGAAAACATATTAGGCTGCTTGGATTCCGATGGCCCTTCACCACGCAAGCGCAAGAGGTCATTTGAGAACACAATGGACTGGTTTTTTTGGGACACATATTATTGTAAAGAATAACATCAGACTCTATAAGTTATGTCCTCTACGCCAAGAACAAGGCCACACATACCCCCTGCTCTTCCCAAGCCATTTCTAGTACAATACAAACCCATTAACGCCTTTCCGTCATTCTCCCTCTATTGTACAAGATATTAAAGACATATGTTTTGGCAGCCGCTACAAGAAATAAAATAAGTCGCTCAGTGCAATCCGCTCTCTCCCGTTTCAGCCATGTACTTTTGGCAGCTCAACATCATATTGAGCTGCTCGCTCACTTCGTCTAGCCGGCCAAGGACCGTGCGATTGCCATCAACAAAGCCCACAATGGAATAAGGAATACCCGTATCTGCGCAAAATTCCTTGACTAGGGTCTGCGCTCGGCGGAGATTGTGTCGTGGCATCCTTGGGAATAAATGGTGAACGGCTTGGAACTGGAGTCCGCCATGAATAAAGTCAAGCCAAGCAGGGCAATCCACATCCATGGTGGTTCGCAATTGTCGCTGGGCAAAAGATTCGGTCTCTCCTAAGTCTGACGTTGACATGCCCCAATGCGAAAGAGTAATTTGGACGTGCAAGGGCATAGTGACAATGTGTGACACCAGCACAAAGGCCACACGAATTGTCCATGTCGGTAATGAGCGCCAAAGCAGGCAGTAGCCAAAGAAGAACCAGTAAGCAGCGCAAAAGGCGATTTCCGTGGGACGAATCCACCATGCTTTGGTAGACCCCAATGATGAAGATTTGCCCGACAAGAGGTGCAACCAAGACAGAAGATAGAGGTTGAAGCGAGCAATGCCCATGATCGGGTAGTACGTGTACTTCTGATAGGGAACGAGGGCGTCTGCCACGGCGTCCCAGACAAAGACGAAGCCATTATAGTAGGTGGAACGGAGTGATCTAAAGAAGGAAGGGCATGTGGCGAAGAGAGGGACGTTCTGAATATCAGGATCATGCTCCTAAGACAATAAGATTAACGGCTGATCATCTTCTAGAGTCTCCGATATGACGGCGGTAGTAACTCACTGGTTGGTTTGTTATCAGATGGTGGACATTGTGACTGCTCTTCCACCAGCCAATGGAGAGACCGCAGCAAAAATCAGCGATGAACATGCCGGTGAGCGTGTCGATGACAAAGATCTGAGTAATGGCTAGATGGCCGGCATCATGAGCCGTGAACATGATTTGATGCTAGGAATCGACAAACGAAAGGTCAGTATGATGATGTGCTAAATGAGGCAAATACGAGAGGCACTAACCCAGAACAACCCAAGAAAGACGGCTGAGGTCATATACCATCCATGGTGCAAGGCAAAAAGAAAGCAGGCAAACAAAGTCGTGTATCGAAGCATCTCCTTGCCATACTCCACATATCGGCAGTTATAGAGCCCCTCATCGCGTATCTGTTGGTGTAAAGCCCGGTATCTGTTGACGACGCCCTGTTGAACCTTGGGGTCTAAAGACGGATAGTCGCGTAGGCCCTTTTCAATCCCCTGCTGGACAGCCCAATCAGCGTACTTGACAGGACAATTAGTTGGTGGAGACGTAGCGCCAACAGATGATGCTGATGATGAAGCGATTCGCCTGCGAAGGCCCTTCTGGCCAAGACCGAGGCTAAGACCAGGGATACGAGCACCTGGGCCGTCGATGCTGGACAAGCTGGGGCTGCTGCACTGAGAGAGTGAGGCGGGTGTGTTGGTTGAGCTCAGTTCATCGGAATAATCGTCTGTGTCTGAGCTGCTCTCGGGATCTGAGATGGACATGTCCGGAATCTCCGGCTCAGTGTGGAGGCTTGATTTGCGGAAGATGCCTCCCCTGATCGGAGGAGTCTTACTGATCCAGGGCCCCATTGGCTTCCGGCCGATCCGGTAGGCCACCATCGTTCGTAATGTAGCCGCTGAGTGATATCTGCAGCAAAAAGAAAGATAAATTGTTAGCACACTATCACAGGCGGTTTTGTTTAGTCTGGAGCCAAATGCATGAATGGGGCCTCTGCAAAGGAGATCTAGATTCAGCATGGCAACCCGCGTGCCGTCCCGCGCGCATTGGTGCGTTACATATGCAAGTTTAAGCTTAAAACACGACAGAGCCGGTGTCTGAATCCTACTTTGGGAGTTTTGCTTTCGATGCACACATTGGACACAGCACTGGCAAAGAGTTTGCCCATGGAGGCACAGGAGAAGAGGCCGGACTGAGGACGATACACAAACGGGAAGATGAAGAAGAGAGGTAGGAGGGACAATATTTACGCTGTAATTTCGTCGGTCGCGTCTCGTCCCACCATATGCTGAATAACCAGGGAGCCTCCTGGATGCTTGTCCAGCCATCCGTTGAGGCGTAGGACATGATCTTGGAAAATGACAATGGTATCGCCATCGGCAATCATGCCTTCGACATCCCGCTGAGAGAGGATCTGATCACGATCCATAACGGCAGGGAAAAAGAAATCGAGCGACGGTAATGGCGGGCACTGATTCGGTATGTATGTCGATATGTTGGAGGGATAGGAAGGCTCGTGGCTCGGAGAACAACTCTCTTGCTGATATTAGCGACGTATCGTCAACAGCAATAGCAATGAGAGATCTGGGAAGTGTGTCAAAGGTTCGAATCGAAATGGACAATGTTAAAGTACTGAACCAAAGAGAGGAGGAGCGAGCTTGACTGGTAAGAACAGGCCAACGTGCGCCCATTAGTACCTACCCAGATCTCCTATTCCACATACACCAGCCCCCATATGGAACAAGGGAAGATACGACAGACTTTCCTCTACCTACGCAAAACACGGCCTACGGAAACCATGTTGGCCGTTTCATCTGCTCGGACGCGCGTCGGTTGAGAACTATGGGGCATGAATGTGCTTTGGCCACGAAGAAAGGAGGCAAGGAGAAAGACAAACTGGCGCCACTACAAACCATGGAGATTTTCCAGCGCGAAATTCGATGCGCAACGGGGCATTGCGGCCGAACTCAGCTGGACTTTGATACACATGTAGTGGTCATACGAGATAACCTAGTAGTATTCCGAGGATACAGCGCTACCTGATAGGTACTTTTGATGGGGCTTGAGTTTATTCTTGCGCATACCGTATAGTATCCCGTTGATGCTTGCAGATGAATGGCTACAAACCATGAAAAGGCCAAGGTACCATCATCAGCCTATTTACCTAGGTCAGCATGTAGGCATACAAACGTCATGCAGCTGCACCTAGCCAACTAATGTGCTTGAGTTGAGACCCTCGCCACGCCAGCTCTAGGCCTTCCAGAAAGGGTGTGGGAATAGATCTTAGCATCATACTCTTCAAGTTCCCTGTCGATCTCGTTTAAACAAGTACAGAACGGAGTACTATACAGTAAGAGAGAATGAGATATCTAGCCAATAGAAGCTACCCAGGTACGCAGCAATATCGCCACTAAAAGCCTAGTGTAGGTTACACTGCCCACATTGAGTGTCATTATGCTCCGTGCTCACGGATACAATGTTGGAGTCTCCAATATTCTAGAAGCCCAATGGAGAAGACTATTCGAGGCTCAGGAGGCCTCTATTTCATAGGGGTTTTCATAGACTCCGCGCTCCGTGCTCTGTAAAAAGTCATCCAAAACTTCCAAGTTGAGTGTTGAAGCAAGCAAAATAGGGGTACTGTATTGCACAGCAAGGATGGTTCTGAACATGGGCCCCTCTGCGTGTTCCATAACGTATTTTCTCAAGCTTGTGTGGCTGAGATGTACGACGACGCTTCCGCGTAATAAACCCTGTCGCGGCGTCTATCTTGGCAACGTTGTATTATGTAAAATCTCGGCCTATCGGTCGCTTTTGAGCGATTTTAATGTTAAAAGCTGAGTGGCATCTGGAACCTTTGCTAGACAGGCACTAGCACAAAACGCAAGGCACAGGCGCCGCCTCAATGAGATCTCATTGCTGTTGGCTTAATTGAGTTGCTTTTGGTACGAAAACTAAAAACTGAAGCCGCTGGCCGGCTCCACACTGAGTGTGAGCATAATAGCATTGAAGCTTTGAGCCAAACGATTGGACACAGTTCCAACAATAAGACTCCATGCTTTTCGCCCAATCTTATTATCTCCTCTGCCTTCTGTTGTCCCTTCCATAAGTACATATAATCCATAGCGAAACCTTGCGTATTAATTCTGTCCATCTTGCGCATCATCAAGCCCTTATCTCACCAAGATTCAGCCGCGGAGCATTTGTACACGCATTATGAAGAGGAGCACACACAAGAGCGGGGGAATGAATCCCTGCCTCTGCTCCAGCCAACAGGGTGGCTCTCCTTACGCGTTTCGGTTATATCGTGGACACTGAACATGGGGTGAAGGAATATTTACAGTCTTCTGAGCCGTTCCTCTGAGATTCACATCCCTTGCAACCAGACCCAGAAATCGTCGCCCATCCAAATTTCTTCCTGTACGAGTATACCATGACTAGCTCAAGGGCCAGCATGGCCTTCTGGCCTAAGCAGATGATACCGCCCACACCTGAAAACTACAAGGAGCTGGCGAAAGATGGCGCAGAAAGGCTAGCTGCCGTATCTCTAGAGCAGATCCCGGCTATTCCGGCCGGTGCCGTGATTCACGACAACGGCTGCGGACACGGTTCTGCCACGGCCGTCATCATGGCCTCTGCGGCTCCAGAAGTCGCTGCGACTTATAAAATCACGGGGACGGATATCTCAGGTGGAGCGGTGGAAGTCTATTGTGACCGAGCGGAGACTCAAGGCTGGCCTGCTCAGGGTCTTGTCATGGATTCTGACAATCTCAAATTCCCAGACGAAACTTTCACTCACTCCATCGGCAATGCGCTGATCTTCGTGGGGCCTCGCAACAATGGAGTCGACGCTACCAAAGAGATGTATCGCACGCTCAAGCCCGGAGGGACGCTCATACTAAACTGCTTCGCCTATGTGCCTGTCCTAGAGCCTATCCGTGAGGCTTCTCGAGTAACCCGCACAGGAGCCATACTACCGGCCTGGACGTCATTTGAACAATGGACAGATCCATCTGTTATAGCGAATGTTGTGGAGGCCGGTGGGTTCAAAAAGGAGTCCATAAAAGTCGAGCAGCGCGAGATGTTTGTGAATATCGGAGATTTTGATCGCCACACTGAGTTGGTCTGGAGCATGAGGGGAATGCCGAGCACTGGCTGGAGTCGAGAAGACGAGGAGCGGTGGGACGAGGCGTTGGAGATTGTGAGGCGTGAAATGAGAAAGACTGAAGGTTTCAAGACCCTTGACGACGGCACTACGGTTATACGAAATATCATCAATGTGGCAACGGCGACCAAGTAAAGGCCCGCGAAGAGACAGAATGAGGCTGATACTATCAAGCTCAGAAATGGGTCTTGGGCGATTGCAAGAGGGGATGTTGAACTTTATATTTGGACATGTACCAAAATTGCGCGATTTTGTCTCAGTCTCTCGTCCTATAAGATACACCTAGGCATTATGCGGCATGTAGGTGATTTTATTTCTTGCGATAGTTTTAGGTATAAAAGCTGTATTATTAGGAGCGAGCGTTTGGAATCTCCACGCACTTTAGGCAGATGAAGAATTTGACGGGATGTGATGGTAGATGATCCATTATAAACGCGACAAATTACACTGTAGCACTCTAATTCGCGTTCAGACATCTGGCTCGAAGAAGTATGCGCTCATTGTCGTTGGTACTATTAATTTCCATATAAAAATAGAACGTGTATCTCGGGACTGTCGGTACCTTATACGAGACTTCGCTGCATCGCGGAGTCAATTTTACAAAGAATACTGCCACATTGGATGGCTGAGACTATGAGTTGTTGTTCAGAAATACTATACCAAAAGGCATCTGGCCGTATAAACGGTCTCTGAGTGGGATAGACGTGCAAGCGGAGGACAGAAAAACCGAGACCTAAAAGATTTTACACACCTGCGCGTTAAACTATACGCCTGTTTATTTAAGTATCTACTATTATATCTATATTTCTGTAGTATCTGCTGATATTTATTTTTCTGTAGTAACGGCTACCCTATCTAGATGTTTATAGTAACTGCTATTATAGTTATAATAAAATTTGGGTGCTGTCTGAATAGGGTTCCCTTAAAAAGCACCACTTGATGAGCCGATTAGGTGCTTATACTGCTGAATGTATGCACTTATTCATTTTGCGGTCTCGCTTTTTCTAACCTCCGCTTGACGTGTAAGACGTCCTGAGAGGGCGATTCGTAGATACATGTAATACTGCATGGCATCCAGATCCACAGATCCAGGGCAGGCCCTTGCAGTGCAGCTTGCATCCATGCACTCCACTTCGTACTGGAGGTGTCATGCTCACCGTCTGTAAGACGATTTCACTCTTCCATCGAATTGTGCAAATGCCAAACACCGTCAAAGAGCATAACGTTTAAGTTGTTGCCAATTGTTGCCGTCATGAAACGGCCGTCTACAGACTGTCACTCTGCTCACGATGAAGTCAGGCCGGCAAAGACGCGCCAGCGATCATCAAATGTTGCGGTGACACGGCCATCAGCAATCACCGTGAATGACAATGAGATGCACGCAGGAATTGAACCGGGGATAAGACATGAAGACAGTGGCCCAGATCTGGATCAACTACCCCATACCAAGCCAAAAGCCACGGCATATCTCAACTCGCGCGCAGGGGAGCTCTCTCAAAGAGAAATCACTGAACCCAGTCCATTACAGATGTTCAAGAATCCCTACAAGGGCGAGGACATCATTGTGATGGCCCAGCTCATCTTTCAGAAGACAAAATCTCCTGCCAGATTCGTGGAGGAGGTTATGCGTTCCATCTTTGTCCCTGAGATGCGCAAATTGTTCACCGAAAAAATCCAGAAGCTTTTTCGCAAGCACGCACGTACCACCGTGCTCTCGACTAGCCAGCAGAAGAAGCTGGATAATGGTTATCTACGTCTCCAAGAATGGGAAACTTCAAGCCAGCTTTCCTCAGGTCTGTTTGGCTTGAAGTAAGTCCAACTGCTTAGCCTATGGTGCTTATGGTTCAGATGTGTATATCGATGCTCATTAGCTACGTGCTCACAGGAAAATTGATGACCTGATTGAGGCCATCAACAATGCGATGGACGAGACTCTGGTCCAAAAGGAAGAGACGATCATAAGAGACGAGCTGAACCAAGATAAATATGCCGATAGGATCATTAAAGCCTTAGAACATAAATACGGCTTTGACAGGTCTCTCATATCCTAGGACATGAAGTGGCTAGACGTTCTACGCCCCGTCTTCGAGATGACAGCAAGCACGGATATATCAGGAGCACACAGAGAGCAATGGCGAAATCATATTGGATCAGCGCTCAAAGAGAATCAAATCGATTGGGTTATGGGTATTCACAGTAGCTTTCTTACGGCCAAGATCGCTCAGAGGATTGTATCCAACGAAGAGAGCCAACAACGAACAATTGCCATGTCTAGCCTCACTCATACTCGCGAAATCACAAGGTTTAAGGACAAAGGAGAAGGCATCAACTTTGGGTGCAAATTCCCTCTCAAGAACGGCCTCCCTGATGGCCTTGTTCAAGGATTCAAAAAATTACAAGAGAACACAAACTCATGCAATTCGTTACCCAACCCTGGACTCATAAATCACTACAAGAAAGCGTTCAGCCTGTTAGAGGAGCTCCAATCTGAGCCCCAAGTCGAGCTTCTCTGCATATTAGCTCTTACTGTCGGCATGACATTAGACATGACTATTTATATCGTGCCTAAAAAAGATGCTAAAGATGAAGTAGCCAGGTTCGCAATAGCTAGCAGCTCTGTGAAGCCCAAGCGAGGAGGAGCACGCGTAGCTCTCCTGGCATTGCGAATGCTATGGTACTTGATGCCCGAAGAGTTCGCGTGGGAGAAGGCAAAGGGATATGGGCTGAAAGTAGAAGAAGAGACAGAATACAGTACTCAGCGTGTGCGTGAAGCAACTGGTAAGTGTCGGTCTTCTATAGAGCTCCAAAGGAGGTGTGCTAACTGAACGCCGACCAATATATGATAACGAACAGCATGCTTGCCGCACTAGGCTGGCTTGATTGTCCCAAGGACCAAGTAAACGGTAGCTCCAAGTCTAAGCACATGAGGATAGCCAGTAAAGAAGCCTTAGATGCACGACTAGAGCAATTGCGAAGCCTGATGCCAAAGCCGACAGATTTTGTGCGCGAAGTGTTCCAGAGCGATGATCCGAAATGGGTCGACCAGTGCAAAGCCATCATTAAATGGTAGACGATGGATCACAAGGACTGTAAACTACCCCTGTCTACACGAATAGAAAAAAACAGAGAATGTAAGAGAGTAGGTGGGTAGTACCTATTCATGACTTACATCTCACAGAAGCGTAAGAATAACAGAACGAAAAGCTGCGGAGAAATCAACGTTCTACTCATCAAGATTAGCTATTAAACATTACAATATATGCATTCTAATACTAGCCGTATTCACAAACATGGCTTTCCTCAAAATGCAACTCCTTGCTATCTACTTTTGCTCCTGTTGCTGAGTAGCTCCCTTTTCACCTCCATCCGGGACCGCTCTCGATTTGCGTGACCTCAACTCGTCCCAGATAATCAAGCCTATCCAGATAGGTAGCAATATACCTGCAATCACGTAGTTTCTGACATAAGAATGGGTGTGAATAATCACATTCTTTTTTGCCAGCTGGAAGCCCAACCCAGAGTTAATGATGCCCGTAATGATGGCGACTCGTCCTATCCAGCGGTGCACATAAGCGAATATGCTCTTGCGGCCAGTTCTCTTGAAATGCCGATGCTGCAAGATACCCAGGATTGGCTGAAAGAGTATGAGTGTGCAGACGACGATGAAGCCTATGATGCAATGTGCATGCACAGGGTTATGGAGATATCCCACGTATTTGGCGACCCTGATGCCGAGAGCCATGCCGCCAACCATCATGAGGAATGCTATGATTTGGATGGGTGCATGTATGGCCATGATTTTATTTCGGAGATAGGTGTTTCTTAGATAAGGGATCTGCTCGATGGGGAGGTGGACTGAGATTGCTCCCAAAGGATAGAGGACAATGAAGACGATAGACATGATGCACGCATGTCCATTTCGCTCTCGGTTCCAGACTCTGAAGGTTTCTCTCTTTTCGAATGAGTGAACATCTCTTCCTTCAACTTGATTGTGAATTTCTTGCGCTAGGACCAGGTTTGATGCTAGGCATTTGTCAATCATTAATTCAATGAGACACTCTTTTGTTTAACACTTACCAAGTATCAAGAAAAGCGCCGACAATGCAGCACGCAAGTGTCGCGTCATGATTTCTTAGTTCTTTGTTGATGAATAGATATGTATGTTGACAACTTGATGAAACTCGTGTCCAGCATCTCTTGCTATTAACCATGGTAGAGCAGTCGAGTCTTTAATACAAGCTATTCAAGCCATTCAAGCCGTTTGATCCGTCCCGATTAGGTGAGCTGCCATAAGACCGGCTCTTGTGGCGTCAACTTGTCACACGTGCCGGCGGGGATACAACAGCCCGAGATACAGAAATAGAAATGCTTCGGGAGGACTATTCAGCCGTAGCGGCTCTAATGACGCTTACAAGTACAGGCGATGGCCTCTCTGCTTCAACTCTCCAGAGTCACACGCCACACTTAGATTTGATCTCGAGCTCAGTGATTCGTCCTGTTTTTTGGGCCTTGCCTTGCTTTTTCAATTAAGCTCGTTATCTCGTGGGCCGTATTTTTTTTCCCACATCCCCAGCCTCGATGACATCAATTTTTATCGGGTTTACGTGTCCCACCGACGGTCGGTTGCAGAGGCTCGAGACATTTGACCGATTTACTCAGATTTGTAAAGCTTCAATAAGTTTTGGTGTTGGTCATTTGCATTTGGAATCGCGGCAAATTCCGACGGACACTGTTGAATCCAACCCATGTTTGCCCGCAACTGATGTGTACAAGTCGCTTCATGATATAAGCTTTTTACCTACTATTCAACAAGCAAATACACATTTCAATATCTCTAGCATTTCTTCGCATCGATTGTTTCGTCAGTATGCTCCCAAAATAGTATTGGGTCCATCTGCGGGATCAGTGGCGTGGGCACTTTGTAAGGCAAGCTGGAACAGTTCGTCGCCCGGCATGTCCGGCAATTACAAACGAGACATATTAGTTGGCTATATGTGAAATAAATTGATGCCGCGTGAAAATTTATAACACGAAGTCATTGTATGCTGACTTCATTCGGTAAACTCCCTCTGTGTTGTCTCAATATGTTGTAAAGGCGTATGTTCTTACTTCGACGGGTTATCATGTCGAATCTAGAAAGGGGTCGGTCGTGATTAAAATTGGTAAGAAGATTTGCTAATTATCATCGTTCCATACCAGCTTCTTACTAGACATTATGGTCCAGTCCCCTGTAGAAGTGAGTTGTCCTTGATCCACGTATTTGAGAATCCCCTCCTTGGAGCCCAAGCAGCAGATGGTGGCTCGGGCAGGTACAGAGTATGCACGCACATATTGCTTACCACTGAAGTAAGTGGCGAAGACTACTTTGTAACTGAATCATGAGTTTCCGTATATCTATACGAAAAGTTACCACGCAGACTTTACCCATTAAGAAACATGAGGCTCTGCGGGACTTTGCTCATTCAGACATTCAGCAGCCATACCAGTCAGTACCAGACAGCGGCCATTCCACATGATTCAGAGCTCATATGAGCGGATAAACCCAGAAATACATGTAGGTTAGATTTAACTGAGCACCAGTGCTGACAAACACTTAAAAGCCATCATGGCGTCCGCATTTCAGCGACATTCTCCGATATTTCGAACATCAAATGTTTGTGCCGGCTTCAAAGGGTAGTACCATCAAGCTCTAGGTTTAAATCATGAAGGTAATGTCAACAGACGCTTAAAGGGGGCACACTGAAATGCTTAATCAGTGGCTCACTTGCAAGGTTCTACTCCGTCGGTATCGGGTTCTTCTCATAGGACTACCAAACTTTGGCATACTAAGGATAGGGTTATCTTGCTTTTGAACAATAGTACATATGAGACTAGTTCGAATCGTCGGCAGCAGTAGATCTTAATGCTTCTGACGGCCATTATCACATGTCAATGAAGCATTATAGTCGTTGGTAAATAATTCGCTACTCGATTTGCTCATTCGTTTCTTGAGCAGTTTCCACCCGCTGCGGTCTAACCACAGGCTTAATCTCCTGCGCCACTCCCAACCAGAGAAGATCAGGGCGGCTATAATGTCCCGTGCAATCGGCAAACATCTTGTTCACTAGCAGTTCATCCATGTTCAAGTTTGCATAAATGATACCCTCTGTGTCTTCCTCGATGAGGTCTGTTATGCGTCGACCGTCTGGACCAAAGACGGTCGAATGACCTCCCCCCGGGCTCGACATGAGCGCCCCTCCAGTTGTTCCCAAGGTCTTGACTCCGTCTCCTGTAATGACTGTGGTGCAGTGTAGCACGAATGTTCCGGATTCAATGGCGTAGGTGCGGGAGAGCGTTTTACAGCCTTGGATCGATTAGCAAAGCCTGACGGAGATGGAAAAGAAAGACTATGAATACCTTCCGCGGTCATAGACCACGGGATAGGATCTCCGACTTCTGAATTCAGAGGAGGCCAGATAGCAACGTGAATCTCCTCGTTCTGTGCAATGGTATTATATTTGAGTAGTGGCTGAATATGTTCCCAGCACGCCAATGAGCCAACGCGACCAAACGGGAGCTCTCCCACGCTCTGCAAGCAATGGCCAGAGGCGTCTCCAAACACGGTGCGTTCCATGTGCGTTGGCTTCATCTTTCGTCGATGGACTTTGATCTCGCCATCAGGTCCAATGAGAACATTGGCGATGTAGAGTGAGTTGTTGCTATTCTCCGAGAAACCCAACGAGACGGCAATCCCATGTTCACGAGCGCACGCCTGGACCATTTCCATTTCTGGTGAGTCCAAGCGGAGGGAATTTTTGATGTAAGCAACGTTGAGGTCAAAGTCAACCGGCCGACTCCTGTCATTGAGATACCATTTAGCTTCTCGCAAGCTTTTAAAGCTACACATGATTTCTCAAAACTAACCAAATCCAACAAGGGTAGCCTGGAACCCAAGTCTCGGGGAAGGCGATAAGCTGAGCATTATTCGATGCTGCCTCTGCTATAAGCCTGCACGTTTTTTCTATAGTCGCCTGGAGGTTAAGCCAAACAGGCTCAGCCTGAGTAACGGCGACGCGAACAACGCGGTCAGACATGCTGAAATGGCTTTGCTTCTTTGGGCGTTAATAGCAGCTGATTATTGATACGAAATGACTTTTTTGGCGTTTCTAATTGCCGATTACGGTAGCTAAATATGGTGACTTTTGATCTCTGACAAAGTATGGGCTTCAGTTTGACGTTTGAGTGAATATTAAAATCCCATATATGCCATGATCAGGCAAGTAGGTATACGAATTGGCTTCACTGAGGTCATCACAAGATAACCCCGCCAAACCCCTCATTCCAGCCTACGAGAATCGATGGATTCCGAGGGTGGTACAAACACACCGGAACCTGTACGCCGGCGTGATAGGGCTCCAGGATGCGATAGGTCGACGCCGTATCGCCGGAATCAACCGAGTGTATGGCACTGACCCCGCGCGGTTTTGACAGATGTTAATTGCAGTCCTGCATTAGAATAGCTTCGTAGCGGGGCTGGCGTACGATCCAGAGTCGTGCCATTCTGTTGAGTGTCTATAGTAGCTCTGTATGACTATTGGAAATGGCGTATCATGTGATGCAAGCATTCATGGAGGAAAAGGTGGGATAATGGCTAAGATAACGACAGATGTTATCAGGAGGGGACATGATAGGGACAGCTTGGGAGCAGCTGGCGAAGATATCAATATGGAATACCAGTGATAACGGCTACATTGATCAAACAGCCATATTGCACCCAAAGTGTTAACAATTACTATCATCCATGGGTGGCTTATTAAGGACGATGACACCAATAAGTGTCCAAGTCGCACAGGCCAGTAAAGTGAAGAAGCCACTGAACGAATTTGGCTTGGAGTGTGTATATTTTTACGAATCCGTACACGGAGTACCGGGATTTGTATTGGGTTGTCTCGGGAGTGTGAGCGAGACACGGAAGTCGTGTCTGCAGGAGTGTCTGACTGCCACTGGTACATCTCGGTGATGCCCTCATTCGGCCAGCCTCACTCACCTAACCTAGAGGTATATCGCATTTACCGGGGCTGGTCTCTCTGCAGTCAATACGACTTGAATACCTGATTTGAAAGGTATTCTGGGACGTTATGAGGCATTGGATACTTTTGGTGACAGCTTCTACAAACACATGCATTGGAAATCATGGGATTATCACTCGTCGTGGGCTGGCTGGGGATGATGCCAAACCAAACCACCAAAGAAACTGAATCAAGATGCCAGCAGCATTCGAGCCCAACCAAATGAACGTAACGCAAACCACACCCCTAAAACTGCACGCGCCCGCTTTTTGTTACACGCATTGCGTCTGCTGTGACACAATGTGCATGCACAGCACAGCACAGCACACAGAAATAAATTGCGTGCTCCATCAACTCACATGCGCCTGCATGCAGCCTGTGATAGTACGACCCGTGCTTTACACCGCCAGAACGACCACCACCTCCCTCTGCCGATTCTGCCCAATTTCCAATGGATGTTGTTTTTTTCCAAATTTTTTTTTTCTTAGACAACATCCACTGCACCTCCATTTTTCTTGGAGAGAGAGGGGGGAGTGGATTCCCAGCCAACCAGCCCAAGACAAGACCCTCTCGTCCATGTCTGGGAAATTTTCCTTTGCACGTGCCTGGTCCTCTTTTCTTTTTGTCCTTTCTTTTTCTCTCTTTTAGGGTTCTGGACACGTATGGACGGTTATCTCTGCATATTAGTTGGGGGCCAGCCAGGGGTTCGGGGGTCTGGTCCGGCATGTCATCGAATCCCAACGGATCACCCATCAGCGCTGACGTGAACGGGCGAGCGAAGTGTGAAATGCGAATGAAGCTGTGCTGGATGCAGTCGTCTCTGCCGAACCCCATTGCCCCGATTCGGGCGTCTGGGCTGCCACTCGGTTATAATGTGTGCATGATATCTGCCTTAGCCCGTCCAGCGCATCGACGGGTTTTTTGGTCTGACTGCGACGGGGGTCCCCTGGTCCGGTCCGGTTCCTGAGGGGTTGCGGTTGTTTGCGAGCGAGCCGGTGCGACGTCGAGGCTGGGTCAGATCGCAAGCCATTTGTCACACAACGATTGAGGAGGGAGCCAGGATGGAAGAATTTAAGTCGGATCAGATCAAATCAATGGCATTCGAGAGATTGAATCTGGATGAAAGAAAGTGAAGCATCATGAGCTTGTTGACCGTGATGCTGCTGCTGCTTCATGCTGTCTTTCCCCCCACGTTTACCCCTTCTCTCTTTTCTTTTTATTTATTTTTGCTTTTTTCTTCTTCCCACGCGTGGAGCCATTTTCTGTTTGAGCTTCAGCTGACCGTGGCCACTCATTGAGCCATTTCCCGGTCGAGGTGAGGCACGTAGCCCAACGACGTGCAGATGCTGCTATTGTCGTGTCTTTGGTGCCTTAATTCCGGTGCATGTATGTATGTAATCGTCATGGACGTTTGTGTGTACAGGCAATGGATTCCATTGCTATATGTAAACTTTGCCTCTATAATACTCTACCGATCAAATGACGGTGATGGCTTCAAGCCTCCTAGCGCATGTCAAGTGCCAACATAAGGCACCATGTAGCGAATCGCTGCCCCCAGGTAGCTCCTCGCAGAGGCCCGGGCGGTCGAGTACCTTGCAATCAGCTCCCTGTACTCGCAAAATAGCCTATCGGCACACCTCTGGCAGCTTCCCCGCATAAAGCTCCTGCGTTGGCGCCAAGCAAAAACTTGCCCCGGGATCCGCGCCCACTAGCTCCAAGCCGTTGATTTTCACCTTTTGATTCCCGCCTGTTTCATTTTCTGGTGGTTCATTTTCTGCCATTCACGACTCGGGGAGAACATCTGGTGAGAAGCAAGATACGAGGGAGAAATAAGGGAGAGAAAGAGTGAGAAAAGAAGAAGAGACAGCCGAGTTCGAGACTTTCGCGGACACTCGCAGCTATTCCTAGCTACAATCTCTGCAACATTCGCACCTTATATCTGGCCACCGACAACGACAACGATATCTCGTCCAGACAAGATCAGCGTCCATGTCCTTGTCCATGTCCATACCCGTCACACATCATCATCATCACCACTTGCAAACACCATCACCGCACAGCAACCAAAACAATCCAAAACAACAACAACAAACCGGCAGACTAGACCACACCACACACCACCAACAGACCAGCGACTCCCGCCTGCATATCCTTGTTCCCCACCGTCTCCTGGTCCGTCTCCCCCTCACCGAATCCGAAGCGTCCTCGCGCATCTCGTTACTCCAGCAAGGGGAGCTCGGATCCCTGCGCGGCTGACTGGCCTCTGCCGTGCGTGTCACTAATTTTTTTTTCATTTTCTTCTTACATCTCCAAAAACCGCCTTCTTTTCTTCCCTTCTACTGTACTCGTGCTCCAGAAAAGTGGACTTGTCACTTGTTGAAAGCTGGATTGTGGCCGCTCGGGTGAAACAAAGGGGCGCTTGCCGAGCTCAAGGTTTTCTAGCGCAGGGCCGTCGCGTGCTGTCAGTGGCTGGGCGCACTTTTTTGATTTTTTTTCAAGGTTCCCAGTGGCAGGTTCCGGTTTGCATTGGATCATTGGATCGCGGCGTTTGAGACCAGCTGGAGAGCATTTGGCGCGCTTAGCCCACCCGGCCTCACACCCCGGGAGCAGCAATTCGGCTCGACGCCCTGCCAGACGGCAGCTGCCGGGCGCAAGCCCACAGGCGACTGACTGCAGCGGTGCGATTCGATACGGGGGAGTGAGTGGACGTGATTTGGAGAACCTGAACTTCGATCTTCGCAAGTCATTGACTCGCCTCCCGTCCGTCAACCTCAATTCACCTGCTGTCTGTCCATTCCTCGCGGCAACGGGGCGGCAGCTTCAGCCCATCCGAGGCCCCAAGATCGCTCCGCCCGGGTCGGAATTTTCGAGCTAAGTAGCTAAAACTTCGGCACGATGGATCCAAGACGGTCGCCAGCTCTCTACAACCACAACCGCCATCACCGTCCGCATTTTCCCCTGCCGCCCTCGAACTCGGCATCGACTTCGTCATCAGCAGCACCACCGCCAGCCTCGCATCGCATCGCCAGCCCTGCTTATGCCCACCAGCGCCGCACCTCGGACGCGCCCTACCGCCCTTCGCACGTCCGCGACTATCCCGAGCCCAGCCATTCGCGTGCCCAGAGCGCCTCGTCGCTGCCCACCGCTCGCGAGCTGAGTCGCAACATGCCGCCGCCCACATCGCCTCCCCAGCAGCCGGGGCAGCAGCAGCAGCATCAGCAGCATCCCATGTCGCAGCATCACCAACAGCCTCACCCGCCGCCGCCTCATGCCATGACTTACGGGCCACCGCCACCGCGGCCTCCCCCCGTGGCCGTCGGACCACCCAGCGCCTTTCCTTCAGGTCGTGAACTGCCTGCTCTGAGCTCCATCGCGCGCGCTGGCTCAGCGTCTGGCGGCAGCTCCATGTCCATCTCGTCCATGCTCGGCGGCCCGCCACCAGCCTCGCGAGATGCTCAACCTCCCTCGACTGCGCAGCAATACTCATCGCACTCAGCCCCGACATCCGCCTCGACCTCTGGCCCTGGCTTTGCGGCATCTATCCAAGCTTCGCCTCGAATGCACTCTGCGTCATCCGAGTACCCTCCGTTTCGACGACCTCAAACCCCCGAGCTTCAACGACCGTACGACCCTCGAGCTGGCACCGCGCCCTCTCCTCGAGGCCCCTACGCCACGACCCCCGACATACAACGATACGGCACGCCGCAGCAGCAGCAGCCTCCCTATCATTCGCGACACCCCTCGAGCTCGACCGACCCTTCGCGAGACGCACCAAGGCTGTCTACAGCACCACCGCCTCCTGGTCAAAATAATGCTCAGTCGAGGCCATACGGTGGCATGGCGCCCCGGCCGATGGAAGTCGGGAGGGTGCCGGGCCCGGAGGATGCTTACGGTCGTCGGGAGGAAGTCACGCGATCAGCAGCGGGTCTGGATTACGGTGAGAGGGCTGGCTTGAGGCCTTATCCGTACGATGATCGCTACAGAGCAGAAAGGGAAAGGCAAAACGCAATCGAGCAGCAGCAGCAGCAGCAGCAGCAACAACAACAACATCAGCAGCAGCAGCAGCGAGAACGAGAAGGGAGGGAGCGAGCATATTCTGGTGGCGACCCGAACCGACATCCGCTGCCCCCGCATGACCAGGCGCATCGCGAACCCCCGGTACATCAATCTGCCCCCTACGGCGCACCCCCTGCCGAGCTCCTCGACCGGCGCGATCCTCGAGACCCTCGCTGGGGACGGCCGGAAACCGAGGCGAGCTACAGGCCCGCGCCCATGGACCACCAGCGGCCACACCCAGACTATCCTCCTGCCTCTGGGCCCTATGCGCCTCATAGCTCTTCAGCGTATCCAACAGCGCCTCCTGAGAGATTCCCTGCAACCTCCCATCCAGCGTATCCTCAGAGCGCAACTGGCGCTGCTGGCCCACCTCAGCCTCACGAGTCTCCAGACAGAGCCCGAATGGAGCTTCACCACGCCCAGCAGCAACAGCAGCAACAGCAGCAACAGCAGCAACAGCAGCAACAGCAGCAGCAACAGCAGCAACAGCAGCAGCAACAGCAGCAACAGCAGCAACAGCAGCAGCAGCCCAGACCTCGACCTCTTGATGATGTGCCTCTGCCTCATTCGTCGGCGCCTTTTGGCGGTGCTGTCGGACACCATCAGTTTGACCCGGCGCGAAACAGAAATGTCGACGACCCATCTGGACCTGGCATTCACCAGCGCAACCTGCTTGCCATCCAGGAGATTAACCGCAAAGGGCGCGTATCCCCGCTCCCACAGGCCGTCCAGGGTGCGCAGCCTCAGCAGCCTGGCCCCGCTGCAGAACCAGGCATTAAGAGCGAGTTTGGTCGCATGTTTGCGGGCATTGGCAGCGGCGTGAGCTTGGGCGGCCTGTCCAGCCCCGTCACCTCGGCCCCGGTGCCGTACGTCAACGCCGCGCTGGCCAAACGAGACGAGATGGACAACCAAGGTCCGGATGCTGGACCAGACGGTGCGACCAAGGGCGCAAGAGGCAGAAGACGAAAGCATAATACAGACGAGAGCCGTGATGATGATAGTTCAGGTAGATTGACGCCGGTAGGACGTGGCACAAAGCGTGCGAGGGGCCATGGCCACCACCACCATCAGTAAGTTTTTGACTTTGGATTAATCCGAGTAACAGAGTTGCAGTATAAAAAGGCTAACCACGCGTGTTTTCCATAGTCACCATCATCACCATCACCACCACGCACCAGAAGGCACCGCGTCTCCAACAGTTGCAGTAACCACGTTCAAGAATTTCAAAGGTGCTACACCGATGGAATCACCGACCGAAAAGATGCCGAACGCTGCGCATCATCACCATCACCACCACCATGCGCCGCGACCCGCCCAACCGACCCAAGCCCCGAAATCTGCCCAGAGTCCCCCGACCGCGATCCCACCCAAGCCGCGAACCATTGTATCCTCCAAGGCCGTCTTGGAGCAAGTTGCTGGCCATCCCCGCCACCACTTGGGCGACTTCATCTACCAACCAGACCTGAAGGCGGGAAGGCTACTCCCTAATACCCCCACACACCGCGGCTTCTCGTCAAATCCGAAGCCGCTGCCACTCGAGTTGATCAAGGGCAAAGAAAATTGCACTCTGACTGTCAAAGTGTCGCGCGTTCACCTATCTTCGGTGGCTCGGGAGGAGATTACCGCCAGGGCATTCCTTTGGGGTACAGATGTCTACACTGACGACTCGGACGTGGTTGCGGCATGCATTCACGGGGGATGGATTAAGGGCGAATGGACCGAGGATGTTGATACATCTCTGCTGGATCTGGAGCAAGGTCTCAATGGCGAAACGAAGCGGCGAAAGGTTAAGAACCAGGAAAACGAGCCCGCCAATGCCACCTCTGAAGGACTCATCACCGCCCCTCCCGTCGCAGGCCCAATGCCCATCCCCGCAGAGCGCGACCTACACGTGAATGTTTTGATACTGCCTCGACTCGTTAAATACGCCCCATCCACGCGATACGGAATTACTAGCCGCGAGTTTGGAGGAGAATACGGATCACGGCACGCCGTCCACGATGGCCTGAGCTACATGGTCAAGAGCATCCGCTGGGTGCAAAATGGTGCCCAGCCACAGGCCAGACTTCGCGGAAAGGGTCGACGAGAGCGCATGAGGGAGCAGGCAGCCAACTATGTGATGATTACAGGGCTGGGAAAGGCTGATATTTTGGAAGGCAAGCCTAGTCTTGGCAGCGAGATCTCCGGCAACTGGGGGAAGAGAAAGAATGCGGATGAAGTTCCCGAGGCTAAGCGCCGACACAGTGAAGGAGACAAGGAGAATCAGCCCGACGAAAAGATGAGCGACACCCACTCTCAAGGGCACGACCAGGATAAGGATGTTGAAATGCGAGATATGGGAAATGAAGAAAAGGTGGTAACGGCTGAGGAAAAGTAATTGGTTTTTTTCTTTTTCTTCTTCTTCTGTTAATTATTGATCTTTTTCCATTATCATGAGGATTTGTTCAAGGAAAGGCCTATGGGATGGGATGGGATATCCCCTGGGAAGGGGGGAGGACTCATATATACGGGGCTTGTATTTTGGGCGAACAGCAAAATAGCGAGGGCAAATGCTTTGTTTTTGGGAGTGGACCAGGGAGGCGGCGGCCATTTTATATCCGGAGCTTCGCTTTTTCTTTTTCTCTTTTTTACGTCTTTGAGTGTTTTTCTCTCTCCTCTCTGGGATATGAAAGAATACCCCCTCTACTCATCATGATGCGTGGGATAGTAATAGTACATGCTTCAGATTCTATAGTTGTAATGTACAATTCGTCGCTGCGTGCGACGCTGGTATCTCCTCGCGGTTGATCCTTTCCATCTTACATCTTTTTTCATACCTCTCGGTAGCCTTTTTTGTTCTTCTCTTCCCTGTGTGTGTAGTTCTCTCTCTCTCTCTCTCTCTTATTCGTATCCGAAAGCCTTATTCAAATCGCCTTCTGTGCCTCCGGGAAACCCCCAAACCTCGTTCAAAAGTCCGTCACCCTGCCATTATAGCTCCAATCCCCATCCCCACCCCACCTCAAAGGCTCATTCTTCGGCCCTCCCACCTCGCCCGTCTTGGGATTCGTATCGCCTTCGAACTCTGGTGGCGCGCCACGAAAGAGGCCCTGATTAAGGCTCGTAGCCTCGTCCGTCTTTACGGAATTCGCAGAAGCAGAAGCAGAAGCAGAGGAGGAAGCGGTTGCAGAAGAAGAAGAAGAGGCGGTTGTTGTGTGGCGAGGAGTTTCCGTCGCGGGGGGAGTTTGCGCTGCAGCTACTTCTTGGAAGGCGGACGATACGGCGGCTGCGCGCTGGAGGCGTTCGAATTCGGCTTGTTGGGCGGCGGGGAGTTTGGGGGGGGATGGGCGTGAGGAGAAGGATGATGATGAGGAGAGGCGGGTTGTTGTGAGGGTTAGGTTGAAGGTGCGGAGAGGGAGAGGGAGGCGAGGGCGGAGGAAGGGAGGCATTGTAGTTTGTTTGTTTGTTTGTTTGCTTGTTATTTGGTTTGGGTTGGGTGAGAGTTAAGAGTTGAGTTGAGTTGAATTGGGCTTGATTGTTGCGAGTTGCAAGTTGGAGGTTTGTGATTTGAAAGCTGAAAGTTGGTTGATGACGAGATGGAAAGAGACGGAGCTGATAGCCGAGGTTTAGGCTTGGTGGGGTGTGTCGGTGGGAGGCGTCGAGGGGTGGCTCTACGATATTTACACGGCTCATGATCTGTATGATGTGGGCAAGATGAGATTGAATGAGAAAGAGAATCGTATGAATCTTTGTAATTTCATTCCAAGAGCAATCAACTCTGTATCATGTTAAATTAAGCACATGAATAACACAACACGCTACGCACAAATCCAAATATCCATGTACAAATCCATCACGCATCTTCACTTACACGCTTCCACCTCCCTCCGGCCGCAGCCACTCAAACGTATCTAACAAATCAAAACTGAAAAACGAATTCATATCCGGCGACAAGTCCATATTCCAATGCCCGCCCTCGTCCAGCATGTTTGTCTGCACCGGCGCCTCCAGCGCCTGCTCCAGCACCCGCCTCACAACCTTTTTGATGCGGAAGCAAATGTCGGCGTTTGGCGACGACGGCATCACCCAGTCCAGAAACGCCGCCAGCATCCCGAGCTTCTCCACGATGATGGCCTTTGTGGCTGCGGCGCTCATCGTGCCGTGCGCCTTGCCCCGGAGCAGCTCCATGCACAGGATCCCGCCTGCCGGGGCTGCGAACGAGGCTGTTGTCCATTCGACGCAGTCTTCTACCGTCTTGAGCCGGTTCTGGTGCGTCCAGAATAGGTGGGCCAGCGTTACCATTTCGAGGCTGATTTCAAAGAGCCGGGACCCTGCTTCTTCGCCATCTTCTTTGCTGAGGAGACGCTCGATGAAGAAGAGGTTCTGTAGGTGCTCGAGCCAGATGAGAAGTCTTGCGTACAGGTCCTTGCCTGAGACGTCTGGGTTGTTGAGGTCGTTGTGCGAATAGAGTATGCAGGGCGGGAATTCGGCAACGATTTGCATTTCTCTCTTCTTCAAATTCCTGGTCATGGTTAATACAAAGCTCTTGTGGCGATGTTAGTTTGTGATTCTCCTCAGACTTACAAAAGTGCCGTCTTGCCCCCAAAATCCATGCTCTGCAATGCAATCTCCAGAATCTCATCTCTTACATACGACAGCATGGCTCTTGCACGCAACGTTGTCGACAAATAAATTTTGCCATCGGTGCTCCATCCATTCTCATCCACACGGCAATCTGTGTAGTCAGCCAGGGGAGGATTGGATAGTAACAACTCTTCACTCATGTCCAAAGGAAGTGGCGTTGAGGAGAATCTTCTACTGAGAAAGGCCGGTCGTCCGGTGAACGTGGCCGTGACTTTGTCATGTGTGAAGATGGCGGCAAATAGCTGGCGCTTGGTTTGCGTGGTGACGGAAAAGTCCTTTGGGTTGGCGTTTGGAGAGACGTGGAGGCCGAGATAGGTTGTCATGGCCATGAGATCGCCGTGCGTCCTCCAGTACTGCATGCCTGAGAGTTGAGATACACTTGGTTAGATATGCTTGCTATATAAAGCAGGGACTAATGGACGGAGTAAGTTTACCTGCATCCCCAGACTCGTTCGATTCCAACAAGCTGTGACCCAAAATAAGAAATGCCAACATGGTGTTACTGTTAGCCGCATCGCGACTGAGCTCTATGCACTTCCACGCGGCCATCTTGTACTGCTTCACGAGATGACTTGCGTGAGTATTGTGCAGCACCTCGCAGTCGCTGGATATGACAGTCATCTCAGGAAGTCTTCGAGCACCGCCAGCCCAAAAGACGTAGAGCAGGCCAAGAGACTCCCACCGCAAATTTGACCCTGAAAACTCGGCAAACCACTTTTGCGGATCTGTATGAGACTCCCCAAGAGGTACCGCACTGTTCCGACACAGTTTAAACGACATACGCCGGAGCAGCTCCTCGTCTCGCACCACACGATCCAGAGTCGTCCCAAACGCCGCCCACAGAGAATCGTTCAGCCACCGCCCCGAGAGTGTATTCCAGCCGCCGTAAAAGCTTGTATAGAGCCTTGTCAACAGCTGAGACGAAGCCTTGTCGGGAATGTGTCGCAGGGCGCCGAGAGCAAGCTCGTCCAGGCGCGGGACAACATCTGCGGTCTTGAGCGGCATCATGTCCGACTCTGACTCGCACTTTTCCGTCACTGACAAGCTGTTTTGCGCTTCTTCATAGAATGCCGAGAAACTCGTCGCGCCGAGATACCCAACATTGCTCTCTAGAGTTGCTTGTGGTGATCTACTAACGGGGACTGATATGGAGACGGGAGAGGCGTTTGTAGCCTGCGGCCTCAAAGACGGGACGGCGGCTGATCTCGACGAGTTGATGTGGTTATTCTGCTGGCCTGGCTGAGTCAGATAGACGCACTTGTCTGATACTCCTCCGCGGCGACATCGGGAGCATACGGGAACGCGGTGATCGCAGGCGACTTTTCGTCTTCGACAGGGCTCGCAGGCCTGTGGACGGCCGTTTTTGCGCCTGGGGGCTCCGGTGAAGGCCAGGTTTCCGTCCATGACTGGTGTTGATGCTGAGATGAGCTGATGTGATGAGATTCTCACTGAGCAAGGTTGCTCATTCACCTGAAGATTGTATCATCGGCTTCATAATCCGAGATTAGTCATCTATTCTTTAGCGTTGATTGAGGGCTAATGTGCTGTATTAAGAGGGCGATATACTGCGATGTAAGTCGATTGAAATCACTCTGAGCTTGGCACCAGTGAAAAATTTCCATACTGGTTTGAAGCTCTCATCTTGTGTCTTGAGATACAATGGTGACTCTCGCCAAGACACCAGTCATGCATGTCGCAAGACGGTAATGGAGTACTTATGGCACTACTTTGGAACTAGAGGCTTACAAGTACACTCTAAACGTGCAATATTACAGACTGCAACCAAGGCTCTTTTAGAGGTAGGAGCCAACATAATCGACGACAGAGATAAAACTTCTATGTAGCGACCGCGAAATGAATAAGAGCATGCATTCAGTACATAGGGCTTCAATGTGTATGTGCGGGTAGGGTCCAGGAGGGAAAAGAAGGTAAAGGGAGTAAAAGGGAACGGTGGTAGAGGGAGATGGTAGGAGGAGGAAAAAGGTGAGGGGCTGTAGTTCCCTCAGAAAACATCGCCAGGGAACTCGTTTCAGGTAGATTCTCACCATCATTTCTCAGTGGTGAGTAGCGGATTGTCGGCGGCCATGTTCCCACTGCGTGATCACTGCAACATGTAATATGAGCACCCTGTTAGCTTATCAAGTGGTGCTTTTATAGGGGAATGTCTACACGTATTCAGCTGGCACCTGGATTTTACTATATAACTATAGTAACAATTAAATATAGATATAATAGCAATTCCTAGAGAAAAATAGATATAGTAGTAGTTATTAGAGAAAGAAATAGATGGCGTTTTATTTTAAGAAAGAAAGGTTTACTTTTAGTATCCTAGGAAAGAGATAACCATTTGTCAATATTGTATCAGTATTAAAATTAATACATAGTTTTTTCTTTTCCCTTTCTTCTTCTCTTCATACGGAGTGCCCCCTCCCCGACGAGACTCAAGGGCCGCGTATCCATCTTGATCCTCCTCGTTTGGAGCCAGGCCCCAGAACCATCGTCGGACTGACTCCAGGGCGGCAGAGATCTTCGGCGCAGTATTAATGATGTTGCAAACGGTATTCACAACAGCACAAATATTGCTGATGGCAGCGTTGGTTGCGCTCACCGCAACAGGCAGGCTCATGGCAACAGAGGCGTATCGAGGTACTGGAGGCAAATTTCTAACAACATTATGAATGTTGTCCGCACCGCCCAGGGCCATCACTTATTACCGTCCCTTTTCCCCATCCTTTACCCCCTCTCCCCCAAAATTATTAATGTCATTCTTTTTTTTTTGTCATTTATTTTTCATTTTTCATTTTTTTATTAACTTTTTCTTCATTCTCTTTTTTTTAATTCTCTCTTTCATTTTATTTTATATTCTTTTTCATCATTCAGCGCCTGTGTCCCCAGCGTATTGTTTTAGACAATGGCAGACTGGCAGTTGTGTTCTTTTTACGGTAAGAGACCAAACGCGATATTTCTATTATTCTAATAAGGTAGACGGCTTTATCTTTTTAAAAGAGGAAATCTTCATTCATAGGGCTTAATCGCAAGTCTCGGTTGTATTATTCCACTGTTGGAGTCGATTCGTCGCAATCTACCCCACGGCATCTTTTCTACCCCAACTCGAGTCCAACTTATACAGAGAAGCCCCACATCATTAACTCGTTATGAGTAGGGCGAGTTAGAGCAAGTAGATATCAGAGTGACAGCCGTTGCAGATCGATATATATAAGCCAGACAATAACTACCCCAAAAACCCCTGTCCTTTATAAACAATTCTTCCCAGCTTCTAAAACTAGTGAGTCCCATCTTCTCTTAGTTCATCTAGCATGGCCAAGGGTTCACATCGCAATATGGCACCTTTAGTTACAGAAGGCATTCTCTTAGACGATACGGCGGGTCCAGAATGGCACTCGAGCGTTTGTCTCGGCAATGGCATCCTGAAAACCCCCACAATTGCCGATATCGATGCCCGTCGACAGGCTGTTGGAAAAATGGTGGCTCCGACAGGTGCCTATGCTGATTCCGATATGTTCAAACTGCAGTGTTCCAGAGTCAGTTCACCTTTTGTAAATCTGTAAACTACATGCAACTTACCCTCGTGAACAAAGTCATCCGACAGGCCGGCAGCGAAGAGATGGGACAGTAAGTGCAATTTCCAGTGACTTCAAAGAGACATCTCATATCTAACGATGCCGTTCCAGATCACCTAACCGATGAATGCCGAGCACGAGCTCCTGGAATCTTGAAAGTAGCCGCCAGGTTTCTCAAGAGACCGGGAATGATTTCACTAGCTGGCGGTCTTCCTAGCCCCGACTATTTCCCATTCAGCTCTATAAGTGCTACGATTCCCGCGATACCTGGTGCCGCCGAGAGCGACGTATTCGAAGCCGAATCCACCATTGCAATGGGACTACGCGACATCGCCTCTGGAGACGCAGCTTTCGACCTCTCTGTTGCGTTAAACTACGGCCAAGCAGCAGGTTCAGCTCAGATGATCCGATGGATTACCGAGCACACAGAACTCGTCCATAAACCTCTCTATGCGGATTGGGATACTTGTCTAACGACCGGGAACACGGCAGGCATCTACCAGGCGCTGCGAATGCTATGTGATAAGAACAGGGGCGACTCGTGGATGACAGAGGAGTATTGTTATGCTTCTGCCTTGGAGACTGCCCTTCCGATGGGCATCAAAACGGTTGGTATCAAGATGGATGCCGATGGCCCCATACCAGAAGTCATGGACGAGCTTCTCACCAACTGGGACGCTGCGAAAAAAGGAGCTCGAAAACCACATGTCCTGTACACCGTGCCGACAGGGCAGAACCCGACAGGATCAACCCAAAGCGCCGCTCGAAAAAGAGCGATATACAAAGCCTGTCAGAAGCACGACATCTACATCGTTGAAGACGATCCTTATTACTTTCTTCAGCTACCATCCAACTCAAACTCCCATCAAAACTCTTCAAAGCTTCCCATCAACACATTTCTCTCCAATCTTCCCCCTTCGTTTCTCAGCATCGACACCGACGGCCGCGTAATGCGCATCGACTCCTTCTCGAAAGTCATCGTCCCCGGCGCAAGGATGGGCTGGGTGACGGCCTCCGAGCAAATGATTGAGCGATTCATCCGGCACGCTGAAACAGCGAGTCAAGGGCCCAGCGGCTTCTCCCAGGCTCTCATATACAAGCTAGTTGACGAGAAATGGGGCCACCAGGGATTTCTGGACTGGCTGCAGCATCTACAGGCAGAATATACTGGGAGGAGAGACGTGATGCTGGCTGCGTTTGAGAAGTTTCTGCCCAAGTCGATTGTCAGCTGGAATTCTCCGAGTGCAGGCATGTTTGTAAGTACATGTAAACACCCAAGATAAATGCATGAGCAGATAAAGGCATAGAGACTAATCATAATTGCAACAGTGCTGGATCAAAATTAAGCACAGCTTGAGACCCAACGCCAAACTATACTCTGCTCTCGACATCGAGGAGGAAATATTCGCTGCGTGCCTCAAGAGGGGCGTCCTAATAGCAAAGGGCTCCTGGTTCAGGGCCGAGCCGGATTTGCCTCTGGACGACGTGTTTTTCCGCCTCACGTTTGCGGCGTCGAGTGCTGAGAACATGGAAGTGGCCGTTCGAACGTTTGGAACGGCTCTTCGAAGTATTTTTAATCTGGCGTGAGCTTAACGCGCTGCATACAGAGATCATGGTACGGATTGACTATGTTTTGAACGTGAACAATTAGCCTGGTATGAATGAATATTTATTTTCTCTAATAACTACCTCCTATGTCTATATTTGTCTAGTAACTGCTACTATATCTATGTTTGTCTAGTAACTGCTACCATAATCAACTTCCAGTCTTGTCTGGCAGCATTCAGCAGCAACGACTTGAACTTTTCTCGCTGTCTAACCGTTGACATAACCAGCATTAGAACTACTGGCATTGGTATAGTTCAAATCTCCTGATAGATCTAGCTAATCTCAGCTGATCGAATCTAACCTCTTGTGTCCGAATCTAGCCATACAGCTCCCGAATACTTCCAGGAGGGTAAGAAGCAACAACTCTTTCAGGTGGTAGTCGAATCTGCCCTTGCCATGAAATGTTGCTCGAGAAACTTGTCTCTGACCCAAAACGCTGCCATACGCGCAGTATGGTGATTTCAGAAGAAGCCTGAACAGAAAAGTCCGTCTCACAAAAGGGACACGAGCCACAAACTTCAGTTTCTCTGAGGAAGGCGCTCAAAACAACGGATCCAAGGGCAGATGTTGGGTTTGTCAGCAAATCATTCCACCAGTAACTGCAAAATTGATTGTCGACGAGGTGACATGGTCTTCCATGCAGTTTATGCATGTGAGCTTCAGGAGTCAAAAACTGATGTAGACAAATCTGAAGCCATCCCAAAGATTTGATAGAGACATTTTCAACGTCTTTGAAGAATGTATGTTTGGAGTGGATGAGGAATTCTCCATCTGTTGTGACCTTTGGAGATACCGATAATGTTCCTTTAATCTCGCTAGTCATGCCGTATTTACATCGGTGGATGAATCCTAAAACTGGCTGCAATAAGCGATTGAGATGATCTTTGTATGTTTTTCCTAAGACAGTTCCCGTTGTCTCTAGGCATGTATATTTCAAAGCTAGTTGCATATGGCGATGGAAGAGTTTATATTGGATATGTCGAAAGTATTGTTTATAGTTGACTTGATAATAGTAGCAGTCCCATGAGGTTTGGCATTGAATAGTAGGCCGTGGGTTCATCGGAGTATCGTTCCGGTTAATACGATGGAGCTTAACGCATTTATGGCAGGCCCAGAAATCAGGACGACCACGAGCTATAGCAAAAATATACTCTTGTCGCTGATCTTCATCGAGATTAATGGCGCATAGATTTTGTAGCTTGTTTTTTTTTTTTTTTTGATAATGAGGCGCAATGGATAGCAAGTTTGAGATAGTATAATTTGTTGATATTGTGGGAGGCGCTCGACGATGAGAAGAATAAGTTCGATTGGGAGGTTAAGGATTGGAGCGGAGAGATTCTGCTTGGTCCTGGTGTTGCCGTTTATGAGGCGGCGTAATACCTGATAGAGAGGCATGGTGGCGACTTAGCTGATGCCGATGTGTATGAAGAATATGGTATATCAAGATAAAATTGTGCACAGGTCAGAAAATCTACCTAGCAGAGAACGGGGGTACATAAGTTTATATAGGAACCCATTCGAAGTATATAAACGCCGAAATGTGTGTCGCTTTTAGCTCCCAAAGGAAAAGGCAAAAAGAGGAACCAAAAAGCAAAATTTGATGCAGATAAACTTTTTGGAGGATCAAAAGCTACAAATCTGATGCAGTAGAACACTAGCTTTGCATAAATGAATATTTCCTTTGAAAAGATAAAGCCGTCTTATTGGAATAATACAAATGATATGTTTGGTCTCTTACCGTAAATTACAATTCTTATTGAATCTCATTATAACATTCTAAGGTGGACGCATATCGATCAGCCGCTTCTATACACGAGCCAATCGCATCAAACAAATGCGACTGTTTGAACATCTCCGTAAATAGCTTTAAAACCGAATATGCCATCTGTTTAATCGTCGTTGCGCTGAATTCATCATCCAAAATAGGGTTAAAGAATGGAGTTTCTTTTAATATCCGCGCAATGACGCGAACCAGCACCTTCTCCTCGTCATGCAACAAGTGACTCTCTAGGCTGGCTCGCTCTAACCATTTACTTAGAAATAGAGCACATTCCAGGTTAGCAATGCTGTGAATAATGCTCCAGGATAGAATCTGAGTTTTCGACGCATATCTTAGGCCAATTCGCACTGGTATGCTGAGCGCATGTGCGCTTTGGAGAACCGCCGAGTACAGGCGCGGCGAGCGTTCTGGCAGGGGGCATCGGGCAAAAGAGGCTGCAATCACGGCAGGATCCCTGCTGCTAAAGTTCCGGCTTGGAACTGCGTTGAAGCATAGCCTTATCCAGGCAATCCGGAAAACGGCCGTGGCGTTGAAACCCAGCGGTGCCATGTGAGCAATGGGCTGCGTGGTGGATTCCCTGCTGGAAGCCCAGCCGCTATCCCAACGGCAGAGTGCCCGCCTAAACTTCATATAAACGTCTTCTGACAGTGGTGTTGTATTGAGATCTGCACCGGGTACATCAATATGTAAGAGTGTGTCCCTCGTAAGCTGAATCTGCTGCACGAGACCATGAATCGAAACCAGACATCCAAACGCAGAAGTTCGGTGGTTCGGGCCTCGAGATTCACGAGGGACTACCAGGTCTGAGTAATAATCACCAAAGGTGCGGCATATGGGGGGATCGCGCCGCCGGATTTCCTCCCATTCGAGCGCTGTATTAGCCCACCAGTGAGCTTCCTGCTGTGGCATCTTGATCGACCAAACCTCACGAGCCATGAGCCGCGGCGGTGTGTCGTAAAAGATTGAGTGTAGGTTAAAGAGGATAAAGGCGATGAAAACGGTTCGTCTGCATCCTTCGTGTTCAATCCATTGCAACCAGGTTTCATCCTCAGATGGATCCTCTTGGCACAGATAATCTCCCTGGCGTAAGTAAAGAACAATTTGTTCCGCCAGAATAAAGGCATCAGGTAGTAAGTTCTTGTATTCCCATGAGCATAAGGACATGCAAATGATCATGGCTTGAATTGTCTCGATACTTATGGATGGTTGGCCTGAATAGCCTGCTGAATTTGCCGCAATATTAGGCATGGCTTCGAGTGCTGGCTTTGCCTGTATAGTCGAGTTACGTGCTGCTTCCACTACAGCTGCTGAAACTTTGTTGAGTCTCGCATCTATGATACTTTTCGCGGCGTAGTATAGAGACAAGGCTGACTCTGCCTCAAACCGATACTGTGCGCCCATTGCCGCCATTGCAAGGACAAGCTCTAGGGGCATTTGAGAGATGCTTTTGGTGGACAGTTGCAGAAAAGGTCGGTGTAGGTTAAAACCGGAGAAACCTTCGATATATCTGCTCAGGGTGTGTTTTGAGGGTAGCTGGAATTGTAGGGGGAGAAGGGCAGCGTTATCTTGAACAGAAGTAGAGATTAGGTCGTAATCTTGGGGGGACATGTAGCACGGGTTCCTCGGCGCAGATGGCAAGTATGCTTCGGTATTCTGGGTAGCAGTCGATATGTTTGGTAATCTAGGACGAGGAGGTATTGTGGAATCTTTGAGAGGCGGCTGGCGTAGCAATTCAGAGGCACATGGCAAATCATCCTGCCAGATAGATTCTTCTGCTCTGCCTGAGACATCGCTGACAGGTGTCGTCGTCTCCGGTAATGATGGTATATCGAGGGAAGGCGCAAAGTCAAATGGTTGAAAGTTCATGGGAAGTTCTGGGCTGAAAAATGAAAGCTCAAAAGGGTTATGTTGTAACTGGAAGCTATCCCAGAGCATGTCCAACTCATTCGTGAGTGCTGTTGGAATCAGGTTGGCGGCCTCGGAAGGGGAGATTTGGGTATCACTAGTGGACAGAACCGAGTCGGTATTTGGACCGCTATCAGTTCTAAGCTCAATGGCTGATCCAAAGTTCAGCATGGTGTTCTCAGAGTTGTCAACGGATTTTCTTTGTCGATTAGAGACACTGGGGCTGAGAGGCCCATGGCCCTCGGACTCTTTGGCTAGCCTCACATGGCGAGAGAGCAGGTCCCTACTTCAGATGAGTCTTGGGAAGAATCAGGTTTACAGGGGCAACAATTAACGTACTGACGTGAGAAATTCCGTCCACATATACAAGCGTGGGGCTTCTCTTTGGTATCTGCCAGTGGTCCAAGTCGGTTAGTTCGGTCATTGAATAAGCTGGGGAGTCTCATAGAATCACGTACGCGTTCTCTCATGGCGGCGCAAGTGTTCAGTCCTTAGAAAGGACTTGTTGCAGAACTGGCATGGGGGCACTTTGACCTTGTGCCGCATTTTGTCTGATACATGTCGCTGGCGTTGCGTGAGTCGTCTCTTACATGAAGATGGCTGGAATCTACCCCAAATTACTCCGTCCGATGAAGCCAAGAGGCCCACACAATATCTCACCGACAACGGCGAAGGCACATGTAATATCACATGACATTACTCAGTGTGAGCCGGGTCTTGGAAAAATAATAATCCATCAACATTGCTCTTGTTTCATTCCGCTATTTCGACATGAAGCTAGTCTTTCGACGAAGGGGCAAGACAGATTATAAACTTACAGTTCGATTCTACTTGTTCAATTCTGACTACATTAATGTAGATGTTTTCTATCCATTTTCTAATCTAAATCAATGTCTGTTGATTACGTCAAAACTTACCGTTTAATGGGGGGTATGAGTAGATCAGGACATTCGATATTCGCGAGTGTCTGGGCTTTCTCTACATAGCTTTTGGGATACGACTGCACTTTCTGGAATCCAATTATTAATAGAATGGAGCCATATTGTGTCGGGATAGTATTCGCACAGGTAAGGCGACATCTTCATATGAGGATTATGGTGACATATTTACAACCAGGGAAATGCTAGCCAGCACCCCAACTCTGCTACCCGGCGTTGCATATTAAAAACTTTTTAACTACCTACTCATACAAGTGATAAATAATAATACCAACAGCCACTTATAGGAGTATAACTATAGTAGCCGATACTAGAAAAATATAGCAATAGTAGCAGATACTAGATTAAAATATTGATAGTAACAGACAATAGTTATAGTAGCAGATACTTAAAGAGCTACCTAGGTGCCTCATATATTTATGATTTATCAGATATCCTCAAGGGCTTTAACACAGGAATGCGGTCCACGTAGGAGCAAAAAAGGAAAAAAAACAAAGGGATGACATGTCCATACTGCTAAACTCTCTCAGCATCTCTTTCAGCAGCCTCAGGTGAAATAGCAGAGACATCCTCGATAGTATTGCTCTTAGCATAGTCAAGCTTTTCGTCTGTATATACTCCCTCAACCGTATCTCCAAAGAGTTCACCGATTTGTTCAAGGGACAATTGGCTAGTCTGAGGAATTGTTAGCGTCAATACTGCCAAAATGAGAAACAAGAAGACATCTTACCTCGGGACAATAAAACCATATGAAAGTGCCGATCACGGTCGTACAGCCGATGAAGACTAGGTAATACTTCCAACCAATAACTGCAAAGGCAGTTGGCGCACACTGTAAGAATATGATCGTCGCAACAAAAAGACCGGAGACAGATACTGCAAGGCCCTTTGCACGAAGGGGAGTTGGGAATATCTCGGAAGCATAGATGTAAGAGGTGGCGTCGGAAGTGGATGAAAAGCAAGCCATGTGCCAGAAGAGAAAGAAGACAGCTGCTCCAGCCACGCTTCGCGAACCTGTGCGTTGAAAGATACTGACAGTGATGCACTCGCCAACAAGAGCCGTGATGACACCAGTAAAGCCAACAACAAGCAGACGCGTACGGCCAACACGGTCTACAATAAGCGAATTGATGATGTTTCCAAAGGGACACACGGTAATCCAACCGCATTGTATCAGAAGCTGACGGACGGTAGAGAAACCGAGGGCTTTATATAGCGTCGGGCCATAGTCTAAAACACATAGAGTCAGAATTGCTTTCTCCCCTTTCTCATAATGGTTTATAACATACTATTAATCACCAAGGTCGCAGTTCCTTGGCAGCCAAACAAGATAAGGAAGCCAATGAGACATCTTTTACGCATTCCGGGCGAAGTAAAGAGATCAATGAATCGATGTTTGGCCATCTTCTCGTGCTGAATGAGGCTTCTAAGCATGCGAAACTCTTCCAGAATAGCTGTTCTGTCCTGCAGCATTGAATCATCAGATTCTGCTCGCACCGCTTCAAAGGCCTTGAGAGCCTCGTCTGGGCGATCCTGATCTAGAAGCCATCGAGGCGATTCTGGAAGAAACGAGATACCGATCGCGAGAAATAGAGGCGGAAGGCACTGGATAGCCAGTGGAAGACGCCATTGCGCACCAGACGCGTTCACAAAAAAGAATCCGAGGCCGACCCAACTGGCGAGAGCATATCCGATACAGATCATGACACCGTGCATACCGACGAGAAGGCCGCGAATACGAGGTGGTGCAATTTCGGATTGGTAGAGAGGGATGAGGACGACCATTGAACCTAAGTAGTACAATTAGTGGTGTGAGGAAGTGTATTCACGTCGTGCAGTCATACCTATCCCAAGCCCTGTGACAAAACGAAAAACGAGATACATGGCGATATTGACGCTGCCAGCCTGCAGAGCGCCTCCAATGAGGGCAATGATGGAGGTGAACAGGATGGCACGCTTTCGACCAAGATAGTCGGCGGACTTGATGCAAGACAAGCAGCCAAAGAGGCCACCAGCCTGGAAGAGTCCATTGATGGCACCCTCAAGCTGTGTGGCATTTGGACGAGTATCGAGCTCAAAGTAGGCGATGAACGACGGCTGTCCGAGAGTCGTGGCGATGATGCTGGAGCAGTATCCATACGTTACACTGCCGAGGGCCACAAAGGCCACGATCTGAAGTCGAGCAGTCAGTTGATGCCTTAAAGATCATTATGAAGCTATGAGATTGTAACTTACCAGAATCCGAAACAATGCCGGCGAGATCATTTGGACTGCTCAATTCAATCGATGTATGAGATGAAGAACTGAAGAGGATATTTTTTTGGAGGCTGTCGATCGGAGAGAATAAGGAGAACAAATAGTTTTACAAAGTTCCACAGGCTGGAACCGCTCCCATTCACTGCATGTCAAGCTAGCAAGCCACCCAAGTCCTCTCCCAAGACCATCCGGGGTGTAGTCCACTAATTGGCTAAGAAGCCGAGTCTCGGCATCTTGAGTTTACCAACTATTTTCGCCTTCACAAATAGCTGTAATTTGCCTGTATATCCTCTCTCTCCCGTTACCCCGGATTACGCTTCTCCTTTACCCCGCGGACCCCAGATGAATCGTAAATTAATCGGTGTGGGGAAGATTGAGACACCGATGCTCACGATGAATTCGTGCTTATAGCTGAGGAGGCTGCTGCCCGTTTCCAAGCCTCCTAGACTATCGATCATCGGCTTGGCCACTCCGAACGCAATATGGTGTCTATCGACAAGTATAGCTTCCCGGTCTTTGATGACCTGCCGTCTGTTCCGGGGCAACCTCAGGGCTGTCTTTGGGGATTTTTCGACAAGGATGGAAACAAGGATGAACTCGGTAGTGAGCTTAGACATGCTATACTCCCTTGCATGGTCTCCTTGAAAATTCTAACGCAGGTTCTGTAGCTCTCAATCTTCTCAATGCCGACACCGTAAGAAATGCCTCGCTTGAGATTCAGACTGGGAAGCACGTGCAACTCGATTGGCCTATGAACAACCTTGAATTCCCAGGCTTTGGTCGCATTCCCATTGAGCATAATGTGAAGCAAATGGCTTCGGAGGGTTTCCTCGGGCTTGATGATGAGATCAAGATCAACACTCAGACAAGCTCTCAGTGGGATAGCTTGAAACACGTAAGTTGACTCATAGGATGACTATATGAATTCAGTGCTGATATTTGGTCAAGTGGAGTATACAGAAACAGGGTTTATTCTATAACGGTTTGTCTATCCAAGATGCCTTGAAATCACCGCGAAATGGGTTTCACAGTCAGTTCTCACACCCTAAATTGCTCTTTCGACCAAGGCTTCTAACACATATTAGACGTTTGTGAACGAGGTGGAATAGTTGCTAGAGGAGTGTTAGTTGACTGGGTAAGTCATACTTGGAGGAACGGCTAATCTACAAAAAGAAATGCTGACGAGAATATTACAGTTAAGATGGTGGGAATATCACAACCCAGGCAAAGAGCCCCCGTCTGCTATATCACCCTATGCAATCCCAGTCTCCGAATTAGAAGAAGTACTCAAATTCCAAGGCACAGAATGCCACCAAGGAGACGTTCTTATCGTTAGAACTGGATTTGTCCGTTGGCACAAGTAAGACAGCAGATCATCTTTTGACGTAAACTTAGCTCATTGCCGTTATAGTCAAGCGGATAAGTCTACTAGAGCTCTCGGTACCAAGCAGCAGCATTACATGATTGGTGTAGCGAACAACATGGAAACTGTTCGCTGGCTTTATTCCAAGCACTTTTCAGCCGTTGCTGGAGATACAATGGGATGGGAGGCTTGGCCTTATCCTGAGCACTGCTGCCTCCATGAGTGGCTCTTGTGCCAGTGGGGAACTCCAATCGGAGAGCTGTGGAATTTGGAGCAACTGAGTGTCGTTTGCGAAGAATTAAAGAGATGGTCATTCTTCTTAACAAGTGCTCCGATCCATGTTATTGGTGCTGTTGGATCTCCGCCATGTGTCATTGCTGTATTCTAATGATTATGGAGATATATCATACTAGGTGTCAACTTGCGATATAGACGCATTTTAGATAGACATAGATATACAGGTATAGAAATACAAAGATGAGGCCTAATAAGAGATTCCATCAATAGTATCGTAGTTTGGAACCTCCAACAAATCGAAAAAGTTCACTTGACCTGAATCCATATCAGAAAACAGATCGTCCAACACAAACAGATTCGGCAACATTTCAGCGTTGGTGTTACTGAAGGCAGAATAATCGTTTGATAATAATGGAATCTCGCCCAGTGCCTCTAGAGGTGGCCTAGACGTTGAGTCCATGGTGCCTGTGATGTCGAGTTCTCGTGCATTTGATTGTCTTCCCATATCCTCCATACTCCCCAAGTGTTGATTATATGGGTGAGTGTTGTTCTTTTGTTGCTGTGAAGGATCAAGAGCAGGGCTAGCCGTCACCATACTCAGCTCTCCAGACTTGTTTCGGTTCGTAAGCTTTCTACGAAGTCGTTCAATAATGTCAACGAATAGTTTTAAGATCCAACCGCTGACGGGCCATGACTCTTGAAGACAAGTCAAGCCAAGCATGCATGTTCGTGCTCGATTCTCGGCAAGTTCTCTCCCAATAGCTCCTGATGTACAAAGAGAGAAAACGTGCATAGACAGGGAGTTGAAGAGAGCAGGGATACTGTCTGAGGGTCAGCTAATCAAAATTTTCAAAAGAATAGATCCAACAAGAGCACACGAACGTATGGATTTGGCAGAGCCGGACGAGAGATGTAGAAAGGATATCTTCCATCACTCTCGTAACTTCATTCGCAGCAGCCATAGCTTTCGGCCGATCTCCCCAGAAATTTGAAGCAGTATCGTCTCCAGTACTTGTAGGTCGACAAAGCAGGATCACACCAAAGCTGTGATAGTGAATATTAACACTGCGGCTTGGAATGTTCTGGCTCAAATTACATACTTGTAAGCCATGAGAAGCATCGCAGACCACAAGCCGTGACCGGTCTCGGCATGGACGCCTTTGTATTGTAATTCGGCTGGAACCTGCTGTCGAAAGTTTTCTAAATCGTCTTCAAGCTGAGTCTTTTGGGTAGGACTTGTTGATTGGACTGCCGCATATCGTGACGCGATTATCCTGCTGACTATGGTTTAAAGATGTAAGACTAGGTGTAGACATAGGACAACCTAAACAAGGACTTACATATTATGGATAGACGTGCCATTTGACAAGCATAAATCGCTTCTTCAGCTCCTAAAAGATTCTCATTGGCCATATCGCCGGGCTCGAGCATCTCTACATCACAATCTCTGTGGGCAATATGCTGTGGTCGACCGATAGAGCCACTCGTAAGCGTATCTCGAATGCGTATACACCACCATATGCGCCTCCAGAGCTTCGACTTTTCGCTACTCATGTGGGATTTGGCAGTTCTATCAATCGAAGATGTGAGCTTTTGACAGCAATCTGATGTCGCATAAGTTGAAAGAAGGTACTCACGATCTATGCATCCCTAGGCTCTGTGCTAGGCTCACAGCGATGCCCAGCCAATGCCACGAATCCTTTTCGTCATTTGATCCGCCCCACCAAAAGCTCATCAGGAATACAGCTGCAACGTTGTTCTCTTTGTCTGGATCCAAGTCGGCATCGTACAAGGCTTTGGCTTGCGTGTAAAAGACTGTACGAGCATGTTGCCTGCTCTTGCATCCTGTCAAGGCAATGTCCGCCTGGTCACATATTGTAGCAGCAACTAGCAACAATGCATTCAGAACTAGCAAGGACATTTGGTTGCGAAGACACTTCTGAAGAAAGTCTTGCCGGTTGAGCAAGGGAAAGGCTGGATGGAACCATCGGAAATACACATCAAGCATTCTCTCCAAGGCATCTGGCCCCAAGCGATGGAGGATATTTCTCTCACGTAACAGCGTTACTTGAATGTTGGCAATATTCTCACGTCCCATATCTGAGGGATCAAACCCCTCGGCAATGGGAAAATGAAGGCGCTTCTGATAGTTGAGTCTATGACTCAAAAAGGGAGCCAGCACATCGTGGATGGCATAAGTAAGACTAAACGAGTCGCCAGCGTAGAAAGTCCTGATGGAATCGTTTATTGGCTGTTGTGTTGGACGAACGCTCTGATCGGCAATATGCAGATAAAACAATGCACTCGAATCAGTAGGAGCTCGGCGTTCAAAGGATTGCGATAAGCCGCGTAGTAGTTGGCCATCCGCGGGTTCCACACTCGAGACGCCCTCAGCGATAGGAGCCCCATGATTGTTGCTGTGGTCTCTATGAGACACCGGTGACTGACCCTTTGGAGACGATACGGAAGTCGGTGTTTCGCCTCGCGTTTGTCCTTCACTTGGTGGTATATTCTTCCGACGAACATATCTGCGACCCTGGTTAGCCTTGTCATCAGAATTGAAGGAATTGCTACAAGGGATAACATGTCACATTTCCAACCTACCGTCCACGCTTTGAATCGATGAGGATACACTCGGCCTTGGCAATCTGGCATCCTGAACAAGGAACTCCAGGAGCTGCATCACACTTGACCTTTTTCGAATTACATCGGCGGCATGCTATCCGTGTTCTGTCTTTCGTACGGAGCCGGTTTCTCCTGTCCTTCGGGTTCTCCATGATGTTGGGAGCGCTTCCATCGCGGCATCTTACCACAACGTAAGTCCCTGCCTTCTATTTTATTCCCGGCTTCCATGGTCCATCATACGAATAACTACCACGTGCTCTTTGCTATAGTTCGTATACTTAGTACGGCATGTCACCCCAAATTCCTCTCCCCGCATTCGCTCGGCTTCTTCGGGGGGCGTTCGCCGGCCTGTCCTCCACACCTATCCCCACCACCCATCTCTGCCTCCAGATTTTTGTTGCCTCGTCAAGAATGGATGGATGCCACTAGTCGGTCGACAAAAGCCGATGCCGCTGACCAACTTCTACAGGATACCTTTCTATGTATAACCCTAGTCTACATGTGCTATTTCTGTACTGTGAATATGTCTCAGACATTGGGGAACATCAAGTTGACCTTTAGCATAGCACGGTCTTAGTAGCGGCAATGTAATACTGAAGAAGTAAAGCGGTAATGATAGACAAAACTAGTTGCTGATGGAGGTATGGTGGGGATAAGTTACTGCTCAGACCTCTAGCCCCAGTCCTCGCTTGTAGAGGCCTGCAAGTCCTAGTCACCCCGCCAAGCAGTTTATTCCCGATTCTAGATTCAGAGCTAAGAAGAAGGCTTCCTCTTAGGTGTAATGAGGCCGGATAATTAAGGGAGACTCATGGGTGATCGTTCAATCAATGTCTTCTATTACTGAATACAAGCGGCTATGCCGTGACTCTATAGTTGCTGTGTGTAGAAAACACTTGTCTCACTTGAATTCAGTCTTGTTGAGCTTGACAAATCCCCCAATACTCAAGTCTAATGTCGTCCATCGTCTGCTGAACTTTATGATGAATTCATACTAATTTCCCGTTAGCTATGCCCTTAGGTTACTGCATAAAAGGTGACGATGGCTTACTTGATCAAAATAGTCTTTGGCTCCGTGAAAGCTCGCAGCGCCTGTTACAAGTTAACACGCGTAAAGCATAGAGGTGAGAACGCAAACTTACGTATTCTCCAAATTCCCTACCGATCCCAGATGCCTTCTTTCCTCCAAATGGAGCTTGTATATGCATCTAAATAATCGTCAGCGGATTGGAAAAGATGAATAGCTTGGATCCAACTCAATACGTACCATGCTCACACAATTGACTCCCACAACTCCGGAGTCAATTCGAGCTGAGACTCTCAGGGCCCGATTAATATCTTTGGTAAAGACACCCGCCATTAAGCCATATTCTGTGTCGTTTGCAGCCTCAATCACTTCCTCTTCAGTGTCAAATGTCTTAACGACAACGACTGGGCCAAATACTTCGTTCCTGTAGATCTCTGCATCCGGCTTCGGATTGAGAAACACAGTTGGCTCTATGAAACACCCTTTAGTTCCGATTTGATTGCCGCCTACCACCAGCTCTGCTTCTTCCTTTCCTCGAGAAATCATGGCGCGAACTTTTTCGAATGCCGCTGAGTCGGCCAAAGGACCGTATCTTGTATCTGGGTCTTGAGGGTCCCCTATACCAAGTGCCGCTGCTCTCATCCGTTCAACATATTGAGAAATAAATTTCTCGGATATCGATTTTTGCACGTAAACTCGAGAGGCGGCGACGCATACTTGGCCTGTTCGAGCTAAGATGCCATTGATGGTCCTAAGTGATATTAATTAGTCTTGTGCATCAAATTATGCATGACTGGTAGAGGCTTTATGGCTTACCAAATAACTGCATTGTCGATGTCTGCGTCTTCAAATATGACTGCTGGACTTTTGCCTCCTGTGTTTATATTAGGTATGTACGTCCCGTCGTTGAAAGGCAAAGTTTGATGCATACCAAGCTCCAATGTTACCCGTTTCAGGTTACTCTGCGCAGCTGCAATTTGTATCTTCTTACCCGTAGCGACTGAGCCGGTAAAGCTAATCTAGCTCTTGTTAGCACTCTATATGAACCATCAACAAGATGGTACATGCAATACTCACTTTTCGTACACGCATGTGCTCAGCTAGCAACGCGCCAGTCTTACCATCACCTGGAAGAACTTGAACAACGCCAGGCGGGAAGCCAGCTTCTTCAAACAGTGGAGCAACAGCGAGAGAGCCTAGTGGACTTTTCTCTGAAGGCTTCACAATGAGAACGTTTCCTGTTGCTAAACATGGTGCAGCCTTGATAAACAGGGATGCTACAGGAGAATTATATGGGTTGATGGCAACGCATACACTGTAGAATAATTAGCCAGTAATGGAATGAACCGGAAGTAAACTGCTTACCCAAGAGGCTCTTGCCGAACGAGTTTCACGAATCCATCATCAGCTGGAAAGTAGTCACCCCGTAACTTATCGGTCCAACCAGCTGTACTATTTGATTAGATCGCTGCAATATTCCACTTCCTAAAGCATTATGAGAAGAACATACCGTAGTACAAAAGACAATTTTTAATATAGTTCTTTTCTCTGGTAGGGATTAGGGAGATGGGATTTCCCGTTGTAAGAGAGTCAAGATGCAAAATGTCAGGCAGTCTTGTCTCCAGGATATCGGCCAGCTTTCTAAAACACTCTGACCGCTGTGATGAGGTAAAAGTAGCCCATGGGCCATTGAAAGCTGCTTCGGCGTATTTTACGGCAGCGTCAACGTCCACCTTATCGGCAATAGGTATCTTCTCTGCAACCAATGTGCTGTCTTTTGGATTGAGCAGCGACAACGTATCTGTAGAATTTGACTCTATGTACTTCCCATTAACATATAATTTGTTAAACGAAGTTTTGCTAAAAGAAATTGGAATCGACTGGCCGAGCAGCGCCATCATGAATCTGAAATGCAAATTGAATGGTGAATTCGAATACGCTTTCAAACTTTGGTATGGATGATTCCTTTTGAGCAAATGCCCATAATATTATATCAATGTCAATTTATTTTCTGTCATGACGTTCATACTGCTATGCAGCATATTGAGAAATCTATGGGGGCGTTTAGTGTCTAGCATGACACTTTTCGGCTTCTTTCGGCGACTACGAGAAGCCGAACAGATAAAGGAAACACTTGTAACCAAAATAACCTGGCAATTCAAGTATATGGTATTATTAAGGAACCCCATCATCGGCTTCTGCTTGCAATTGTATGGATACCGGCTGTTCCGCCAGATGATGAAGGCGATAACATGATGCAGCACGTACTGGGTAGAAAAGGCTAACATGTTCGGCTCAACATCATATTTCTAGAGTATAATTGGTATTGAGTGTACATTTTTTTTGAGCCTCTTTGAAACCTTTCAAGTTCAAATTCAGCAAAAATGGCAATGAAAGCAGTAGTGTTCCGGGGCGCCTTTGATGTTGGCGTCGAAACGAGAGCCAAACCAACTATTCGCGATCAAACGGATGCTATTGTAAAGGTCAAGGTAGCTGGAATATGTGGAAGGTACTGTGCAGATTTTCTTCTATTAGAGACCTCTTTGTGAGGCGTTGCTCACAATTTATAGTGAATTGCATATGTATCGTGGCCACCAGAAAACGGCTACTGGTCACATTATGGTATGTTTGGCAACTGAACAAATTTACACAGAGGCTAACATATATCTCCCACTATTAGGGCCATGAATTCATTGGAATCGTTGACCAAGTAGGCTCAGATGTCAACAGATTTGCAGTTGGTGATGAAGTTGTTTCCATATTCTCTCCTGTCTGGTATGTTCACTCATGTATAATTACGATTAAACGATGATAATAACATGCAACTAGTCTGAGATGTTGGTATTGTAAACAAGGACTTACCAACCGATGTGTCGAGGGAGTCGCCTTTGGAACCCAAAAGCTCGATGGCGGACAGGCTGAGTTTGTGAGAGTACCTTTTGCGGATGGCACTCTACACCTTGTACCAGAAGATTTGGATAGGTCTCTGCTCATCATGATGTGCGACATCTTTCCAACTGGGTATTATGGGGCCAGCCGGGCTATTGAAGGTTTGCAAAACCAGTTGCAATCGCCACTGACAAGCTTTCATAAACAAAAATCGACTTCGGATGGTCAAAATGGACACACAAATGGTGATCAATCTCTTGATGCTCTTAGGTCCTCAGTCGTTGTTTGTCTCGGTTGTGGGCCTGTCGGTATCTGTGCCATTGCCACCGCTCGATCAAAAGGGATTCAGACCGTTTTGGCAGTAGACAGCGTCGATGATCGCCTCGAAGAAGCCGCTCAGCTGGGCGCAATTCCACTCAACTTCTCCAAGCACGATATATTAGAAGAAGTCAAGTCCCGGACCCAAGGTCGCGGAGCAGACGCGGTCATTGAAGTGGTAGGCAACCCAGCAGCTCTCAAGTCTGCCTTTGAGTTGTTGCGTCCATGTGGAATTTTATCTTCAGTGGGCTTTCACCAAGACGATCTCCCATTCACCGGACTGGACTGCTATCTTAAAAACATAACGTAAGTCGCCTCTTTACTCACTTGGTGTGGCTACAAACTTACACACCGATGCAGTATGAACTTCGGTCGGGTCCCAGTTCGTACGGTCTTCAACGACGCACTGCAATGTCTAAGGGAGAACCAGCATGTATTAAGGAACTATGTTACTCATGAACTATCACTAGATGATGCTGCTCTTGGCTATGACTTGTTTGAAAAGAGGGTTGCAAGAAAAGTAATACTACAAGTGTAATTAGATCAGATAATTTAGCTGTTCAGCCTTTCAAAGTTATCATTTCTACCGATATAAATAACGAGCTTTTGAAAGTATCTCTCCCGTTAGACAAAAGTTCATAAAGAGGTAGAATGCAATGTCGCGATGCCTCGCCTGGTACTCCGGGTATCACACCAATTCATCATGCTCTGCAGGACTTCTCGATATTGCTCCACTACACAAGTGCCTCGCTACTATTACCTAGTATTTTCACGCCCTTGGACTTGTCAGCATCAGAAGAGGTAAGGACGCGCATCTCGAGATTCTTGGTCATGATGGGTCATCTTGCAAAACACGAGTCATGTAGACCCTTATCCACACAAAGTAAGATTCGCGGGGAATGGCTTTGTCGGCATCGGCTGCCGATCGCCGACAGCGTCACTTACCGGTGACCCCTCGGCCGAGTTGGACCGTCCACCAGCTCCTACTATCGGCTGAATCCCAAGAGGCCGAAACTATGTGATCCTCGGGTGAAGTTTAGGTGACCTCGTTTGCCATTACATACAAGATAGATGTAAGGGGGCACTGTGGACTTTTGCTTAGCTAGTAGAAAGGGTAATGGCTTCGACGTTGCAAACCTGAGCCGTGTCTACAATAACACCTTCTAGCTCTTACATCTTCTGAACCATCAAGTAGCCGCAATGATTGAGAAACCGCACATTCGTATTGGCAATGTCTCCGGTGCCACGGGCGACCACCCGCATGCCATGGCACGCATGGTGCGCTCTGGGAATGTCCATGTCATCACAGGTGATTGGCTATCCGAGATGAACATTGCTTGGAATGCCATCACGAGACAGGAGGTCGACGAGAGCCTAGGATATGAGAATGGCTTCTACCAGCAGCTTGAAGAATGCATCGATGACATCGTTGCGCGGGACATTCGAGTCGTAACTAATGCTGGCGCATTGAATGTCATGGGCCTATACAACAAAGTGAGGCGCCTCTGTGAGCAACGAGGATACGAGAATTGCGTGGTGGCCGCCGTATTGGGAGACGACATCACAGACTTGCTCGTGGACAAAGTCTCGGGCAAGAAGCACACGGGCTTCAAGCACTTGGACCATCCCGAAATCTCCCTTGACGACTGGAACTTCACGCCGTGCGCTGGAAATGCCTACATCGGCTGTTGGGGTATCACAGCAGCTCTTCGAGCTGGTGCCAACATTGTCATATGTGGAAGATGCACCGATGCTTCTCCAGTAATGGGAGCAGCTGCGTGGTACTATGGGTGGGGAGAGGACAAATTCGACGAGCTGGCAGGATCTTTGCTGGCTGCCCATTTGATCGAATGTGGTCCATATGTTGTTGGAGCAAACTTTTCCGGCTTCAAAGACTTCCTTCCAGACCTCGTTGATCTTGCGTTTCCCATTGCTGAGATCGACTCTAAAGGCGGCTGCGTCATTACCAAAACTGCAGAGGGAGGAGGTCATGTCACAGAAGGGACAGTAAAAGCCCAATTGCTGTATGAGCTTCAGGGTCACCTCTACCTGAATCCGGACGTTGTCGCCGATCTGTCAGCCGTTGCTGTAAGGGAAGAGGCAACAAATCGCATAAAGGTAACAGGCATCAAGGGATTGGCGCCTCCAGCTACGACCAAGGCCATGATAGCAGCCAGGGGAGGCTATCAGGCTGAAGCAACATTCTACATCAATGGATTAGACGTTGTGGAAAAAGCTACCATGATGAAGAATCAGCTGGCTCATATTTTCCGCGACAGTCGGTTCAGCAAACTCAGCATTGAGCTCTACGGGACACCAGCTGAGAATCCATCATCTCAGCAGGCTGGTACCGTGTCACTGAGAGTGTTTGCACAAGCTCGCAAGAAGGAAGACATTGATGAAATGAACTTCAAGATCCCGATATACGCCTTGCGTATGCAGAGCTATCCCGGCTACCACATGAACCTCGACTTCCGAACAATGACACCAAAGGCATTCATGGAGATGTTCCCTGCACTGATGCCGCTGTCATTGGTAGATCACCACGTCCAGCTGAGCACTGGAGAGGTTATCAAGATTGATCCTCCAAGAATCACATCAACATACCCCATAGTACGGCCATCGGCAGACACAACACATCCGGTAGACCTTTTATCCTTTGGCCCAACCGAATTCGCTCCTCTCGGCAGCATTGTCCATGCAAGGTCGGGTGACAAAGCCGATAATTCCAACGTGGGTTTCTTTGTTCGAGATGCCTCAGAGTATCCGTGGCTGAGGACCCTATTGAGTGTTCACAAACTCAAAGAACTTTTGGGCGAGGACTGGCATCGCGGCAACCCGAACAGAAGGGTAGAACGAGTCGAGTTTCCCAACATCAACGCTGTCCACTTGTGAGTACTTTATCTTACTTTGCACATTAACGTATGCTAATGAATGATTCTAGTCGGATACTTGACAATCTAAATGGAGGCATAGCGTCATCGGATAGAATTGATGGGCTTGGAAAGGGAGTTGCCGAGTATTTGCGCAGCAAATATGTGGATATACCAAGAGCATTCTTAGAAAGAGGCCGGATATGAAGCAAACCTTGTAAGATCACATACATGCATTGTAGGATAAGATATTAAATATTAAACACCTGAATCTCCATTTTGCAACGTTCCTTTGCGAATCGCATGCTGTTGTACATATTCATTGATTCATGTCCCATTCATTACCCATGAATCTGTCGTAGCCTCCAATTTCGCCCAACCAGTCATTGCTGAGCTGCAAAATAGCATCATCTCCCCATGGCATATTATACATCCTTTGAAGCTCAGGTAAACAGTCTCGGAGAGCATTATCGGCTGCCAGAGGCGTCCCGAGGCTGAACGCCTGCCTTCCACTATCCTCTTGTAAGCCATTGTCATTAAGTCCCGTAAAAGCCGTCTCCCGAGAGTGGTATCCGCCGTTGTTAGGTCCGACTTCCGCCAATGTCGGCTCAGAAACAAGACTATTTTGCATATTAATATCATTACTTGGAGTTTGGCTTAAAGATTGTATAGCTAACATAGCCGAATGGTTGTCTTGTCGAGCGGTTAGGGAGCCGGACTGGCGAGTATGTGAAAGTGCTTCTACTGCGTCCTCGACGAGAGCATCACTGAGACGGTCGAATACTTCATGACAGTTCTTTTGAGAATTACACCTCTCGGAAACGCCAACAATGACATTTGAACATGCTCGACAGTCGTTGACAATCTCAACAATGGTCGGCTCCTGAAGCAGCTGGAATCGATTGCCATCGCCCTCTCCGCCATTACGACGACGCCTCTTTTCACGAAAATGTCGACTCAAGGCATATATGTAGGATATTCCGGCCATGAAAACTGCATGAAGCACCATCCAAGAGAAATTGATCTTGCGCGATCGGAACAAATAGGCGTAGAGTGTAATCGACTGCCTTGCTGCTGAAAAGACGTGTTGTAAATTAGACCCATCTCGTCCATCCGAGACTGTAAAAGCTGACGGGCGGTAGAGAAGGAGGACGCCATTGTGGTACAGAAGCTCATACCAAGCTTTTGATCGAAAGCTAGATCGGGCTTCCGCAAGAGGAGTCGACAAGTCCATATCCGGAGTATTGAGACGATTTGTTTCTGCTCGCCATGCGTTCAATTCGGTGGCAAGCTGATCACGCTTCTGGTAAAAGTCTGCTGAAGATTGAATACCGCCTTTGACGCCGCGATGCAGTGAAGTGAGGCACCGGCCGCATATATCACGATAGCGTACAATATGAACAAAGATAGCCGTGCGATATCTTGACGGAATCTGTGAAGAGTCCCGGTCACTTCCCGGACTCAGAGTAGACACGCTCGCCGTTTCTTCAAAGTCATCGGTCGGGAGTTCAACGTCGATATCTTCAACACAGATAGCCAACGGACGCCCTAATGTAACGGATATGACTCTATAACATTGACACATTCCTCATTAGCAGATGTTCTGTAGAGTCAAGCGATATTCAGAAGGACTAACCTGTCGAGAGCATAAACGCTCCAGAAACACCTTCGACGAACTTCGTTTTCCTCATATTTGGGTGATAGAAATGATACATCGGCAGTATCACGTCTCGAGCCAGCCGTCCGGTACGTGGCCTCGCGATGTAAACCGAGCTCGAAACACATGCGCACCGCAATACCAACAATGTGCCAGAGACCTGATTATGGAGCTGTTAGTTACAGATGGTTTCCCTTAGCAAGGGAAAAGACCCATTGGAGCTCACTTACTATCAGAAGCATGATTTGTAGAATTGCTCAGTCGGAACTGGCAGAGCAGTAGCATGGCTTGCAAAGCCCGTAGCCCGCCCTCGAACAGCACGGCATTGAGATAGTCGGTGGCCTTTTGAAGATGCGTTTCTGCATCCGGCAAGACTCTCCAGTTGAACTTGTATACTTGAGATGTAGCGATAGCCAAGATCATGTGGAACATGAACATCTCAAAGGGGTGCGTCTTTTCAAAGCTCGCATCGCTATAGATACCGTCCACCACGGCCCTTACCGCCCGGGGATGCAAAAAGGGGTAGCTAAGATGATCGTGTGCCAGATATGCTTCGATGAGACTTCGAGCAAGCTGTTCCGCCGGAAGTGAACGATCCCCGGTGTCCCAATCTGTCCTTCCGGGACTTCGGTGAGGAGGCACAGAAGATACAGATGAGGTTGGTGCATCTCTTTCGACATCGACCGCGACACCGGCTCTCACCAGACTAGCAAGAATGATACCACTGGTCGGTCCTAGGAAAAGGCTATCACCGCCAACACTAGTAGAAAGAAAGGTCACCTCATTCGCAACTTCGTTATCGCTGGCGATAGAAGACCGCGAGCTGGATCGATCTTCCCCATCTCGTGCCGCTCTGTGGACGACCGTTCGATGGGCCTTATTGGCCGATGTAAGTGCCTTGTTCGCCGCCTCAAGCTGCTGAATCCGGCGCTCAAGAGTCTGGACATGACTTCGCGGAAATGTGGGCTCTTTGACCCTCTCAGAATAGACACATGCCGACCTTGACTTCTTGCAAGGACTGCATTCCGGCCGTGTCTTATCACACCTTGTCTTGCGCCGATGGCAGCGGTCGCACGCCTGAATCTGGGATGCGTCGACGCTCATCTCACTTGGTCTGACATTGTCACTGGGACCTTCGGAGGGGCCAGGCCGATAATTTCGGAGAAAACAATATCGTCCTCGGGCTGCTGAGATGGTCTGAACAGGGCACTGTAGGCTGGAATTAGCTGCTAAAACGCGCCCTCCAGCCCGGCTTTTTATCCGCCCGCTGATGTTGAGGACTCGTCGGTCCGATATCCGCACTGCGGCAAAGGACATCCGAACACGGCCTCTGTTCACATACAAAACTACAGATACTTTCACTATTGGCATCTAATATCTGATATTTGAGAGCGTTCAAAGACGAGCTTGGCAATTAAATGAAATTGCAATTGTATTTACAATTACAACGAGTGATTAGAATATCTATTGCACTTCTTAGTACTTGAAGAAGACGCCATTTCCTGCTCCACCGTTCCGGTTGCGCCACACATAGTAACAGTGCATGCCGACACAAGAAGCCGACACAAAGAGGAGCAAGCCTGCATTGGTCCAGTGCCCAGTGGGATATCCCTTCTTCGCCTCGTCTGCCTTGTAGATCCACACGCCGACGATCTGGCCCGGTGCTCCCATGGAAATGTTGAGCGCAATAGCCAGGCCAATTGCAGCAGTGGAATACAAATTCGAGGAAAGCCAGCCCAGCAATGGGGGAATGCAGGCAAATGAACCGCAAGTTGCGATAATGAGGCAGCCGTAGCGAGACTGGACAACAACGTTAGTTGAGAGAGCGATCCAAGAAGAAGACGAGCATGACGTACTGCAAAGTGATCGGCTGGAAGTGTAGCTGATGCAATGAAGCCTACAGCTCCAAGGAGAGAAAATCCGGCCGAGTGCAAGGCACGCCTTGGTAATAGTCAGTTTCAGCGATTTGTGATTTGCTAATCATCAACTCACTTGTTGAAGTGGTCTCCAGACCATGAAGCGAGCAAGGTCACAACGTAAGCCGCCGCGTAGGGAGGCACAGTCATGAGCTGGGCCTTGAGATCGGTAAACTAATAGGGTGTCGCTTGTCAATGCCTACTTCTCAAATGGGTAGCTAGAGATTGAGAGAACCAAGCTTACTCCTAATCCAGCAACAATGGACGGCGTGAAGAGTGACAAACTCGAGAATGGAGTAGAAATGCCAAAGTAAATCTGGAACAACAGTCGTCAGCGGTGATTCGTTTCAAATCCATAACAGAAACTTTCTTACAAAGTAATGGGCCCAGAGTCTCCATTCAAAGAGTGTAGACTTGGCTTCCTCCCACGTTAGAGGTTTGCCAGACCCATGAGAACCCTGATCAGAGAGTCGCAAAGCCGCAAAGTCCTTCTCCTCGGTCGACAGCCATGATACTGTCTCGGGGTAATCCGGGAGGAAGAACCAGACCAAAAGGGAAGAAGCCACAGATGGGGCTCCCTCGATGATGAAGAGCCAGCGCCAAGCAGAGATGCCGCTCACTTGGTTCATATGACCGACACCAAAGGCAATCGCGCCACCAAAGGCACCAGCCAGGGTGGCAGATGCCAGGATAGCAGCAACTCGAATCGATCGTTCATCTACGCGGTACCAAAACGTCAAGTAGTAGACCAAGCCGGGGAATAATCCTTAACGAGAGCGATTAGTAACCGTACGCGATTCTTCTCAAGATGTGAAGATATCCACTACTTACCTGCTTCAACAACTCCCAGGAGGAATCGTACTGCCGTTACTGACGAGTGGTTCTGTGTCGCAGCAATGCACATCGTGATGGTTCCCCACGAAAACATGAGGAAGGCAATCCATCGGCTCGGCTTCAGCTTCTTAAGGAAATAGTTGGATGGAACTTCAAAAATCGCATACGCAATAAGAAAGACCATGAGCGCGATTGTGTACTGGTAGTTGGTCATGTGCGTTTCGGTCAAGAGATCATTGCCTGTCGACGCGTTCAAGACCTTTGCATTTCCAATGTTTGATCTGTCAAGGTAGCACAGAAGATAGATTCCTGCCGTGATTGGAATGATCCTCAAGTCTTGTTTCCGCACCAAGGCCCTGGATCGAGCAGTGTCGATGTGTGCCAATGATGATCCATCGCGGGCATCAGACAAGTGCTATAGCGGTATTAGCAAAGGGTTGGCTAGAGATTCGAGAGTTGCAATGCATACCTCTTTTGTTGTTTCAATGTCCTCGTCCATGTGGACGCCGGCAAAGTCTTCTTTCTCCGCCGCCATATTCGTTGCGAGAAGCTGATGGAATATGCTTGGAAGTTCTTCAAGAATTGCAATCCTTCAGCGAATGGTGACACCCAAGACGCTCAATGGATCGATTACCCCACAGATTGAACAATTTCGAGATCGAGCCGTTGTACATATAGCATTCTCTTCTTCTCTTCCCCAGGAATTACCCCAGATCTCTCTCCGCATCTCCAACAGCCTAAAGGAGCAGTCCACCTTTTGCGAACATCGGCGCCATGGGGCCGCTGTCGGCGGAGAGATGCCGATAACGTGGCGCCAATCGCTGACCTTGACGTTTGCGCTACGGGCTTACGGCTGGGAGAAATGGAACGGTTTGTTAGCGACAGCAGCAGCCACCACGTGCTTGTAGATGTTCTAATGCTGAATTACGACGAGATCTAGACCAATGCTGGATGCGGAGTGTTTGCCTCAGTGTGGTCACATCAGTAGTCATGGCAAGAAGTGCGTTTACCCCGTAAACTCCAATATAATAGCTTAAGCGGCCTTGTCAAGCCGATCGGTCAACAGGCTGAGATTTACGGGATGGTTCGCCGACACATATTTTTCGGTTCCCGGATCGCGAATGGATTTATGAGCCCAGTTGTCATTATGTCCATTAATATGCCGAGCCATTGATCTCCACAATGGTTGAAGCCTGCTCGGCGTCTCACTCTGGCGTTCGCCCGCAATACGATGCGGAGTCGGCATGTTGATGTTGCCCTAGCGCTTAAATCTGATTTGTGACCACGGTCTTTGTCGAGAGTGTCCCTCATACCTAGTCCCCAAGTTATTTTGTCTTTCAATTTCGAGTCAGGGGTTTCTCTCGTTGAGGAGATGGAAGTCATAGAGGAAATTACTCGTTGAATCGGTGATTCTATAGGATTGGTCTGGATGATTGAATTCCGTATTAAATACTTTAATGTCGCTTTTAATTGTTGTTAACTCCTTGCTTATTAAGTTATCTCATCACAGAATTTTACTCAGGGGCTTGAGCTTCAACTCAAGGCGAAAGTCAACCCATCTTGCTGAACTTTGGTCTGTGATCGTGAGCGAGTTATCTACTGCAATCTAACTGTCTGTGATACCGCATTAAGATGCTGAGACGTGAATTTTGCAGGTGGGCCAGGGCGCATCAAGTTCACCACCGGGGGGGTGACCCACAAGATCATATCGAATCTTCATTCTAGGCAAATTCAGTATATGACGGACATCAGTAATGAAACATGAGATATATTCTGGACGAAAACAGTGGCTTCCGCCTTGAAAATGATTCGTCTTACCTCACAGTCCGGTATCTTCTTTGGGCCATGTGGGAAAGAGGACGTTTGAATGGCATTCTCAACATTGTGTGCACAATACAGAGTAATATATCTGACCAATGAAATCGGGAACTAAGCATCAGGTGTGATCAATTCACCAGCCTTTAGCATTATCTTTGGCTTAATATGGAGTAGGGCAATGCCATTTTGCCCAAAGCTGCAGTGCCAAGATCTGAAAGCATGCTTATTTTAAGCCCTGCATTTTCAGGCACATCAAGCCGTAATAACCTCTTCTGTGTCTATTTTCTGCCCTCATCGGAAGATACTAATGCCGCTCTTACTGATAGCGGCATCGTATAGCCCTTTAGGGTGCATGAGTTGGCGTACTCTAACATGCAGGTAGCTCACCACCTACTTACCCATCAGCTTACCACCACACATATGTTCTAGATAAAGACTCTCCATACTAATATCGCATATTACCTATTCGTGATCAGTTCGATCTTCCGCTTTTACCAATAAGCTTAAGTTGATTGTTAAATACATGGCAAAACACGGAGTACTGCATGTCATTTTATCTCCATATCATTGTTTCGGACAGCAAGATTAGTAGGTGACCAAGAAGGCAGTAGCAAACTAGGTTGTACGCGGTTATAGAGAAGCCTTTAAATCGCAAGCTGTCATTAGGTGTGGTCATTCAATGAGCATATAAGGCGATAGATACAAAGAAGTTACTCTTGCTTACCAAGCCAGTGCCAGTGGCAATGCCTCAACAACAGGCCTAATCATAGCGTAGCCCAGAATAGATCAAGATACCGTTTCATTGCAAGGGTTTTGAGCACGGATACCTGAGAGTTCAATGTCTTGTTACGTTTAATAAATAGTAAATTAATAGTCGATAAGATCAAATACGACTCGGACCTCGCATTCCGCGCTCCGACGCTATCGCGGCGGCTTGATCCTTCTCCCTCACGGGACGTCGAAATGGGGCGAAATTGAGTCCAGTGATGATGCCCTATTCGTCTGTATGACTCAAAGCCCTCCTTTTCTGTCTCGAACAAATCTTTCACTTCTACTTCCTTCTCATTTCTTTCTAATAGAAAGTTGAAAGGCACCATTCACATATAGATGAAATGAATTCTTTCCAAGTGCGGCTTTCACACGTAAGATTGTGGGGAGCTGGAATTGCCAAGCGGTTGGAAGCATGTTTGCATAAGTCGGTAGCCAAAAATACGCTCTCAAGAGCGTATACGAAGTATAGGATGCAAGGATTTGGGGACCTATTACTTATGAAACATATATCTCCAGGGTTACCTGCTATTCAGAGTAATACGTTTAGTAATAGCGCCCGATGCGTGGTACAGGAGATCCCTTCGGCGATCGTTCTTTGGTCTGCCCACTTTCTGTGGATCGTCAGGACGGAAGGATCTCCCCGAGCTTCGTCTGAACTTCATCTCAAGAGTAAGGAGAGTTGGTCAATGTCGGACGAGCTGACGTCTCGTGGATTGATACGGGTACCGGATCATGACCACGATTACCTACATGCATGCATACTGTAGGACTACTTGCAGATTTGTTATATTACTCAACAGTGCCCCTGACGTAAATATATGTATATATCACCGTCATTTTTACGTTGTCGCAAGTATACGTCTCATCTTTCCTTTTGTGTATTGCTGTCTGTTACGTCAAGTTCCAATCCAAGATGAAGTCCCTACACAGCCTCGTGGCCATTGGTCTCACATTAATGCAATTGGGCCGAGCCAGTGACGACACGTTGAACCAAAACTCAACTGCAGTTGAGGTTGAGTTGCAGTTCAAACCTAAATTCGAGTCGGAAGTCGAGTCTCAGCAGTCACTTCGAAACAATATCTGCAGTTCCGAATCCGCGTCCCCAATGTGCGCAAGCACTTGTCAAAACCCTCCGCTTCACAATTGCGACTTTTATAAACAATGCGTCGAGGCCTCAGTACCCTGTGATGGAAGCACACACTCGTACGCCCTCGATTACGGACACAAGATCTGCAACAAGTTCATCGGAAACCTCGATCGCTTTTCTCCTCGTGGACAAAAGTTCTTGACGGGCGCCATCAACTGCCTGCAGAGAAATCTCGTTCCCGTGGTGTCTTCGAGCGATGCTACCTGCAAGAGCATCAGTGACGCAGCCTTCGCGTCGCACGCGCCATGTTACGTGGAGAATGGCTTCTGCGGCCTCGACTGCAATGACTATGTGGCCCTGACGACTCTACTGGGCGAGGATCTGTTCAATAAGGATGCCATTGGGTTCATGTATCACAGCACAAGCGGATGCATTAAGAATATTCAAGAGGTTATTGAAGAAGGAGCCTGCATGAACAATGCGCTCAAAGGTTTCATGGCGGCTATTACCCGCGCGTCATCTAATTAATATTGTTCAAGGTGAGATGCAAAAAACAAAGAGAACAATTAGAGGAGGAGAAATATCACCATAATGTATATATCTTCGGTGGTTTCCGCCGATTATTTGCATAGAAAGCTGGCTGTCATTGACTTATCATATCGTCATCTAATTCGTGATATACGTGATAACATGAAAGCGCAGGCAAACGAATTCCCGACAAGCGAGAAAATATGTATAGAGAAGAAAAAGAGAAGAGCAGATGAAACGTCCTGCTCCAAGCAAGCAATCCAATACGCTGACTTTTCCGTTGCCGCGTTGCCGCCATCACTTGGAGGCGGGCAAGCTGAATCCCATTTCCTGCCAAGACTCGAACTCCTTTTCAATCGCCGCAAGCTCCTCCTTGAATCGGTCAATGTTCAATTGATGCGTGTTGAGTGCGTCCTGCGCCTTGTCGGGGTCTTGTTGCGCTGCCGCCGCGGCATCATCACCACCCGCCGAAGAGGACACAATGTCCTTGTTGTCGCCCCCCATCTTCTTCTCCTCCTCTTCAAGCTGCTGGAGGAGCAAGCTTTTCCGCCGCTTTGTCGCCTCTAGCCATTCCAGGCGAGCATCGGTGATTTTGTTGGACATCTACACAACTAGGTCAATATGTGATTGTATCAGCACCAGTGGTTGTAGCACTAAATTCTACGCCTTACTTGATCTCCGTAGATTGGGCGTCTTTCTTGCAATCTATTGCCAGCTGAAATGGAACATGGAAAGGGTTAGTCTGAGGGCCTGTTAAGCTGAGAGGATCCCCCAATTGCTCAGCGGGGGGGAGAACGGCAAGTGGTGTGAGAAGGATGCAGGGGGTTGCATCAGGGAAAAGGCCCAATTGGTACCCAATGCCGAGCCGGGGAGACGACTCCATTAAGAATGCTTGATTACATGTACACAGCATGTGAAGCATGTGAAGCACGCGAATAGTGGAGGCTCGCGTGTCCAAGGGCTAGAACTGAGAGGGGCAAAAACGGAGTAAAACGGCACCATTTTGCCGTTTCTCTTTTTGCTCTGAGAGATAAGAACGAACGCCGTTGAATCTAGGCTGTACAACTAGCAGAATCTAGAGTAGTATGGTTGAATTAGCCTTAAGCGTCTACTTGAATTGTTATTCCGCCACAAGGGCACGTTGTCCACAGCGTTGGCCGGCTTCAACGTTACCAAGCAGCAGGATCACTCTAGCCCGGGCCGGCCCGTGTTAAAGGTTGTATTGGAAGGCAAGTTGGCAGACGCGTTAAGACGGTCCAAGTAATCATTGTTGCTTCGCATAAAGAGAGGATGTGCTGCGTGGTCTTTTATAACATTGAAACAACCTACATAAGCATTCTAAATAGCGGTGTATGGAGCGGCGCCAAAACAACAGCGGCGGGCTTGGCTGCTAATATAGGATGCTAGATTCTGCTAGCCCACCACCTCGTTACATCTAGACAGCAACACATTATGCTGTTATAGGCATCTCCTTGACTCAGCACCAAAATAAATATCAAGATCTGCACACAATCTACTATAGCGTACTTGGACCTCTATAAAAGTGAGCACAAGAAAGACGCCCCCACAGGCGAAATGTCTAGAACAGGGAAGCCATCACACGCGCCTCGAATCTGGCCTTCAATAGGCTCAACCTCTATTTTCATCAGATAATTTTTCATGTACGAGTATATTAATCATCCACCTTAGCCTTGCCGCATCTTCCATCGAACTCAACCCAGATCTAAAATATCCGGGAAATAGGGCTCGCTTCGTTGCCCTGCTTGCACCAAACACCTCGCTAGTGTCGGCTCGTCTATGTTCATTCAGACACACACAGACTTCGCAGACCGAAGCCAAATCGGGCAGCACAAGGGAGTCAAAAGTCCCGCACGTCTATCCTCCTATCACACTATCAAGATGGCACATGCGCGCCCTCGAGGCAGCTCCGCTAGATGCCGAATCGCCGGCCAGGCGCAATGCCGATCCTGTTGACCTGCTGAAACGGGCATCAAGGCCGCGGGGAAGCTCATGAGATCGGTTCTGGATAAGTCGTGGTCGAGATAGGGCTCCTGATACGGCTCTAAGAGAGAAGAAGGGAGAAAAGATTGGGGATGATATTGTTGACGCTGGCAGAGCTGAAAAAAATGAGACTATGATGAAAAGATATAAAACCAGATGCCCGGCTTGCCAAGATGACGGTCTTCTTCGTCGCCACTGAATCTGCCAAGACCTCGGGGAGATCCATCTGATCTGCAAAGCTAAGCCCAGCTAAAATATCATCACAACAATGTCTTCCATGTCAAAGGTTGCCTTGGTGACTCTGGCTACGCTCCAGGGCGCCAATGCTTGGGGAGTCTTGGGCCACGCAACCGTCGCCTACGTTGCACAGCACTATCTGAACGCTGCCACGGCATCATGGTAAGTGTGCAATGTCGAAGAAGTTGTCGCGCAAACTGGTGTAAATGAATTAGAACAATGGACAAAGACACTGACAAAAGACAATAGGGCTCAGGGAGTTCTCAATGACACCTCCAGCTCTTACTTGGCCAGCATCGCCTCTTGGGCTGATACCTACCGCACCACTGCGGCTGGCAAGTTCTCGGCTCCCTTCCACTTCATCGACGCTGAGGACAACCCCCCATCCTCATGCAACGTCGACTATGACCGAGACTGCGGCAGTGGTGGCTGCTCCATCTCGGCCATGGCCAACTACACCCAGCGAGTTGGAGACGGCCGCCTCTCCACGGCCAACACCGCCGAGGCTCTCAAGTTCCTCGTCCACTTTGTAGGCGACATTACCCAGCCCCTGCACGACGAGGCCTACGAAGTCGGTGGCAACGACATCAGCGTCACGTTCCAGGGCTACAGCGACAACCTGCACTCTGACTGGGACACTTACATCCCCGAGGCCCTCATTGGCGGCGACTCTCTTACCGATGCTCAGACCTGGGCCAACACGCTCATCAGCGAAATCACCTCTGGAACATACAAGTCCCAGGCCGCAAGCTGGATCAAGGGCGACACCATCAGCGATGTCATCACCACCGCCACTCGCTGGGCCACCGATGCCAACGCCCTCGTCTGCACTGTCGTCATGCCCAACGGCGCTGCTGCCCTGCAAAAGGGCGACCTGTACCCTACTTACTACAACTCCGTTATCGACACCGTCGAGCTGCAGATTGCAAAGGGCGGTTACCGTCTGGCCAACTGGCTCAACATGGTCTACACCTCCAACATTGCCAAGCGTGAGGAGGGCTCTGTTGAGGCTCGTGATACCTCTCCTCTGCCTGATCTCATGGGCCGAGACCTGCTGCCCGCAGCTCGTCCTGCTACTCGTGCTCAGCTTGCCAGAGCCGCTATGGGTGGCTCATGCTGCGGAACCGCCCATGATCATGAGCACAAGCACTAAAGTGGTTTGATGAGTTTAAAGTTGGGGGCGTATGTGGATTGTCGTTTAAAAAATGGGGTGCTTCAAAGGGATAGAAACTGGCTTGAATAAGTCATAAGTCTATAGTTAATACCAAGAAGTTGAAATAGTCAAGTTGCCAAGGTCAATCGCGCTGCCAGATATATTCCATGGGCTCACGTGTTTCATTAAACTGACAAGCGAAAGGGCATTATAGGAAGACCAGCAAAATATCGGTGGGCATCACGCAGTATATAGAAAATGGCAAGTACATGTAAGCGTCTGACAAGCCCCTGTCGCAACTCACCATCATTGTATGCACTAAATCTATTCCAAGTGACGCCACATCGCTATCCGCGCTGACAGTCAGAAAGACCAAGTCATTTCCATGGAGACTGTATAACCTAATCTATAAACTCCGTGACTATGCTTGAACATGTCCGAATCGCTTCTGATCCATGTCCGAAACTTGTCGCTAGAACTATTTGTCGATTATCTTTTGTTTCTTTGTCGGAGTCATTTCACGCCGAAACGGGAGAATTTGAGTCACAGGGCGCCGAGTTGTCACAGTATACCAGCGTCATCCGGTCCAAAGCGGGCTTGCAACCGCGGCATTGTCAGTTTAACCAAAATGCGGTCTATAAACCCGAGAAATATCATATAATACATATAGTTTAGCCAAGGATGAACGGGGATTACGGGGTCGAGAACTTGTCCGGTCCGGCCCCAGGGTCCGTAATGAAGCCGGAGGTGCTCTTACGATACGCCCTCTGGAGAATCATATAATAAAGCAAGATTCAGGTATGTTTTCCAATAAATTTACTCCATCACTCATTCAATTGACTCAGTTGTTCATAAAAACCCCTCTTTGTCCTCTCTAGTCATGGGTCTCTTATCCTCGTTTGCCTCACCCAAAAACGTCCAAGTCTACGCCCTTCCAACGGGGTGGGTACATTTGCCCGACAAATGGCTGTTCGAAGACGGCGACGATGATATTATGAAAGCACGAAGCCGCTTTCCTGACTATAGCTTCCTCATATGCAATCCGTCGGGAAAGAATATTCTGTTTGATGCTGGTATGCCAAAGGTGTGTCCTTCCTTGAAGAGCCTATATATCATGTATCTCAACGAAACCCTAACTCAGTAATTCTCTCTCAAAATTTTAGGATTTTGATGTTATTCCGCCACTCAATCGATCCATCGATCATATTTTTGAGCCCTATGTCCCCAAAGATGCGCGCGATCTGCTTTCCGAGGGCCCAATCTCGCCAGACTCCCTCAGCGCCATCGTACTCAGCCATATTCACTTTGACCACATTGGAGACCCCTCGACATTTCCCAATATTCCCTACATCACAGGGCCGGGAACAAAAGAAGCTGCATTGCCAGCGTACCCCACTAACCCGAATTCCACGATGCTGGGCTCGCTCCTGGATCGTGACAATTACACGGAGCTGAGCTGGACGAAGGACAGATGGACTGAGCTGGGTCCTTTCTCACATGTTCACGACTTCTTCGGCGACGGCAGCTTCTTCATTGTTGACACTCCAGGCCATCTCCCAGGTCATGTCATCGGATTAGCTCAGACAAAGCCTGATGAATGGGTTATCTTGGGTGGTGATTGTTGTCATCATCGCGCTCTGCTCAATGGCAGCCGCCAAGTGAGTCTGACAGGATGTCCTGGCGGAACCAGCATGCATACAGATACAGCTGTGGCAATCAAGTCCATTGAGAAGCTCAGAGAGCTAGACCAGGACGAGACTGTATTCGTGGCGCTTTCACACGATGCGAGTCTGGAGGGTAAGATGCCCGAGTATCCCCAGTGCTTGAACGGGTGGCGGGAGTCGGCATGGTGGGATTCAATGCGTCGGGAGAGGATGCAATCAACAGCCGCATGAGATGGAGAGCCAACGATGGAAGACTCTTGAGCAGGAAAAGTCATTTGGTGTAGGACAGGCGCATATCACTGAGTGTACTTGTCAAGCGGGGGACAGAAAAACCGAGACTGAAAAGGTTACGAACACACGCGCCTCAAATATTACGCCTACAAATCCTAACTCTTTGAGCATCTGCTACGGAGTACTATATCTATATTTTCTAGTAACTGCTATTATATCTATACTTCTTTAGTAATTGCTACTATAGTTATATTTCTCTAATAACTACTACTATATCTATATTTCTCTAGTAACTGCTATTATATTTATATTTATCTACTACTTAGTATTATTTTTATACTGCGTTAGTTTAATAGCTAACCAGGTGCTTATATTATCAAATCTATACACTTATTCATTTTGCGGTCTCGCTTTTTCTAACCTCCGCTTGCTTGTATAACATGAATCACATCTCGTTTTTCTCTTCAGTTCCATGAAACTATATATAGATGCATATGTTCATCGCTTAGATGTCTCAACAATGGCCACCCCATCAAACTTCCTCGCCAGCCAAAAACAGGTCTCAAAAGATCTGCACCGTTTTGATCCAGTGCATCACACCGTCTCATGATCGTCCCGATTCTTACCTCGATCGTCGCCCAGATGACCACCCCGGCATATGCAAGGTTACACGCTGCGAGACCCCCTGCAAGGCGATCACTGGATCGCCTAGTTACACTTAGACATATGCTTGATTCCAACCAAGACATCAGGCTATTCTTCATTACTACAGTACATGATCACTGCATTCATGCGCCAAAAAAAAAAAAAAAAAGTCTATGCATCTTGTTTCATCTCAATTTCATTCTTGCTTCATGGATATCTCGCTAGCAGTCATCTAGATATATAAACAATTGTATCCAGCATATGAATGTATATACATATATATAGCCTCAGCTTTCACGCCTAAGCGTTGACCATGGCATGGTAATTCACCGACGGCTTCTTGACGAAGCTCTTATCCTTACCCGTCGCCTTGACGCTGTCAGCATAAGCGGTCTGCAGACGGTCCGCATCCTCCTGAGTAATCTTCAAGTCAGGCACCAAGTTGGGACGCAGAATCTCAGTCACAATCTGCGCCCACTCCCATGGCTCGGCCGTGCCGCCAGGCAAGCTGTTGAAGTACTCCCAGCCCATGACACCGCCAATCTGGCCGTACTCGTTAACCAGCGAGATAATGGTGGTGTTGAGATTGCTCGTGGGAATCCAACCGCCTCCATCGGGCGTCGTCAGCTGTCCTGCCACAACCGTGTCGGGCGTGTAGCCATTAGCCACGATGCGGTCGTAGTCGCTCGTCGTCGACATGCTGCCGAAGCCGCTGTAGAACTGCGTGTTGTACCAGTCAATGTTGGAGGCCTGTGCAGCCCTCAGGGAGTTGTAGTTGAAGCCAGAGAGGTTGGAGCTGTTCTCCAGCGCCGACGCAACAGGCGCCAGGGTGATGAGGAAGTCTGGGCCAAAGTCCGCCCTGAGGCGAGCAATGAGACGCGTGATGCCAGCCAAGCTCATGGGCTGCTCAACGTCGAGATCCATGCCCTCGAGCTGGAAGTTGGTGATGACATCGCGCAGCTGGCCGTAGTAAAGCTCAAAGGTGGCAGAGTCCGTGGAGTCCAGCGTCTGTGTGTTGAAGGATCCGGGGGCAGCTCCGCCCACCATGCCCATGACCTTAACGCCGGCCTGCTTCATCGTGATGGTCTCATTCCACAGCGTGTAGAAGTGAGGGTCATCGGGCGGGAAGTCGTTGAGGTGCACGACGCCGCCCTGGTTGATGTGGAATGAGCACACAATCAGATGCGTTAGCGCAATGCCCTTCTCGTTGATGAGCGGCAGCATCGAGATGGGGTTATTGTTGGAGTCGTGAGTCGTCTGGAAGTAGACAATCAGACGCGGCAGATCAGTCGGCTCGGCCCGGAGATTCTTGACGGGGCTGGCCAGCGACAGAGTCGCCAGCGCGGACGTGAGGTAAACAAGGACCGACTTCATCGTGAGACAGATGGCTCCAACAAAGCTCAGGGGGGTGGATAAGACAAGCAGATGAAGGCGTCCTCCAGATTCCCATCGCCAAGACGGCACGGGGACCGACTTATATACGTGCAGTCATCCTTGCTACTCCCTTTCTCTCTCTCTCATGCACCCACTACCGGTTGAATCTGCCCCAACATCACATCGAGGGGGCTTTCAACTTACACGTGCTCCCTCTCACTTGGCAGCCTTCACTTCCGCCGACAATTAGTTCTAGATTCGGGCCTTTAGACTGCCAAGAACCTCCTCCTGCTTTCTCCCCCTCTCCAAAACCCACTCACAGCGCCAACACTCGCATGAAATTCCAATAATCGAGAGCCCTCGACCCAAAGCCAGCTTCTCCCTTCGGAACGCTCAGGTTCATGCAACCTTCCCGACTCGGCCACGCCAAGCGTCAAATGTTAAAAGTCAAAGGCCGTTCCGTCGGCACGGGAGCGGGGACCTGGCCGGGGGTCGTCCAGGCTGGAATCTCATAGGTGCGTCTGTTTGCCAAGGTTGTGTCTTGGTTGCCACGCTAGAGCAAGCACTTATCGAACCTCCAGGCGAATTAGCCGTGGCTGCAAGTTTCCATCACCACGATAGCGCCATTCCTCACGCGCCGTACTTACGGATATGGCTGCCAAGAGCCGTTTCCATCACAGAAACGGATACTCTTTGGGATGTTTTCCTTGATCTATCTGTGATAAGGCGGCATCTGGCTTCCGAGAGTGGCATGAGGCAAATCTAATCACTACGGGCGCCACGAACCCCTGTCCGTCCGTCATCTTTTGAGACAACTGGGGATTAAAGTTTCGCCATAATGTTATTGTCTCATAGTAGTCAGATGCGCCATTGCACTAATAATAAATCAACAAATCTAGGATTCCGCAATTAGGCATGCTGGAGTCTTCATAGGCTGCGCAGAGCTGCAGAGCAGTGACCCTATTTTGGCAAAATCAAGGCATCCGTTTAAAGGTGACAAGACAGCGGGACAAAGCACACACAACACGTGCAAGGCCTGACAGCCTGCTATATTTGTTTAATTAGCGGAGTGGGTACTCGTGCATGTCTGCAGCATCTCGGCAACCATTACTGTTGCTGTCTATGTACATATGTGTCATAGTGAGATGCAGAGGAAGCGCGCTTCATCCCCCTGGCCCTTCAAGTACATGTATCGGTTGCTATCGTTACCCTCGTCTCGTCCACGGGTATCTTTTGCTAGCTTATCCACTATATTCCGGACTCTCTGCTAATCATCGACTACTACTATCTCTACCGCATAGATCGGCATCATCTAGATGGATAAGGTTTCGTATATCATGTAACCTGCTAGGTATGTGAATTCATACTACCTTAGTGTTCGCTAGACAAAACGCACTCGCTATGAACTCGTACTCTGCCACCATATCCTCGCTCTAAATAAACAAAGGCCAAAGAAAAGCGTCATGTCCAAGTCGTGAGAGGAGCCTCCGGGAAGTCTATCACAGAATCGAGGCACCGCCTGAAGCGTCTTCGTCAGTGCTTGCGTCTTCATCGGTACTTGCTTCGTTATCAATGTCTGCTTCTTTGCTGATGCCTTCTTCTTGATCGAATTCTGCTGCTTTGTCGAGGCTTGCTTCTTTGTCGAGGCTTGTTTCTTTGTCGGAGCTTGCCTCTTTATCGAATCCTGCTTCTTTGTTGATGCTTGCTTCTTTGTCAATGTCTGCTTCTTGACTGATGCTTGCTTTTTTATCGAATCCTGCTTCTTTGTTGATGCCTGCTTCTTTGTCGATGCCTGCTTCTTTGTCGGGGCCTGCTTCTTTGTCGGGGCTTGCTTCTTTGTCGGGGCTTGCTTCTTTATCGGTGCTCGCTTCTTTGGACTCAGACTTTGGATTCACGTCCTTCTTCTTCTTTTTCGTCTTCGTCACCTTCTTCGCAGGGCCAGTCGATTGCACATGAGAATCCAGGAGCTCCAAAAACATTCCACATTTCCACATGTCCACCATATATGCTATTGCATCACATACCATCAGGTCGAGCATCTGCATGTATCGCACGAATATATAAGCGCGGGGCCATCAAATGGGTCATTCTACTTACTGCCTTGGTCTTCTCCGTACGCCCTTCACTCTGGAAAAGCACACACGCGCCTTTCCGTCTCATCATCAAATTGACGGTTTCATCCGTGAGAGGCTTGAAGCCAATCTACCTCATGTTAGTCTTTTTAATCGCACTCAATGGGGTTAACTCACCCGAGTGCACCTTTTCCGAGCCAAGTTGCATTCGACACAGCACCCGTTGTCAGCAACTAGACAGTGTCAGATTAGTAGAGCAATCATCATTTAGAAGCGTAGTTTGTTACTTACAGGAATCTACTCGGCATAGATATCTGGGATCCCCGTCTACTAAACCGAATGTGCAATATAAACAGGGCGCTGTGCTAGAAGACGTCAGCTCGTGATCGCGATCAAGAAGGGAATACGACAAAGATACTGTATTAGGAAGCAATTATCCGTCCCAAAGTCAAGTTCAAGGTTAACTCTTGGATCGAGTTTGGTCCCATCTTGCTTTGCAGCTGTTTCTGGTCCTGGGGGCTGGTGCCTTGCTCCCGCTACTCTCGATGTAGAGGCCAGGGGCGGAGCTGCGAGATTTTGGCTAATACGTGTAGCCACATATTCTCGGCAGGACATGCAATTAACATCAGGGCGATGATGCGTAGGACATGGATTGTCTGCGAATGGAGAGGTCCTCCTTTGAATATTAGGTGGCTGTGTTTTCTTCGCTTCCTGTTTGCTGGCTATCTTGCCGTCGCCGGGTTTGGTGTTCATGGCGGTTGGATAAAAGTTCGGAGTCTGATGGTCAAGAATTAACGATAGAATAAATGAAATACCTTCTGGAATGAATGGAATATCGCCTATTGGTGAGAGAAAGAGGTGTAAGAGACAAGTTTGCACAAGCTCGGTGCACCGTGTTGAGCTCCTGGCAACACGTGAGGGCCATCGTTGTCTCTTTCTCGTAAATGTAAACTCTACTTGCACTTTTACAATTTTCGTTCGCGTCACGCAAAGAGTTTTGCCCAATCACCTAGACAACAACGACTCTAATGGCTCAGATAAGTTATAGTCGATGGGTTGTAAGAAGATAGTTACATTTTATCTAGAGATTTGCTAGCCGGCACTCCAACATACATGCACTTAGCTACATATACGTATATTACCCAGCATCCCAGTGTCAGATTCCACTTATGCTCATGTCGATACATTTTTGTTTGGAAAGTCTATCTTTACCTCTATTGCATTATGGAAACGGGATCCCAGCTTGGCAATTTAATCTGGTGAGATGGCACATTTCTTCCATCCACACAGGTCGGAACCCTATCGGAACCAGTCAGTAGTGAAAATACAAAACAGTCTGGGTTCAGAGGACATCCGCAATATCTAGTCTTCTATTCCATTTATAACATTGAGAATACCCTGAAAAATCTACCCACGTATCTAGCACTGCGCTAGACAAGATGCACAAAGGAGCTGACAAAACTGGGATCCGTCCACGCCTCAGTCACTCCCCCGAATTGAAGCATGATATACTCCGAGCCCGGCCAGCCGGTGCATTACATTTACGAAACAAAATCGCGTGCCAAAGATGCCCAACACCGACATGCATCAGTAAAGATCCCAACATAGTATACGCCATGATAACGATTCGCAAGTCCAACAAACTCCATCGATCCCACCAGTTCAACTTCCATCACCCATCACTGCTTCATGTAGGTCAACATCGCCACGCCGACCACAGGCACCAGCGCCGTCCCCAAGACCTTGAGCATCGAGTTTCTAATGTGAGGTCCAATCACATTCTTCAGAAGCGCCTGGAACTCAGCCGGCGCATTGCCTTTAGGGTAGCGCTGCTTAGGAATCTCCTTGCCGAGGAAAGGACAGATTTGCTCCCAGCCAAACCCGCCTTCTAGAGTGCATGCAAGAAGCTGGTCCTTTGGAGCCAATCTCTTCACCTTTTCGGCGCTACAGTTTCGTACGGCGTTAGCTTTACGTCGCATATACGTCAGAGTGGAAAGGGGATATACTCCAAGACGTTATCTCTCTTTGCATCTTCCATCCCTGCTCTCAGGCCCTTTCCATGAAACATGACCTGTTCAAACGCATCATGAAGAGTGACAAATACTTCGATGAAGCTGTCAATGTATCGGATAACATTCAAAGGGAACTTCTTCCCCGCCTCGATGGGCTCTGCGATGCTGTTGTATACTGATCGTTCCCAGGCATCGACATCGCGTTCGACGATCATGAATTTCGCATTGGGGTAGAATTCGATAAACTCTTCGATAAAGAACTGAGGGATCTCGACGATGGCCTTGTCATGGTTTTATCTGGTTAGCATATATAAAACCCACAGTCAAACATATTGGGATGGGGAGAGAGTCAAGCTCACATCGTAGTTGGCGAGCCACTTGTCAAATTCGGCTTTGCCGTATGGTTTTCCAGCGCCCAAGTATTTGCACCTCAGAGACTCTTCGAATAGCTGGAGATGGGTGACACCCTGTTGGACAACTTCGTACATGTGGTAGGGCTTGTATCCGAGCATCTGGAGGGCTTGATATAGAGAGAAGGTTCCAACACTAAAAAGATCAATGACGCGTTAGATAGATGCCACTAAAACATCCATAAAGACGAATAGACCATACCGGCTGCGGCTGAAGACAATTAGCTCCTTCTCCCTCACCTTTTCAGGTGTGGGGAGTCTATCGATGAGGCGAGACATAATGTACTGAGTTGAATGGGACGCTTAAACGACGATGGCTTCTTTTGGTGTTGAGAGGCTTGTGGAAACCAGAGCGTACAAAACTACAGAGCACAAGAGCCATAATTGACAACTCATGGCCTTAATATATCAATGCCCCATGCTGAATTACAAGGCAACTCCAGTTATTACAGCTGGAATCTCGATGACAGGGGCAGTACTAGCCCCAAAGTCTGTCTGAACCTGATTCGTGATTCCATTCGGCTTCGGGCTGATCAATCCTTTCAGACTTGAACTGAGGCTCCATGACGTGGGCTGATTGGCTTGCATCGAAAACCCTTGGCTGGGCTACCAGGAAATGATGCTGACGGGGCGTTGGTAGGTGTTGGGTGAACTGTTAGCATAGCCATCTTCAGCGCACGATATCTCACCCCAGAGAGTAGTCTGAAAGTTGAAAAAGGGCTCAGATCATGACCACGACTAATGGAACTAATTTCTCTCGCAGACAATCATTTGCACAAAGAGCGAGCAAATCCGGGCCAGTATCCTCTCATGTCCCTAACAGTCGGATATGAAGCTGTTCTGAGGGGGATTCCAAGCAGTAAGCTCTAGTCAAGGCGGTTCCATCTACTAGGGGATAGCTCTAAAGCTACCGATGGGCCGAGCTCGACAATTGTGTCTGAAAATAGACCAACCTTCTCCCCAAGGGCTGACACGATGCATGCGACGAACTCGTTACTGTAATCGGGAAGTTTATTAAAAATGTGAGGCTCTACGCTGGTTCGTTGACGGTACGCGTATGAGGCTCTATGGCAATGTTAGTCACGCATTCCGAAATAGCATGGCCTGCTTGCGCTGCACGTATTGCGGATAGATGTGGGAAATATTCGATAGTTTGTTCGTCTTCACGGGGCTAGCCGAACAACACGAGCCAATCTGTCGGGAGATACCGAATTCGAGGCAACATGACCAAAAGAGCCTCCGCTTGCAGGATCATGTATATCATTTGCTTACTACTAGTCAAGCAATAGGGAAAAAGAAATGATACCAAATTCCTCTCATCATTTTTGACGAGAACTTGTCATCTTTGCCTCGCCTCTTGAATAGGAATGGGTAGCGAGAGGCAACATAAGATACAAACTATCCGTACACATTCTGAACTAGAAATTGGGACAATGCCTCGCCCTACTTTGGCGTCTTTTGTTGAATGGCTTGCTGAGTGGCTGAACCGCAGCTCGTGTCCTGGGCTCTTTGTTTGCGCCACTTGCATGTGTCAGAAACGACAAGCCTCTGCCAACGAACCAAAGGCTTCGGCTCGATCCAACAGAGATGAACGAATTGATGCCGTAAGCAGTCGCCTGCCTCGGATCGGTATATGTATTGACCGGACAGGGCTCTTCTTTTGCAGAGTTTCTTGCCTCTTCTCATGGTCCCCCGAGAGCGGAATAGCTCCCAACACGAAAAGGTTGCCACTTTATCTCTTCGCCCACAGTGTGGTGTCACGATGGCATCCAATCTGAGGGGGCACAATCTTTTACATGTTACATTCGCCTGCGAGATATATAAAAGCCGCCGAGCCTGGAAGGGAACCAAGAGATATGCTTCGTGGGCCGCTGCGTGGGAGGCATGGTGTGCAACATGCAACATGTGCCTGCTGGCTCGATAGAGCCGACGAACCGGAATATTTGCAATTCAGGCAAACAAAATAGCTTCCCCACGCGTTAAGAGATTGCAGCCGCGCTACCAGGCCCTCCCAAAGCTTGCAAGCACTCCGTAGAGACCCGTAAATGGAGATGGCACCTCCCGCTCCGTGAGCGATTTCGGGGAGGGGGGACCAAAGATCATGGGGGAGGCTTTTCCATTCTATCGACTCTCGGGAGCATCTCTTGTCATCCCATTATCGGCAGCAAGCAAGCCAAGAGCCCCCACCAGCGGCCAGAAACTCGGGGTCAGCCCTGGCTCGATTTCTGGTCGTTTGTGTGGGCGTGGGCGCGTGCGCGAAGATGTTGAGTTGATGGATGAGAATTAGGAAGAGACCGGGGAGGGCAGCCAATAAGAATCTGACGATAAGCAGCCCTGGTATGTGGCGGCTAGTGTGAGCCTTTTGGGCACATGTTTGGAGATTCTTGCGTGCCCTTGTACTTGTACTCCGTAGTTTTGAATGGACTCGGGTACAGTACGGAGCTGATGTCGTGATGTTTCTAAATTAGACAAGGAGAACGGGCAGACGGAGTAAAGGAGCGAAATTGGCCTACATGTACATGAAAGCGGTTATCAAGCGCGTTTATCGATGGATAAAAGTTGGTGGGAATGGGAGGGTTTTCTTTGCATGTGGCACAAATCGTCTCACACTTGCGCAAGGCTGGCTCAGATTCATCATCGTGTGGTGTACTACTGTGCCATACCTTGTCTATTTCTCTTCCTTCGTTTGGTGACATTTGATGAATGTCTCTTGTCTCTGCCACTAGCCACGGCCTAATGGTGCATTGCAAGAGGTATTAATTTCCCTTTGCTGTGAGCAGAGTAGCATCCTTTGCAAGGGAGCATGTGTTTGACCGAGCACTCGCTGGTTTAGCAGCCCAAACGGCTCAAACTGCAGCCGAAGAGCGCTGAACCGAGACAAGAAGCCAAGCTGGAAGCGTCATTCTGTCCTCGGTTCAGCTTCGTCGTTCGGTGTCTCCCTAGTTTTGTTTTGTTTTCTCTGAATCAGCCAAAGGGCAGAGCTCGGGATCAACGACCGAAGAAAGTATTACTCGTAGCTAGTATCTTAGTAGCCCATATCTGCACTGTGCTCACATGTCAGACTGCCGCTTGTGGATGCAAACGGGCACTGATTCGCACGCGGCCACAGGCGGCTGTAGAGGTGGATGCCCTCGCGTCCGTCGCAGGGCGATACGATACAACACGATACGTCCATACGATGTTACTCGTAACTCTTCATTGCACGGCGTAGGGGCCAAGACATGGACGGGAGTACTTTGTACGTACAAACAATCAGGCAGCCTGGCTTCTCTCCTTTCTTCTTCTTCTTCTGGTTCCTGGGCCTATGCGTTGTGCCACGTCCCTGACACACTCGGCGTAATCCGATTCGATCCAGCATCGAAAACATAACGTAAAAAGAAACCAAAAATACGTGGCCGAAGCTCGTTCTCGGCTCATCGCACCGCCTGGAACCAAGGAGCACTGCCGGCAGCTGGTTGATGCCATGGCCCGTAATATTTGATCTCGTTATGCGGTGGAAGGGAGTACCTGAGCTAAGGCGCGGATACGCCGTCGCTGGCATTGAAAATAGCATTCTGATCCATTTGACCCCATTTCGTACGTACGAGTACCGGTTGTACGGTTAGTGAAGGTGTCTTTGACTTGTCTCAGTCTGTTGCTGTGCGCACAGCCTCACCAGCCACTCTTGGTGTCAAGGATTAAGAAAGAAACTGGATCCACTTTCAGTGCCAACTTTGATGTTTTGCTTTATCCGCATGCGGTGGCGCCCTTTTTGTGTTCTGTACGGAGTAGTAATATCTGGCCACTCACCACTGTACTAAACCTGGATTACTGTATGTAAGGTCAGATCTGAGCAAGGCATGGCATGTATCCATGTAATCCTTACTAAAGCCAGCACGCACATGCATCGGAGGGACTGGGCTGCCTGTCAGACTGATGGATGCTACATGTAGGAACGAGTACCAAGCAACATGAAAGTAATGGACCTGCTGGAATTGATCACGCCTGCATCTCCGCAAAATGGAAAAATAGCCAGATCGTGGGAAAACAACTCAAAACCACAAACAGAAACCAGTCATATCGCCAGTCATCGGATGGTAATCGGAGCAGAGCGACTGGCTCCAGCACCGCGGCGTCGAAAAACTTGGTGAGGCGTTTATGTAAATTTTTAGGGTCCATGGCAATCAAATGCAATGACACAAATCAATGAGCAAAGCCTCGGGGCGTGCAGCCACTCAGCATCCAGAACCGGCCGAGACTAGCGGTCGAGCAGCCACCAATTGCCTCTGCCAGAGGCCCCTTATCAGGTACTTGTGGATGGAGTACAGTGTCGAGGGAGGGAGAGAACTGGGAATGAGGTACCGAGTACCGGAGGCCAGGTATCCATTGGGGAGGGTCCGGGTATTCTCAATTCTCACAAGCCAGAGAGACGATCAACTGTGGCTGGATGGAAGAAAGACGCTGTGTGTATTTGTTTCGAAGGGATAAAGCCGTGACCGGATAGATGACGGGACAAGTGTGAGACGTAAGCAAATAGAGAGAGGGAATAGTTCACATGAAAAGAAAAGTAAGAAACAAAACATGGCAGCAGAAAAGTAAAAGGCGTGTTGTGGTGGTGGTGGCTCAACTCTCCTTGGGTCTCGTTACTGCAACCTTCTTGACGGTATTGCCACGGCCATGAACATAGTACAGTCACCACATGTACCGCTACTCTCCATCCATGAGCTCATCAGAGACCCCGTACCTGTACCAGCAGATCTTGGTGCTAATCCCTCGTCATCAGTGTACCGGTACCGTGCATTCTGGGCTTGCTAGGCCCCATGCCGGTCGCACTAGGTGGCACCAAGATAGCAACTGGGGCCTCATGTGGCGATACCCATCCCCTAGCACAGCAAGTACTCCATGATGGTGTACTCCATACTTGTGCGACAATACGGGGGGAAATCCCGACTCTGGGGCTGAACGTGAAGGTACCCGGTTCCGTCTTTTTTCTTTGGCGCTGATGCTTCCAAACACATATAAACCCTCGCCGCCCGTGTCCGTCCAAGGCAGCGATTGTTGATACTGCATTGCATTCCATTTGATTGCTTCATTTTTAGTCCATTTGTTGGTCTTTTCTGAAATACCCATATACCGGTATACACTCGTATATATACAGCTGGTTGAACTGCACTCCGCTCGCATTCAATCTTCCCCACTACATCATCACATCTTTTCTTTCTCCCACAAACAACTTCACACACAACCGTCATCATGGCCAACCGAGAAATTCTGTCGTCTCGAACTGAGACTCTCAACAAGTACCTGAAGCTCGACCAGAAGGGCAAGATCATGGCCGAGTATGTCTGGATCGATTCTACCGGCGAGACTCGATCAAAATCTAGGGTGAGTTTCTCCAACATTTTTCCTTATCTCGACCCCTGTCACCGTCAGCTGCATTGTGCATCGCAAAATGCATGCAAAAGCAAAACCCCCCGACTTGTCCCGTTGCCCCGCCACCTTAGTGGGAGACAATTCGGACAGGGGGGGGGCGACTCGGCCTGGGCGAGTGGAAGCAATCATGACGCCACAGCTTGGCTGCTGTGGCTATTCTCTTGGCTTGCTTTCTGCTGGATGCTCGATGCTCGTTCTAGCAGCGATAGTTTGCCTAGTAGCGGTTCGTCAAATTGCTATTGGGTCTGGGCTATCGCTGCTATTTGTGGCATCTTGACTCAGCCCCGAACCAAACCCGCAATACGGGCGACCCGCTTCAGGGTCTGTCTGGGTCTGTTCTGGGCCTGTGATGACTTGATTCGCCCTGCCTCGGCAAGCGTCGGGTCTGGCAATTGATCATCAAAAGGGGTGACGCGATGACTCGCGCGTGTGTGACGTATCGTGACATGGAAATCAAGCTTGCTGACTCTCTTCGCGATAGACGCTCCCTGAGCTCAAGGACAAGGAATACACCCCCGAGGATCTGCCCGTCTGGAACTTTGACGGCTCTTCAACTGGCCAGGCTCCTGGTCACGATTCCGATGTCTACCTGCGCCCTGCCGCCGTCTACCCCGATCCTTTCCGTGGCTCTCCCAACATCATTGTCCTCGCCGAGTGCTGGAACGCCGACGGCACTCCCAACAAGTACAACTACCGCCATGAGTGCGCCAAGGTCATGGAGGCCAACGCCGCTCTCGAGCCCTGGTTCGGTCTCGAGCAGGAGTACACTTTCCTCGACCACGATGACAGGCCCTATGGCTGGCCCGTTGGCGGTTTCCCTGCTCCGTATGTCACCTGTTTCATATGACGTTGGAAAATAGTTGAAGCTAATCTCTTGGTACAGTCAGGGTCCCTACTACTGCGGTGTAGGCAGCGGCAAGGTCGTCCTGCGTGACGTCGTTGAGGCCCACTACAAGGCCTGTCTGTGTAAGTCTTGGATTGCATCATGACGTTACTTTTGGGAACAAGGTGCTAATGCAGGTTTTAGATGCTGGCATCAACATCTCCGGTACCAACGCCGAGGTTCTCTCAAGTCAGTGGGAGTTCCAGGTCGGCCCTTGCGTCGGCATCAACATGGGTGACGAGCTCTGGATCGCCCGTTTCTTCCTTGCCCGCATCGCCGAGGACTTTGGCGTCAAGATCTCCCTGCACCCCAAGCCCATCAAGGGTGCTTGGAACGGCAGCGGTCTGCACTCCAACTTCTCCACCAACCAGATGCGTGAGGAGGGTGGCATGAAGTACATCGAGGAGGCCCTCAAGGCCCTCGAGCCCCACCACGCCGAGTGTATCAAGGAGTACGGTGAGGACAACGACCTCCGTCTCACCGGTGACTGCGAGACCGGCTCCATCGAGAAGTTCAGCTGGGGTGTTGCCAACCGTGGCACATCCATCCGTGTTCCTCGCGAGACTGCTGCCCGTGGCTGCGGTTACTTCGAGGATCGCCGTCCCGCCTCCAACGCTGACCCTTACCGTGTCACCAAGATCCTGATGACTTCAATTTTCGGCAAGGCCTAAGCCTTTGGCTTAGAAACTGCGGATGGTTGTGGGGAGTTGAGGGGATGATGTGTAGCGAGGCGAGGAAAATTCTACATATGGGGATGTAACATTACGGATACTAGGGAGATGCACTTAATATGACTTTGAGGGAACAAATGGTTTGGCGTATGGGTTTTTTTTCTTCAACAACATATATCATGATGACCGGGGGAGTCGACTATTAGACATTGATAGCTGTGTACGCGGCTTAGATTCATTTTACCAATGCGAATGCGACATTGAGGGCTTAATAACAAGCACCTACATTTCACTACTGTCTCTCTTTCTATCGATTCATGTTGTGCTGTGACTTCACGTATCAAGGGACAAGGGTTCACGCCGCGTTTTAAGCTTAATTTGTTCCAAGCCATGAAGAAATCTGGGGAATACCCTTGTCTAACCCTTATCATTTCCCATCGCGACATCCCAGTCGAGGCGTTGTGGCTGTTCTGCCCATCTCCCCCTATCGGAGAGCTCCACAACGCGATAGACAGGCTTCTCTGGACAATTTCCAAGAGAAAATACATCTATTATGCTTCATTGAGTCTTTTTGGAGAGCTTTATGAGTTATATAATGGTTGTTGAGTACCTAGTTAGAACCTTGTTGCTTCGATGTTGTTTGGCGTAGTAATTGGCTGGTAGCCACTGCGAACTTTTTGAGATGGCCCGACAGGGCGGGTCGGTGGCTGTCAGTACAGCTATGTGACATGTCTTGTAGAAAGCCTATCTAATTCTTTGACTAGATGGCTTGAATTAGGTTACATATATGGCCAAATCCGACTCAGTAGTAAATATGCGACTGCGGCACGAAGAAGTGAAGAACGCGTTTGATCAATATCTAGGGATATGACATCACGGAAGGCTCAGGAAATTCTTCTAGAGCTACGACTTTGAGCACACGGCATACAATTCCATGATTTTATCGCTTTTTCTCTGGGGCTCACTATGGATCTGCTCAGTTGGCATCTCGCCTGTGATTGTTTGGATGGGTTGAATGCGTAGAACTTGCTGTCGTGGAAATATTCTTGCAGTTCAATCGACAAATACGCAGCTAACATCACCATGTCTCTTTTCACATGCTGCAAGCTTGTCTTTGTCTACATACTCCAAGCTTGTTCACGGGCTGTCAGTTATTACTACTAGGTAGGTAGTTGAACATCAAGGCAGTCGAGTGCATCCTTTGTTTCCTACCGCCTTATCTGAAGCAGTGGTGATGCAATTTTCTCACAATGCTTCTAGTCACTCTGCCAAACTCCACCCAGACAAACGGCTTCGATGGCGATATCAAGATTCGCTCGCGAATACGACCAATCCAATCTCAGTTGCCAAGGGAAACGATCCACAGCTGCTATGCAAGATGTGAAAATTCAGATTCTTCGTCTGACCTCTATAGAGCCGAGAGCCTCGGAAATTCAGCAGCGTGCTATTCACTGGACCGCTGTGCACGGAGGCTCCAGCACTCATTGACTTGCTAGCAGCACACTGGAGCTTTCCTCTATCCCCCTGTGAGGACCTCTCTCGATTCTACCCTTTTTCTTCCTCTTCCTCTTCCTTTTTCTTCTCTCCTCTCTCCTTTTTATTTCACCACTCTTCAACCATATTCACCTCTCTATCAGCATTAGATAGAGGCTCTGCACTTTTATCTCTACATCATCTGGAACCATCTCAACTGTCATCAAGTTTATCATCATCAACGACCACACGAAGCCATTCTTTCCTTGTGTCAGACTTCAAGATGTGCAAGGAATACACCACCATCGCCATTTGTGCACCCCAAAAGGCACCTTCTATGTCTTTCACTTGCGGACAGCTCCACCAGGTAGTTGATCGTCGTCAAGTCTGTGACAAGGCCACCGGTTCCTGTATCTGCTTTGTGGGAACTTGTGGTACTCTTGAGACTGTCCCATCCACCCTGAGCATCCCGATTGCATCCCTGAAATCAATCCGATGTGTGGCCTGCACTGCCCGTGAGGAAGAAATTGGAGACCGACGATCCAATGAGGAACTCATTGACTCGCCCCTCCTCACCAGAGCTGCTGTCAAGTCTCCAGAAGATATGCAACACTTCAAAGAGATTATCAAGAGTCTGTGGAATGGGGAAGAGGAGTGTCCCTATCATACTATGATGGCGACTCGAGAGAAGACCAGCGACACCCCCATCATCACCAAACACGCGTCGGATGTCGACATCGGCAAAGACGCGGATATCGATATCTCCATCGAGGTTCACACTGCCGGTCTTCAAGAAGACATTGACGATGGCAACATTTCCGAGGCTTCGAGCAATGCCACTCATGGCAGTAACGGTAGCTTGACTAGTAACTTGTCTCAACAGAGCAACAAGAAGAAGGATAACAGTGGCCTCGGTCGAAAGGTTGGCCTCCAGGCCAGCATCTGGGCCAACGCCCCGGCCAAGACTCCCGAGCGTAAGAAGCACATTGGCTCTCCTAAGTCCCGAAGTCCTGTCAAACGACAGAAGCCAGTGGCCCCTCAGGGACAGAAGCCAGTGGCCCCTCAGGGACAAAAGCCAGTGGTCCCCCAGGAACAGAAACCAGCTGTCGCCCAGGCAAAGAAGACGAAGATGAACCTGCCCCAGATTGCCGCGGCAAAAAGCTTTCTCAAGGCCGCCATCGTTCAAAACTGAGCGGAAATGTTTCTAGTTGGAGGATGGCAAGTGTGGCTTTGGAAGGTTAATGGACAGTGATTCAGGGGTACTGTGTTTTACAGAGTTGGATGGATAGACACTTGAGAAGAGGGCTTAATTTTGCCATAGAAAGCCTAATCTATGCATTCACTGAATTGTAATAACTGAGCAAATAAAAACTAGAGACTTGGTGCCGTAAATATGCTTGTGTAGAAAGTGAACTTGACGCGTGTATCCCGACGTGGTGGGAAATTTCCAGGTTCCTTTTCTCCTGGCAGCTGCCCTGTGGCTCGGAATCTTCCAAGCTACACCTTCACCACAACAAACAACCTCCCTCCCACACAAATCATCAATCACTCTTTCTGCTTCTACGACGTATCGTCATTTTCTTTCTTTTAAATTTCACCATCTAGCTGAGATTTCTGTCTGTTTATCATGTCCGAGAAGAAGAGAATGAAGAGCCTCGAGGAGGTGGAAGTCGAGCTCGAATATTTTGGCTTGAGTCGACAATCCGCAGCTGCTATGGTCAGACTTGCGAATAACCTCAAGCAAGTCAGAAAGCTTCGAGCCGCACACATCGAGCTCTTGGTGCCCGGCAGACGACTGCATCCTCCCTCGCCGCTCGGCCAGATCGTCTGGAATCAAGGCGAGCTCGAGATCGAGATCGAAATCATCGAGAAGCTTGAGGGCCAAAATGGCCATGACAACGAGCCAGAGCAGGCATCTCGCAACGAGGCATCCGGTTCGGAAGCTACCACGGTTTGTCTCCCTCCTAAATCACGATCCTGCGCTCCCCCTGATACACCTTAGCCATCCCCCTTTCTTGAATTTAGTCGGCTGGCACCTCTAACATCTTCTGGAAAGGACATGAATGTCACCGAAGGCGCTGTTTTATCGAGCGTAGAATCAGCCACTCTGGACAATGTCACATCCAGCCTCGAGAACCTTTCGATCCCACAAAATACTTCCCCCTCTCCGCCAGAGCGCTCGGCCGATATTCTTGCTAAGGAAGCTGAAGGAGAATACGACCCATACGATACCCCCCACAACAGGGACGATTTCAGATGGTGGTGATGGATTATCTGTTTGCAAGAACAAGGATGGAACATATGACTTAGTATTTTGGAGGGATATACAGAGGTTATCTATGGAAGCGATCGGGTTTGACGCCCACATTAGAGTAGAGGATTATGCATCAGGCAAACATGTCTTCTAGTACTGCTAGCATTCGCAATGGCCACTCTACCATGCAACTCCTTTTTCAAACCCACCATTAATGCAATGTGGGATACACCTTTTTGAATGCAGCAGTGGCGGCGATGGACGCCCACCACTGTCTTGTCTTTTCTCCAATCGTGAAGCTTGGGACTGATTTCTGAATCAGCTTCTCCAGAACGCTGAAATCTTGGATTTGAGTTGCATCGGTGCCTGCTCCGAACAGAGCATGTGCCAGCCAAACAGTAGCATGGAAATCAGCTTCGGTGACAGCATCTCCAGCTGCATACGGTAGAACCAGGAGCGAATCCAACTTGTCCAGCACTTGGGCAAACGCTTTGAAGGCATCGTCCGAGTTCTTAAAGAATGTCTTATGCTCCTCTCCAATCTCGATGGTGTAGAATTTGTTGAGGCCGCCGTTTTCCTGCACTTTGGGTCCGTAGAAAGGGTGGTTTGGGTTGGCAGCCTGCTCTTTTTCAAGTCTCGCCTGTCGATTTCCCACGAAATCTTTCCAGAAGCTGGTCTGCTTCCCCTTCATCTCCTCGTCGTCTCTCGCGAGGAGAAGAATCGTGTTTGTCGATGCATCATCTGAGTGGACGAGATCGAGTATGGGTTGTGCTCTAGCTTTGACAGCGGGATCTGAAGGCACCAACGTGCTCTCTCCATCAAACGCGTCAATGTATCGAAGAACGTCCAAACTTTGGATCAGCGGCTTGTCGAGCGATGGCGAAGTGATGCTGGGCACGGTGCCGTTGGGGTTGACTTTGATATATTCGGGATCGAAATTTCCGCCCGTCACTAAATGATTGCAAAAGTTATTACCACATGTGCTTAGGCGGACAATCTTTGGTTTTTTAGGTCTTACTGAGGGCGATCTCCTTGAGATCGTATTTGTCTTCAGGGACGCCTTTCTGAGCCAATGCCAGATGCGCCACTTGGGCCCACTGCGAGGCTGCTGAAGTATAGACGGTAAACTAGGAGAGAGATATAATTAGTGCTGAGGATGTCTAGGATGATGGAGTTATGCATACCTGAGGGGCCATGATTTTGTGGAGGTGCCGAAGCCTGGGTTGGAGAAGAAAGGTCGGGCAGCTGTAAACTGTTGATTTTGCGCACGCGCCTGTTGGGTGAACAGCAAATCTCTGTCTGCTGTACTCTATAGTATTTGAAGCTTTTTGAAATGATGTACAAATTCAATTAATGAAATTAACAAAGATCTGAACGCTATTCTAGTTCTATATATGTTCAACATGTCTTTTGTCAGCGACTTCAAAAATCGCCGCATCGCGAAATGATTTCACATTCGTCCGAACAGAAATCCCGCCTGCCAAGACACTCTACATTTTTCGACCGATTCGAACGAGATACCAAATATGAGACTTTCGCAACCCTCGAAACTATTACCCCTGGTATAAAGAAAAACTACTAAATAGAGAGTTGCAGCCGTGCTTAAGGGCGACGTTGCGCTGATATAAGCTTGACACATAGAATTTGGAATCACCGCATCGGGTGCAGATCTCGGCTGAGTGGCTTGGGCAGCGCTTTAATTCCCCGGCAAAATTGATAGCTCTCTAGTGGCTGAAGCTGTGCGAAATTTCCCACCATTGAGTGCTGACAGCGTTCTATATTAACAAGCTTAATTTGCTCAAAGATGCGGTTACTAGCCACAGCGGCCCTGTTGGTCCGAGTTGGTGCGGAAATAGAAACGCAAGGCCAACCGAATATGATGTCAACGTTTACACGAGGAAAACTTGCTCTACCATCCCAAAGGGGTAATTTCTTAAGGGGGGATTATTCTATATTGTCAATCAAAGGATAGTTTCGACTTGCGTAGTGGAATCATTTTGTGGAAACTGGTCTATTTGCGAGTTGACGATGCTCCGTATGGCACAGGCGTTGGGCTCAGCCGCTCAGCCTTATTCCTTCAGGCCCTGGACTTCAAACTCCACTGTCATCAAGGTTGACGTATTGGTGAGATATTGGGGCCTCAATATGGCGGAATTAATTTGGATTAACTATGCTGTTGTAGAGAGACTCAAGGTATATAATAATGGTCGTGATTCCTCGTAGTTGCTCTCAATCTGCTCCATCATCACAAGATTCACTTCCTCTCCCCGCAACAACCTTTTCATTCAACTACCACAATCTCTAATATCAATTGTACAATCATTTTATAATTCTCTTTTTGATATACAATCATCATAATCAACATGAAGTTCTCTACTCTCGCCTCCATCAGCCTTACTGGCCTCTCTGCTGTCTTGGCCGCTCCCAGCGGTAATCAAAGCAGCAAAGGCGCCGTCTTCGCCCTGACAAACGCCGTCAACAACGAAGTCATTGCCTTCTCCCGCAGTGCAGACGGCACTCTGGTCAAGACCGGAACCTATCCCACCGGCGGCAACGGCCAGGGCGTCGACTTTGACACTCAGGGGGGCCTTCAGCTCAGCGCTGACCACAGGTTCCTCTATGCTGTCAACCCGGCCAACGACCATGTCACCGTCTTCGAGGTGAATGGATCTAACCTCAAGAGGATTCAGTCCATCTACGCCGGTGACCAGCCCCTTTCCATTTCCCTGAGCAGCAATGGATATGCCTATGTGCTTGACGGCTCTGTCGCCTCAACCGGCATCTTTGGGTTCAAGGTGAACAGAGCCAATGGTCTTCTTTCGCCCATTACAAACTCCACCATTGCCACCAGCAACCCTATTGGTGTTCCAGGCACCGTTGCATTTTCCCCTGATGGCCACTCCCTCATTGTCACCAACAAAATCGGCAGCACCATCGACATCTTCACCGTGGGATCCACGGGACACGCAAGCCTAGCACCCTTCACCTCCATCTCATCCAGCGGTCTCCGTCCCTTTGGCGCAGTCTTTGGCCGATCCAACAGCCTCTACGTTGTCGAATCCGGCTTGCCTGCTCTTGGCAACGCCGGTCTCTCCACGTACAAGCTGCACGGCGGCCAAGCCCCCGTCCTGGAGCCCCTCACCAAGTCCGAGAAGAACCAACAGACGGATGGGTGCTGGGTCGTCGTTACCCCTGACGAAAAGTACGCTTACACTGCCAGCTTCATCACCAGCGCCATCTCCAGCTACTCTGTTGCCAAGAACGGCACCGCCACCCTGATCAAGGGTGATGCCGCCCTTACTGGCGATGGAAGCGAGCCCGTCGATCTCGCCCTGAGCAGTGACGGAACTTACCTTTACAACTTGCTCCGTGGCGCTGGTGCTATTGCTGCATGGAAGATCCAGGCCGACGGCTCTCTGCAGTCCATTGGTGGATCTTTCGGCAAGGGACAGGGCATCCCGGTTGCAGATGGTGCTTCGGGCCTGGCTGCGTACTAAGGGCTTGGTGCATAGTCGTGGAGGGCGTCGGGTAGAACGGGACACAGCATCAATTCAAGGGGCTAATTATAAAGGGGGGATGGTGGTCAGCAAATAGATTGCGTCTTCATGTGTTTGATTGCGCCTGAGCTGGCGGTTAGACTAGAGTGGTATACTTGGTTTGGATTTTGTATATTTATATTCTTCGAGCGGGGGTTACAAACCTTCACGGGCTGATAGTTGTAATATTCTTTAACCTATTTCGTCCACTCATTGCTTCACTACAGTAAATGCCTCGTATTCATCATGGTGCTTGGGCATTACTCATCGTGATGGCATTAAACTACACGTAGTTCTGACATATAAAATAACACTATAGCGAACTCGCTCGTCTCTTAAGCCTCGTGACTCTTGAGCCCGATTTCGTCATGGAGTTCAAGTTCTATTTGTGTCACATCCACCGTCTTCTTGCCAGTACGGATATCCTCAATGTCGGGTACGGAAGAATGCTTCTCTCCCTCAAAGATGGCGTCGATTTCTTCCAAGGTTTTGCCCTTTGTCTCTACCCAATAGACAGCCTGGTCTACGTTAGCACTTTGAAAATACACTACATCTGAACTGGTGGGGTATCTTACAATAAGGACGAGCGTGACAATGTCCCATGAGCCGTTGATGATGTACGTTTTCCATCCAATGTTGGTCAGCGCAATAGGCATCACAAACGTGAGGAGGAGACTGGGCAAATGGTTAGCTGGAGTAGACAAAGACAGAATTTTGATGGTACTAACGCCAATCCATTCAAACTAAAGTTGGCCAATGCCAATCCGTTGGCTCGAATAGGGTAGTTCATCACCTCTGGCGGGTAAAGGTATAGCAAGGGCGTAAAGGCAATGGAGTAAATTCCCTGGAAGATGAACATGACGGCAACGTCACCGTAGATCAAGCTGGTGGAGGCACCATCCGGGTTATCTGCGTACATCTTGGACAAGCCACCGATGATGAAAAGGCATACGATCATGAGACTCTGTGAAAGAAGCGCAGTGGGCTTTCGACCCCATACCGCCGCCAAATGAGTGCCGCCGAATGCGCAGAAAAGACACCAGACGTTGAGTACAACGTTCTATACAGACGATTAGCAGTTTTCTCCAAGGCGTGAGCTTATCAACTTACGGCCTTGAGTTGGTCATTGTAGTCTGTAATACCCGCCGTGTCCAATTCATTTCCAAGATAATACGATGCGATGACATTTCCAGCAATGCATGAGAAGGGTCCGACTGATGCCCCGATCAAGGTTCTCTTTCGCGCCGTCGGAGTCTTGATGATTTCCCTGGGACTCATCGTCATACCGTTCTTCCTCTCCCATTCAAGAGTGTCGACAATCTCTTTGTAGACGGCCACCACAACCGGGTTAGTTATGTCGCCATCGGCGTTGGTTTGAGCGACAGAGAGTCGCGCATCTTCGTAGCGCTCTTTGCTAACCAGCCAACGAGGCGATTCAGGAATAAAAGGCAGCACGATAATACAAGCAAAGGAGAATATTCCCTGGAGTAGTGACGGAACACGCCAGGCCCACGTAGACTGCCACTGGCCTGTGCCAAGAGTGACTCCGGCAGCTATCAGTGAACCAACATAGTAAAAGTTGTTCAGAATCTGAAAGCAGGAAATGAACGGTCAGCTTCTCAAGAACAACTTTGTTTGCCCGGTTAAGAGAGAACAGGTGAATACATACGCCAACACCCCACGCGCGATATCTGCTCGCAAATGTTTCACTCAGGTAGACGGCGCCTGCAACGGACGAAATGGCACTACCCCATCCAAGAATGATTCTCGCCACAACAAACATGGCAATGTTTTGTGCCGCGGTTTGCAAAATAATACCCAATAGCGTCACGACTGAGCCCCAGAAGATGGCGGGACGACGACCAAGCCGATCAGTCATAACACCAGCGAAAATCGGGCCAAAGAAGCCGCCAATAAAGACGGACGCGGTGTTGAGGCCGGTAGTAGCACTGTTCAAGTTGAAGTAGTCTGTGTATGAAGGCAAAATGTTCAAGCCGTTGAGCATAGAACCATCGTAGCCACCAGTTGCGGACTGAACCATGGAGCAGATGAGCAGAAGAACAGAGACGGTGGTGGTGGATTCTGGCACCCAGGCCGGGATCCAAGTCCCTGTTGGGGTACTGCGAAGCATCGTGTACGCTTGTCTTGCTCTCAGCAAGTACGTAGGCACATGTAGCTGTACCGATACTTGAAAATGTCGCGTCAAAGTTCAACTGATGAGTGCTGGCGCCGGGGCGATTGATATGATATTAATATCCTTTGGCCTCTATCGCACCTCCTCCAAATTAATCATCTGCAATCATCCCCCCTCATCCCCAGCTGCGGGCCCTCGGCAGATATCAGACATCTTACATATCTAAAGACATGCCTAACTCACGGATGCAACGTGAGCAAAACCAGCCCATTGGCACCACAGACCGCCTGATAGCCAACAGTTTCCCAATCAAAAGTTCGCCGAAGGGGTTCATCGGGTACCGGCAGCGTAGCGGGACGCCACCCGATGGAGAAGTCCTCATGGCTGATCCCCAGATATCGTGAAGGCCGTCTTAAACCCTCATCGCAGATTGGCCAGTTCAACTTTAACCAAGCCAAGCCTCGTCGGGTAAAAGTGGCAGACCTGCATTTGATTTCCATTTATGGACAATCTTTTACTTATCTAAAACCTCAAGCTTGTTGGTCGTGATACCCCGCGCTGTTCCCCCACTGATCACCAGACTTGTAACGAGTCTAGCCTCGTCTCACTCGAAGCAACTGGCGCGGGTAAACGGCCTTTAGTGATAACCAGCGCTCCGTATTGATGACACGAAAACAAAATCGTCAAGATAAAAGACAAGGACGGAAGACAACAAAACAGCTAGTTACCTCCCCGCCCCGCTCTTCTTGACGTCTGGATAATACCTGCGAGGCTATAAGAAGGGTGGAGGAGGATAGCAAATAGCACCAAGCCAGGGCTAGCAGAGATACGGTCAGCAAGCCGTCAGCCAACCAGAGAACATGTCGAAGCGTCCGGTTATCGCCGTTGCTGGCCTTGCCTGCGAGACATCGACCTTTTCGCCGGCCGTCACGCTTGCCCCGGCCTTCCACCCCAAGCGCGGCGATGAGATTGTCGAGCGATACGAGTTCCTGCACGCCGATAAGCCGCTGGGGATAGAGGCAGAGTGGAAGGGCGCGCTCATCGGACATGCGCTTCCCGGAGGCATTGTGACTCGCGAGGCCTTTGAGACGCTCTCCAAGGAGATTGTGGAAAGGCTGCAGGTGATTGTCGCCGAGAACAAGGTCGATGGCTTGTGGTTTGATATCCACGGCGCCATGTGCGTGCAAGAGCTGGACGATGTAGAAGCTGAGCTGTTGAGGCGCGTTCGCGCTGTCATCGGCCCGGATGTTATTGTATCGGCGTCGATGGATCTGCACGGCAACGTCTCGCGGGAGCTGGCGCACATGTGCGATCTCATCACCTGCTACCGCATGGCACCGCACGAAGATGCCATGGACACCAAAGAGCGAGCGTGCCGTAACCTCGTCAACATCTTGCAGGGAAAGGAGCCTGGATTGCGACCGTTGAAAGCTTGGATCCCTGTGCCTATTCTTCTTCCTGGAGAACAGACCTCGACGCGAATTGAACCCGCAAAGCACATTTACGCTGCAGTACCAGAAGTGGAAGCCGGAGATGGCGTCTTGGATGCTGCAATTTGGGTGGGCTATGCCTGGGCTGACGAGCCGAGAAACCGTGCCGCCATCGTTGTCACCGGATGGGATGAAGCAGCAGTTTCTCGAGGAGCGGAGAAGCTGGCCAACCTATTCTGGGATGCGCGGGCTGACTTCAAGTTCGTTGCGCCCACGGGCAGTTTTGCTGAGTGTCTGGATGCTGCCGTCAAATCACCTCCTGAGGAGCGTCCATACTTTATCTCTGATTCCGGCGATAATCCCACGGCTGGTGGTTCGGGGGACATGACTTGGGGACTGACGAGATTGCTTGAGCGGCCCGAGTTCAAATCACCTGATTCCGGATACACAGTCATTTATGCCAGCGTTCCTGGGCCCAAGGCGATTGAGACGGCCGTTGCCGCAGGTATTGGCGCAACTGTCACTGTGACTGCTGGAGCCGACGTCGACAACCTACATGCACCTCCGCTTACAATGACTGGTCGAGTTCACTCCATCAAGCACGGCGATCGTGATGCTGTAACCGAAGTTGTCCTACAGGTTGGATCAGTATACGCCATCTTGACCAAATTGCGAAAGCCGTACCACAAAGAAAAGGACTTTACCGATCTAAACCTCACCCCACGATCTGCCGATATTGTCATTGTCAAGATTGGGTACCTTGAGCCGCAGCTATACGATATGGCCAAGGGCTGGATGCTTGGGCTGACGCCAGGGGGCGTTGACCAAGACTTAAAGAGGCTGGGTCATCATCGGATACGGAGACCCATGTGGCCTTTTGACGAGGACTTTGAGAAGATGCCCGACTTGAAGACGGTGTGGATTGATAAGTCGAATGAGCCGTTGAGTGGTCCAGACGTTTGAGAGGTTCAAAATGTACATGTACGATGAAGAAAATAAGGTACGAAAACTTTTAGACTTTTTAACTCTGTATGTTATACTTCTATATGGATCGTAGGCCAGCTAAGAGGCATAACTCTTTCTGTAGAAAGGATTAACTTCAAATGCGCAAGCTGAATATGCTAAACTTGTTCACTCTACCAAATCAGTGCTGGAAATGACATCCTTCCACTCTTCCAGAATCCGAATCGTCTTGTCGCACTTATTCTTGATGACTTCGTAACCATCAGGTCCAAGCGGCATGCGCACAGGAATCGTCTTGCCCTTTGCAGTCCCTTCTTTTCGGACGAGGTCCACGACAATAGCTACTCCTTTCTTCGGGTCACCGCTCTGTGCGTGGTTCTTCTCCTGGAGTAGCTTGTTGAAACCCTTGGATGCTTCTTTATAATCCGGGATGCTTGATTCCACAGTCTTGAGGTTGGCCTGCGAGAGGAGGTCGGTCCTGAAGAAGCCGGGTTCTATCAACAGCGTTCGGATTCCGAGATCCCGCACCTCTTTGTTTAAACTTTCGACCATTCCTGTCCATGGTGTGAGTAATTGGAGGTTGCATACTAGTTTGTTGGGGTTCTGATGGTGAAAGCTTTACCTTCAAGTGCAAATTTGGTTCCAGAATAACCTCCGTTGAACTGCATCCCGCTCCATCCCGAAATTGAGCTGATAAAGACATTCATGCCAGTCTTTCTCTCTCTGAAATGGGGCAACACAGCCTTGGTGGTTTTCAGGGGCCCAAAGACATTTGTCTCAAATGCGTCGTGAAACTGTTCGTAGCTAACAAGCTATCAGCATTTATTGTTCCACTTCAATTAGCCAGATATGCGAATGAGCTCTTACGAAAGGTCTTCCCATGCACCACCCAAGACATAGGCAGCATTGTTGATGAGAACATCCAGTTGGCCGTAGATCTGGATGGCGCTTTTAAAGGTCTCGTTGATGCGCTGCTGGTCCCAGGTAACATCCAGTTGAAGCACCGCAGCACCCGTCTTCTTCAGGTCCTCGAGGCTCTCCAATCGGCGAGCGGTTGCGATTACTTTGTCTCCACGACTGAGAATCTCATTGACAAAGTCTAGTCCAAAGCCGGAAGAGCATCCAGTCACGAGCCACACGAGAGGTGCCATTGCGATACAAACTGATATGATGTGGGGAGTAGAAGAGTGATGTATGCTCGAAAATGAACCTGGTTTTGAGAGTTTTGAATCATCATGAAAATCGTTATTCTTTATTGACTTATATACACAATGGCCAATATCTCTTTTACAAAAATATGAAGCTATATCCGATGCGCTCGCCTGGAGCGGACAGAGCGGACAGGGCGGAGAGTGGGTACCCATTTGGAGCGGACAGTCCGCTCGTCTCTGATCCATGGCATTTCGTAGGACAAACGCCGAATGAACCACTTTGATTCGGATATAAATGTAGAATCATCTATAGGAGTTTAACGACTATACTCCGAAATGTTTAAAAACCGATCACTTTACGTATTATAGAACGATATCGCCAAGGCCAGATCATACCATTACTACTGCGCTTCGCAGTGGCTCAATTTTGGGCTATGCTATCGCCGAAAAGCATTCTTATACAACGCAATGTCTTCCCAAAGATGTCACATACACAGTTTTTCGAGGCCCAGTATATGTACCATCTTCCATGGAATGAAACTTCAAAATAACAGAGTATGATTTCATCACGCGGCCTTAAGCTGCTCAGCACTGGAGATAGGAGCGAAAACCGAAGAATTGGTTGCCGAGTTCCCAACAGAGAGTCATGCCGACTCCCATGAGTACTACCATGCACCCATTAATTTGTCTCCCGTCGTTATACCGTTAATTTGTCTCTTCATCGTCAACGAAATAGTCCAACTCTATAGATATAGCCCGCTAAAACCCCAATGACATAATAGATGAAGCAAGATAGTCTGCATATATCTATGGTTATAATATTCGTGACCTTCTTCCTCCCCTCTTCTTCTTCCTCTTCCTTCTCTTCCTCTTCTTTATCCTCTTCCTTTTTTAATCCACCCTGTCTTCTTTTTCTCATCATTGTCCATTCTACTATTGAGTCAGTCTTGAGGTAGTTCTGCAATTTCTACTTGGACGCAAAGTCTAAAAAGAAGATCATCAACTAGTATGCTCTTGTCTCAATTATCACCTATTAGGATGAGCTCGGCCTCCTCAGTCGCTCAATGCAGTGCTCCTCAGCTGTCGACAATTTGGAGAAAAGAAATAGGGAACAGAGAAATGATGCATACACACACCTATAAGATCATAACTCACTGAAGGGAAATAGTCCATCTCGGTACAGATTTAGCCTAAGCTACATTCAATTAAGCATAATCTTATCCTATCTCCCCGATCCCAGCACCTATTATCATCCCTATCGTCTTTGTAAGATGACATGGGCATGATTAAATAGCAAAGGTGAGCCGGAATTAGTGATGACTAATCGGCATTCTTCAGCACACAGTTAGCTTTCGGGTTACGTTACTCAGCGGCCTAAGCCCAAGCTTCAACTTTAACTCCGCGAAAATAACAGACATGGATTATTCAAACAAAAACAAGCGGATAGTCACGAGTTGAATATCTTGATTCAAAGAGAAACAACCTATGCTGTCTCTAGCAACTCTCTCATCACTCTGACGCGATGCCGCCAAAAGTCTATGCTTCTCAAGCTTGTCGAGCCTGTCGGTACATGATCCACTCCTTCACCATCGCCTCCTGTCCCTATACAACAGCCCGAGTGCTGACACGATTCATTTACAGTCGCTTGAAGAGAAAATGTACTCGGGAAGTCCCTACATGTGCTCTGGTTAGTCACTCCCTCTGCGAGTAGCTTCATTGGCCAAACGTTCCAGCAACTAACGACCATGGCAGTGCTACCGCCTCGGCAAGAATTGCGAGTACGCTGAAACTGCAGCCTCGGACTCAACCATCTCTACCAGGCTTAGTCACATTGAGCAGATTCTCCACGTTGACGGGGTCTCTCCGTCTAGGAGCCTGCCGGGTATCAGTCCTGCCGCCTTCTTCCCCAGACCAGCGGAGGCCTTTCCGCTGCCCTTTTTCTTGGATTCGGAGTATTTGTCTCCCCAGGGACTCAACTCTCTTTCTTGGAGTCAAAATCCACAGCTTCATCAAGTAGTGGCCGAACATCTTGACGATGATCGAGTGGCGCTCTGTGAAGAGTACCTCAAGACTGTGCATAAATGGCTGCCCATAGTCAGCCGGAAGCGCCTCCTCAACGAGCTTAACAGCGATCCGGCGGAAGTTGACGGCTGTCTTGCCATTTTTCTCTTGTGCATAAAAGCATTCAGCACAAAAGATGGAGAGTGTGCCAAGACCTCATCGTGGTACTTGCTGGCTAGGTCTCTTTGTTCGGAAGCAGAATCAGCGGGCTTTGTATCCCTAAGACTCGTCCAATCTCTCGTTCTGCTAGCAGTCTACGAGCTGTCGCATGCCATCTATCCCGGGGCATACTTGACGCTTGGGCGCGCGTCGAGATTAGGTATTCTTTTGGGTATACATGACCGGAAGAACAATCAATTGTTTAAGCCTGCAGAGACCTGGACTCTTCGGGAAGAGCAACGCAGGACGTCGTGGGCGATATTTCTGCTCGACAGGTACTTGCCTCTTTGTCATTCCTGTTTAGCAAACCCAATGTCTAATGCTCATTCACAGGCTTATGAATATTGAAACAAATCTACCATTTACCGTTCCCGAACCTGTTCAAGACGAGCTGTTGCCAATCAACGACGAGGACTGGGATGAAGGGAAAATTGTTCCCAGCGAGCCGCTGTTCACGTTATCCTTTAGCAGCCTGACAGCTGTGGGTTCTTTCGCAAAGATGTGCCAGGCCGCCCATATGCTCGGAAAAGTCCTGTCTCACAGGGCGAGCAAACGGTCCTTGCAGGACGTTGGGAGTCTTCTCCCTGAAGCCGTGGCCCTTCATTCAGCGCTGTCGGCGTTGCATCTCTCCATCAAAGAATACATTTCTGGAACAACATCTTCCGACTTTTCCATCTCCGGCATCATCTCGCTTTCTTTGTGCTGCTCTGCTCAGCTTCTCCTGTACAACATGTATGGCTGTAACGAGCCGCTCGTTCTTATCGAGCAAAGTCGGATCGCCATGGAGACAGAGATGCAAAGTGTCAGCCTCCATGGAATCAAATCCATCTCTTTCGACGTTATGCCGGCAATCGCACGCGCGAATATCGAATGTCCACTCATAACGCAATGCCTATACCATGTGGCGACGGAGTGTGCGTGGTTTGTACGAGAAGATCATGAGCCGCAGATGTACAGCGCCTTGGAGGACGTTGTACGAGAGCTAAAGTCTACCGGAGAAAAATGGAGGATTGCAATGGAGTATCTTGCGCTGTTGCAGCAAGCTGGTGTTTTGAGTCTGATCACTGTTGACACGGATGGATCTTCCACACTAACCCCATCATCTGGATAATTATACTCCATCTTGTGTTGCGAGGCACATGGATTTTTTTGGTGTAAGATGTATTCGATTTGAAGCTAAAACATGATGCAGAGAGAATTGCTAATGATGATTCCGAATACAGCTATTTTGAATAATACCTAACGCTGGCATTCCTTAAACAATCTCAGCACTACTCATACGTCCGTCGACTTTGCCACTTCAGCCATCCTCTCATAACCTTTCTGCAAATCGCTAAGCGTCTGCCCATATATTCCATAACAATCTGACCCAAGTTGGACTCTCAGGGCCTTGCTCTTGTCATGCTGGGTCCAGATACACTCAAACAGGCCTTGGCTCTCAACAGCATCAACTACCCTGTCGCCGAACTTGGCTGGATCTCCATTCACCAAAGTCAAGTCTTTCGACGCCTCGCCAATAAAATCTATCCAAGCTTGGATTGGCCTCTTGTAGTCTTCTGAAATGCCACCATCTGCCTTGGAGTTGTTTCCCGGGAAAGGGGTTCTAAACCCTCCAGGCTCAATAATCATAGTCCTGATCCCATGTGGCTCCAGCAGAGTAGCATAGGACTCGGTCAGAGACTCAGTCGTCGCCTTTGCAGCGCTGTAGATCATTTGCTCTGGCCGAGGGGCGAAGCCGAAGATGGATGATATGCTGATGAGGGTACCCGTTCTGTTGCGACGTAGCGTCGGCAGTAAAGCTTTCCACACGCGGATGACGCCCAACAGATTAGCCT